ATGGAAATGGTGGTTCAGAAGAATTGTCAGAGTTAGTTGGCGGCGGAGGAGAGGAAGAGGCGGGCGGGGGGACGATGGTTGGTGCAGTTCGGGAGGCGCAGTTAATCCGAAGGTGTCCAACAAGTCCGATTCGAGCCCGGAATGTCCGTTGACATCGAGGACACGCTGGAGGCGGTTGTGCGGCCGCGTTGCGTACTGGGCGAAGTTGGGATTTGCGGGCTTCGCGTTTCGCCTTGGCGGCAGCGATGCGATTGGCTTCGTAGATCGCAGCGCCTATCTTCGCTGTCCCCCTCCAGATCGGTCGATCGAGTGCGAGCTCTCCCCAGTTGGCCGTGTTGATTTGCAGGCGCTTCAGGGACGATTTCAGGGTATCCTTGTAACGGCGAATTTGGTCTCCTTGACGACGAGAACCCGTCGCGACGTCTCCGTAGAAGAGTCGTTTAGGTAGTCGCTCGTCGTCCATGCGCACCAGGTGGCCGCTCCAGCGCAGCTGCATTTGTCTCAGTATGGCGTAGATGCTGAGGATTCCCGTTCGTTCCAGTACTTCAGTGTCGGGGATTCGATCCTGCCAGTTCAGCCTCAGGAGTTAATCACAAAGTTGCGACAGCACATCTAATTGTCATTAGTTTCTTTTTGGTTTATGGATCATACATTTGTTAATGAAGTATTTCAGATACGTTACCCTAACCATTGAATGTGCACGTGCCCTTCCTTTACCGAGAAGTGGGAAGCGGGCATGACTAAATCAATTTTTTCCCTCTCAGATATGCCAAAATATTAACACGATATTTGTCAACAGTTTTTTCATGGGAAGGAACTTCAAACTTTTGAAGGCAATAGACCACGACGCGGTATGTCTAACTACAGGTTTAAAACTCGACAATATGGTGTGTTACAAGCTTATATTGTGGTTTTTCAAATGCACGTCATAGTCCGTTCCAAAAGAACGCTGATGTATCAACTTTTCTAATCAATAAATATCGTTTTTAATGTGTCGTTGAACACCATTTTATATTTCCTTTTGGGAGCCAGCTGTTTTTGTATGATCATCTGCTCAACGCTAACATAAAAATGAATCTCGCCCATCTCAGGAAATGTTGACCGAAATCCTGAAATGCGTTTTCGGTTAGAAAGATTGACGAAGAGTGAGGTTGTAAATTCGATTGTCGCGAATTGTGATCCACAAATATCGTAATCATGGCATGTTGCCGGCTTTCAAATGTGCTTCTTTTCGACCGCTCTTAAAAGCCCTGGTTGTGCATTGTTGATTTCTGATGCCCTTATATATTCAAATATAATTTATTAGAAAACATAAATAAACAAGTTTTCTTGTGCTAATTTGGTAGAATGTTACCTTTTCTTCAAAACTCTTTACCTAAAGAAGGAGTGTCATTAAGTTTTTAAAACTCTATTAATTGTCGATTAATTTGGAATCCGGCCTGCCGTTGTACTTGCGCCTACGGTTCCCAAGCTACGTGCTTCATATTCTGCGTGTGGGGAAATCATATATTTATTTATACTATTAAGAATATGTCAAATAGGATTCATTATAATTTACAATGAATAAGGTCCATTTAGGATACTCCATAAGCAAAATTAATGAACGGCCAGATACGGTGTCGTATCAAAAGAAATGTAATGGTATAAAAAGATTTCTCAATTGCACAGTTTTATGTCAGACGTTACCCTCTTTATAAATACAAAATTTGAAGACGTTCATTTCTACCAAAAGAGCACAGTAAAGACTATGTTCGTGCATCTTTCCCATATCTGTAGTTCAGTTCATAAGTGCGTAATTTTGCGTCCAGATTTCTATTTCCATTCATGCGTCAGGAACGACAGAAAAATCCGTCAAACGTAATATATTAAACAAATATTCACGGATCAGGCTAGCATCGTTTTCGTGAATGCTGGTGATATCTTTCTCAAAAAAAACTGCACCCAAACGTCTTGTTTATCTGTAAGCCCCTTGTATGATTGAGCCATACATATATAAATGGAAACTCTTTTCAGATATAGACGCAAACATAGTTAAATTCTCGGAATTGTAGCTAAGAGAATATTGGTGATGTCCGCGGATTTCCCTTGCCTAAAAATTGATTCGTTCGTGCTAAATTGTCACTTCGGAAGATGGCATGCGTTATAAAAATGGCAAAGTATCCCAAATTTTCGATAACGCCATTATGAAATTTATCTTTTAAAGATGTTTCCACCGTCTCAGTTATTGCTCAGGTGCAATGCCACTTAACAGCGCCACTCACAGACGCCCTTTTAATTTTCTCATGATGACAAAATATGGAATCGTCCTAGGTTTAAACCTGTGGGCAAGGCAGAGATGAGAATAGTGCACGCTAAGAGTCCCTGCCTTGGAAAGCCTTATCTTACTTAACCCTTGTGGATGGGGCAGACAAAATAAACGTCTAGTAACCAGTTTATCGCACCTAGTGTGTACTCCCCTCAAACAGATGTTCATTTCGAAGGCCAGTCATCGAATTGGTGTTGAGCATGCTTACTGAAGATTGGCATGTCCGGTAGCTGATCGTATCGCTTAATGTAAGGCCCTAAATCTTTACGATAGAGAAGTAAAACACCGTTCAGGTCAGGGAAATTCTCCCTATTATGCCCTCCCCCATCTTTGACGGACACATTTAAACACCCCTATTGGACATGCGCATATTTTTTTCTCGTAATCATAAAGATGTGGTCAGTCATCTAAACCTCTTCCATACGAAAACCTTCCTGAAGTTTTTTCGAACTAGTCGACGTAGCTTCTGTGTTCTTCCTGTTGTTACCAGCAATTCCTCACCGTTCGATGGGATATGGTGAATTCAAAATAAGTCTCTTATGGTTACCGGATCACCTAACAAAATTGCTTTTAATTTAGCCCGCCTTCTGTGCTCTAAATTTGATTCCCACATAAGTGGTCGCTTATCCTGTCTGCTCCTTTGATGGAATCCACGGGACCATGGATCTGTTTTGCAGCATGAAATGCCCCTTGGATATTTGCCTTTTGCCATGTTTTATTCCCGACTTGTGCTGGCAAAAGAGAAAAATTACCTGCTCAGTCTGCCCAAATTCTATTTCTCAACGTCGCTAATGTTTTGTTTTATATTGACTAGTGATTTGCATATGAGCTATAGCATTTACCAGTTTTATACTTCTCCGCGCTTCCTCCGACTCCGAGGAGAAAAACGACGCTGCTCGTGAGAATGAATACGTTAATGCAACGATTTCAGTTGTCACGGCTGCATATGCCGCTGTTTTACCACCTTCCTGTGTGCTTTTCTTCATCTTCTGCCGTTTAACTTCCTATTTCAAGGCTAGCCAGTTAAGAAAGTGCACCGTCTAAGCATTTTTGCGTCAGACTAGAAGGTTGTTTTTATATAGCTTTCATTTACCTAATTTTCCATCTAGTTGCTATCAAATGATACTCCCCATATCAACGTCAGAATCTTGGTGATTACCTGGCAACACCAATCTGAATTGTAGGTTTTCTGGAGCAGATTTGCGACAGGGGATGAGAGAGCGACTTACGCAAGCGTACAGTTGCTGACGCACGGCCTACGGTATTCAGTTCGCTTGTCAAGTATCTTTACTGCAATTACTTTCAGTCCTCTTTTGCATTTGGTCAGAGAAGGTAATGAGCTTGACTATCGACAGCGCTCGTATGCCAGAATAGCTTTCAGCCGCCAATAATTTTCACAGATTGTCTCTTAGCTTGGACGACCTTTCGTATGTTCCGTTTCACCAAAGAGCTCCATTCGCATAGAAGCAAACAATCAAAAATAAACAAATGTTATCTACAAAAACTGAAATAGCCGCCTCGTTCTTGTATGCTGTCTTGGGCATCTGAAAGGAGATCTGCGGTCTGCTTTTTGTGGTAGTGTTCTGATGAAGTATTGGGCTAGATTCTGAAATCGTTTGGCCTTACCTCTAAGCTCAACCGCCGACTGACCTTAAGCCCACCTGGAGCCAAATTTATGCGCAGAATTTTGCACCAGAAACGCAGAGGAGGTGAAGACCCCTTTACTTTTTATGGATCACACTGGACACAACAGAAAGCTATCAATTGAGGAAAAATAATTTCACACATTCAGTGGACGACTGAACTGAAGAGAATAAGAGAGAGATAGAGAGAGACTGAGACGGAGAGTTGGACAGATTTGGTAAGAGAAAGTTAACGAGGCTGAAAGTTTCTTTCTCCTTCTTTATGGCCTGGCTTCTTGATACTGCTGGTACTCACTGATCAGGTCAACCACATTTTGTTCACTGGAGCCGAATTCTCCTTCATCCATGCCCTCACCGGTATACCAGTGCATGAAAGCCTTCCTCCTTAGCATTGCCGAGTACGCTGTCTGAATGCGACTGAAGACCTCTTGGATGGCCGTATTGTTGCCCAGAAATGTGGCACAAATCTTCATGCCCCTGGGCGGAATGTCACAAACGGCAGTCTGACAGTTGTTGGGTATCCACTCCACAAAGTACGCCGAGTTTTTGTCCTGTGTGTTGATCATCATCTCCTCCACCTCAGCCATGCTCATCCTGCCACGAAAGATAGCCGCACAGGTGAGATATTTCCCGTGTTGAGGATCGCAGGCCGCCATGAGGGTTTTGGCGTCAAACATTTGCTGCACCAGGTTTGGAACTGTGAGGGCCTTGTAGGGTTGGTTTCCACGACTGCTCAGAGGTACAAAGGAGGGCGCGAAAAAGTGCACTCTAGGGAAGGGTACCATGTTGACAGCCAGTTTTCGCAGGTCAGAGTTCAACTGACCCGGAAAGCGGAAACAGGTTGTCATGCCGCCGACTGCGGTGGATATGAGATGGTTCAGATCTCCAAATGTGGAGGAAATCTGCAAGACATTGGTGCAGATGCTATAGAGGGCCTCGTTGTCTAGGATCACCGTCTCATCACTATTGTCAATCAGGTAGTCGAGAGAGAAGATTGCGTTGTATGGCTCGACGACCACATCGGAAACCTTGGTGAAAAAATACAAGAGCGGTTGTGTTAGCACTCTCAGGAAAAAGCATCCTGGCTGGCTTATGCGTGTGCCCTAACACGAGCGGATGCATGCGCTTTATTTCCGCCACCGGAGATCGCGACTTCGACTTTGTCTGATGTCCTGCTGCACTATATTCAGTGCAGAAACTCAGTATTTCTGTCAATATGTGAATGTTATATGCTTTTACCCCTGTCTGTTTCGATATTTTAGCAAACGGAGGTACTGGAATGATAGGATCTCTGAATTACTGGTTCGTTATAAAGCAGTTTGCTTGTTCTATGGAGAAAGCAGACAAAAGAACAAATCAAATACAAAGTCTGGAAGAAAAGGGCTAGAAGTGAAAAGATAAATAATAGTAAGACGAAAAGACAGAAGTTGTAGTTGTTGTAGCGACAGAAGAAGGAGAAGAAGAAAAGAAAAAGAAGAAGAAGAAGAAGAAGAAGAAGAAAACGGGAATAGGCCACGGAAAAGCCTGAAAAGAACCACGAGATGAGTGATGGTATCGTTGATCACAGAGAGAATAGGGACAGTGGCTGGGATGTTGCCATCACCTATGCTGCCGCTGATTCGGTTGTTGGCTATGCTTATGATGGTTACAATGATAGGGGAATTAAAGTGGCAGCAAACGAGATTAAGGATTACTTTAATGGGTTTATAATTGGATGGAGACTAAGGGTTCCAGGTCATAACCAAGTAATTTAGCTTAACATCCAAACATACGAACTTCTAGGTAATCATTCGCCAGACAAACGTGGACGCAAGGCGTTGCTATATTTGAGTCAACAATCTGAGCCGGTTTAATTCCTAATTTCGGTTGGTCAATTAACGGTAGAGCAAATCCTCCGTACACACAAAAATTCACTTTCTAACCTCTCCATCACAAAATTCGTAGTTGCGCATGTTACTTAACAGCTTGGAGACATTAAATGGGGTGTTTTAGAAACGCAAGTAAGTTGGGCACTTTTAAACTGCACTTTGGATTAAGAGTAGTAAGTCCACAAACAACTAGCTCTTTTTCGACACTTAGTTCCTTTTGTTGGACATTGTGGACGTAAGAAAATATGCTAAACTACCGTGAACATTGTGTCCCCCAATTCCGACAGCAGTCCCCACATGACGGGATGCTCGTATTCCGTCCAGCAATGAAGTCTTAAACAGCAGCTAACAGAATGCAAGACTTCCTCGAGTAGTAGGACATTATACTCAGTAGTCAACTTGATTTTAGTTCATACTCCAGGTTTCTTTGGCCCGCGTTCTTAGTACACCCAACTCGCAACGACGAAAATCAAAAATGGTGATCCTTCCGTCCCATATTTTTGTGATTGTTATTACCCGACGTTTAGAAGGCTTTCATTTTACACGACGAAACATAGGAATCGGCAAATGAGCCCGTATATTTTGATAACTTGAGAGAAATCATCGGTTTTCCACCAACTCGGTTTCAAACACACAACTACCACTTGTTTCTCTCAAGTCACTGTTAGGCGATTTTTGGATACACTGCATTCAAGTGGTGTGGAGATTACTCACCTTCGGTGAGGGAAGGACAGTGAAATTGTTAAGGATCTTGTCGGGCCACTCGCCACGAATCTCCTCCATAAGACCCGTAGTCATGCCGGATCCACAGCCCCCACCGACGGCGTGGATAATTTGGAAGCCCTGCATCCAGTCGCATCCCTCGGCCTCCTTGCGAACGATGTCCATGACGGACGCCTGAAGTTCGGCTCCATCAGTGTAGCGGCCCTTGGCCCAATTGTTGCCCGTTCCGGCTCTTCCCATTATAAAGTTCTCAGGACGAAATAATCGGCCAGTTGGTGTTCCTTGCACGGCATTCCCAGTACCGGGATCAAGATCGACTAGGATGCATCGTGGGACGAAACGGCCGCCTAACATAAACAAAAAGATGATAACCGCCTAGAACGAGGAAGTAAGGGAAAACGAGTTTGCTTAAACTGCCTGTTTATGTTTAAGAAAATTAACTTGACTTTTCAAAAATAGTGAGATAATGAAGCACTAACGTAGACTAAACAATTAAATGGTGTTTTCCTCAGTACCCTTCAGACCATATTATTCAGCTGCAATTTTTGGTCATGGTCTCCCTCAAACCAACGAATCGGGCTTTAAGCTAAATACTTGGCAACTTAATGTTGCGAGTGCTGCTTTAAATGATAAACGTATGCACGATCTGCAGCATCTCCACTATCCACAAGTGAAAATGATTTCATAAATTGACCAAGACTAGCATCCTACTTCAGCAGTATTAGTATTCATTTTAGGTATGACCACAAAGCTAGATGATAAATTACGGCCCCCAGGGTGTCAGGTGGCACTTTATCCGTAAAAGACTTTGGCCAATCAGATCTAACCGGTAAACGACAATAGATCTTTTCAATAGTGCTCCAATGACATTTGGATTCCGATATTTTATTGTCAAAAATAGAATTGACGCAATCAGTAGCATATAAGAAATACATACCCATTGCTTCGGTGAAATAAACATTCATTCTTTCTATTTGAAGATCGGATTCTCCCCTGTAATATCCATTTGCATCAAGGCCATGCTCGTCGGATATTAGTTCCCAAAACTAAAATGTTCACAGTAACTGATTTAGAAAATATTTTTCTTTGCTGGTGAAATTTTTGCACCAACGGAATGGAACACTTCAAATGGTAACTTGGAAAATTTTCCGAAAGCGCAAACCACTTTTAGTAAAGTTTTGCCAAGCCTTGCAGATAGCTTCTTGGCAGAGTGGATTTCTCCGCAAAGTAAAACGTCAGTGATTGCAGCAATTTTCCTGAAGCATAACGCTTTTGAGCAAGCATATTCTTCATTCGTATGAAGGCATATCGTTGACAATGATACTGTACTGGCGTATAGATACTAGGATTATTGGCAGCAAAACATCTGACAGCTGCATCCTTTTACGCAGGATAGAGGAGGACGTTTACGTATGCCACAAAACGTTCTAGGTAATCTTATGACTCAAAATTACCTGCTTCCTATGCTTTCGGTCCTATGCAGCGATCAGTGTATGAAAATGTTTAGCCTTTTTTTCCAGATTACTTACTTATTTCTACTAGAATAAGTCGCTTACGTCAAAACCCTCCATGGAGTCGAAGACAATACAATGCAAATAGCGCCGATCAGGTAAAACAACCATACATGTCGAATCGCGCAAATTGCTGTAAGGGTAGGTTTCTTAGTTTTGACAACTTAAATTGTGAATCTTTGACCCGACGTTCAAGCATACCCGGCTGACGGTGACAAATAGTCTATGGCCTCCGGCCTCCTTAGGAACCAGGACCAAAGGCAGAGGCCACTGGATGGTCCATAAAGCCTGTACGCCGACTTGTGTCAGGGGGCGTTCGAGGTCTTAGCACGACAGACCTTGGTGTAGGCGTCCTCACTGCACTCGGAATGACATCCTTCTCAAAGGAATGGCGTCTTCTCTTGTCAAGCATCCTCTACCAAAACAACCAAAGATAAAAGCTTTTTATGTGCCCTAGGGTAGGTTACTCTTGTTTGCATGCCAACTACACAAGTCAAATCCCGAGGCATTGCCTAAGCAGCCTGTCGACCGTCAAGATTCCCTATCTCCATCACTGGGTAGTCACGTAAATGTGGTCTTTGCATAGATTGGAATGTCGTTTGGGCTGCTGGCATGGCATCCATCAGAGATGCATGAGAGTTGTCCCACTCCCAACAGCCCACTATAAACAGTTTTAGTAGTCATTTCAACCTCATGGGTTGCGCCCTCTCAAACCCCTGATGCGTGACAATAACACGTCCTCTACTCTTCCGGCAAACTGTCACCTGGCGAGTTCCGACTATAACCCTCTCCGCTCTCATTTCCCCTCATTTTTGACGTTGAAACGGCACTGTGTACTTCCTAACCCTTCAGCACCAAATGCGTGAACCAATTCATTCGATTCATTTAGTCAATGACCATATGTGTTGACACCTCGAGATTTCCTGAGTCCCCAGAGGTATTTGGTTTCCCTATTTTTATCTCGCACTTCCCACTATCTCAAATTTGAGATCAGTCCAGGTTTGTCACGGACTGATGACATCAAATAAGTCAGATATGGATGTTACACTCTTCCTTGCCTTTTTGGCATATGTCTTCAGACGTATTTTTCCTGTGTATATATGAGTCGACTGGTAATAAGTGATGTCCTAGGAGAAAATTCCGTATCACAAATAAGCAGCATAACAACCATGTATCACCAAACAAAATTAATTCTGCCGCACGACTGGAGTTGCACAAACGAAAAGTTAGAAGCTTATTAGTTGCGCATAAATGTGATAGAAACAGTGTGACGTTGTCGTAGCACAGTTTTCAGTGCTTCTAATCAGTTAGTTATTTGTAGTATAGTAATTCCAGTGCCTCCTGATCTCGTATTTTCTAGACAACTCCAGATTACTTTGACTTTAAAGGACGGTATTTAAGACAGAAATTTATTCATGCGACAAGCTGGGAGGCCTGTTCGATTGGACCTGATTTCTATGCCAAATCACTTCTTTCTACTTTGCGCTAGCGCCCCGATCTAGGCCCTTAGAAGCGGGTCACGGGCTATGAATGGTCTAGTAATAGTTACTTGTTTACTGTGCTGGCAATTTCCTGAAAATCCTTCATCGTTAGTCGGTCATAAGCGTTATATCAAAAGTTCTGAGTCACGTGAAAAAATCGCATAGAATTCGGGTTTGAGGACAGTGCATCGAAGAGTTTGAAAGCGGTCTTACTATAAAATTACACTGGATTTACTGAATTACCCAAATTCCAGAAAATCAGTATCTAGTCCAGCTTTGATGCTGAATTCCCGTACTGACGACAAAAAAGAATATCTTACGTGATTTCCGCCGCCAGTGCTTCGTGACTGCAGTCTTTGCCTAATGAATGGGCAGTTTTTGAAAATTTGGCTGGGAATGTTTTGACCACCCATCAGTTCTTTCATTTTGTCGAACAAAAATTCGCTTCCTTGCTGGCGACCGTTTGACTTCGCTGACTTCTATTATGTTTCTCAATTTATCGCTGTGTTTGGTCAGGTTTTTGAGTTCGGGGCGAATTTTGTCAAGAAACTCTACGCCTGACTGATTTTGATTTTTTTAGTTTTTTCTAATTAGACCAAGTGTGCGCTCGGCTAAGCACTGGAATTTTTGAGTCTTGCAATTCACCAAAATATCGGAAAATACATGCCATGCTTACGAAGTACTAGTGGGACTCAAGATCATTATACCATGACGGTAGCTATCTACGGTCGTAGAGTTAAAATTGATTTCCGCAACCTTTTGGATTTCGAAACCGTCCGTAAGACATTTGGTTTTTTGCAAATGCTTAGTGGTCTTTAGAGTTATATCTGAAGGAGGTTTCACAATATTTAAGGGGGATTTGGGACAGTCTTCACCATTGTAGCTCCGCGTGGCAGGATTTATATCTGCATATTCGTAACCCCAATGTTGCCAGTTTGGAGTGTCAACTCGTTTTTGATGGCATGTTTGACGATAGGTGAGCACCCCCTCTACCAAATGGTGCTTCATTAATTTATCAGAACTGCTTAGACAGTGAATAAAATCTTGCTTGCATACACTATCAGGTTCAACCAGCAGTTTTTAATTAAAAGTTTGCTTTATTATTGTTGGCTTAGGCGGAAACGCTGAGTATTTTAGTGGGAACGTAGTAAATGACGTTTCTGCCTGCAAAGAGTCCATTACGAAATAATAACAATGAAAATGTTAATCTGACAAATTTATACCATTCTGGCGGTTATCTGTGGAGTCTCATTTAATCTGCAACACTTCACTTATATTTTAGGGTTACAAGATACCATACTGGCAGCACAGGTAGTATGGTATTTTGCAATTCTAAAATATACAACTAGCTGTCTGTCGACAGTTACTGAAGATTACACGGTCATCCCGCTGTGGCTGATGGACTTGCGCCCAAATGCATCAAATTTCGGTCTGCGCCTATTGATTTCAGTATACACTGAATTACCCCAAGTTTACAGTTGATTTCTGAGGAAATTTAAAAGTAACAATTTCACTTATACAGAAGTAGGGCTTCTTTGCAACTCCATAGCCACTTTTCGCTCTTGCTTCCGAAGTACATATGCTAGGTCGGAAATATTGTTAGGTTACACATAAACAAATTGATTTGTCCGAAAATTAGCCCCAAATATCTAATAAAGCTCAACGAATAGCGTGTTACTTTTAAGAAATGAAAAGAAAATGCTTACAATACAATGGTGACTAAAGTGGCAGTATCCAGACTCTGAGCAGCATAATTTTGCCTACTTTTCCTGTATAACTGACTTGTGTAACAACGTTTGAAGAAATATTGTGACTTAAGTTGGCAAACTGCAGTACATGTCCGAATATAAGTCGGTCTTTGACGGAATTTCGGTCTCACTCTGCATGAATGAATAACGCCAGCAAAGTCTAACTCTGAAACTTGGAAAAATTAGTTTTGTCGCCAAACAGTCTGTTTAGATTTAATCTAAAATAAAATGATGCAACTTTGTATCTTTTAACCTAGGCCCTATTGAAAATATCTAAAATACTCAAGGAAACAAATTGCAAGCAAGATGTGTTTCAATCAATTCTGAGAGACTTACACTGAGTGAAACCCACTTCGTTAGTTGCCATTTCCCTACGCTTTCACCCATGCTTTATGATTGACCTAACAGAAAGTCGAGAACTAGAAAAAGAACCTATTTGCCGAACGCTTTAGATTTATAGTTGAAGGAATCATTGCAGAACATCAACATTTACAGTGCGTGACCGATCTTATGAAATGTTAGCCAAAATTCTGGAATGCGTTTCCGATTAGGAAGGATTACTTAAGTGGGGTTGTTATACTGATTATCATGCCGCATAACCCTATAACATTTCGGACTCAACAGGATGTCGGCTTTTGAATGCACTTCTTTCTGACCTCCTGCAGAGACCACACTCGGTAACAATGACTACTTAATTAGCATGCATTTTTCCTATTGATTTTCGATGGTCTTATAAATTCAAATATATTTTAGAGAAAACATGCACAAAAATATGCTTTCTTTTACTCATTTGGTAGAGAATCACATTGTCTTCATATTTCATGCCCAACGAAAGTGTATATTTAGGTTTTAAAAGGTTTCCCAATTCCCGAATAAATTTTCGCCTGATCTGCCATTGCATCAGCGTTCAGCAATTTCAGTCTACAAAGTGCATGCTTTCCGCGTAAGGAGAATCATATGTCTTTCTATGCCTTTAAGAAGATACCATAAAGCGCTCATGAAATTTTCCAATGGATGCGGATTGTGTTGTACACTTCATGAGGAGCATTAGTAAACGGAAATGTGCGGTCTTGCATGCATGGGCATAGCACGGTCTTAAAAATCTCATAATTAGAAATTTTTTAAAACCAAAATATACACTTTGTTTGGGTATAAATATAAAGACGATGTGATTTCCTTCCAAGTGAGCAAAATAAAGCATACTTTTGCGCATGGTCTCTGCAGGAGGTCAGAAAGAAGTGCATTCGAAAGCCGACATCATGTTGAGTCCGAAATCTTACAAGGTTATGCTGCATGATAATCAGTATAACAACACCACTTAAGTAATCCTTCCTAATCGGAAACGCGTTCCAGAATTTTGGCCAAAATTTCATGAGGTCGGTCACGCACTGTAAGTTGGCCTAGATCACAGAAGGACAGTACTAACAGCCTACAGTTGCCCCAGACTCGCATATCTGCATACCCACCTTCGTTGCATATATTCGTACCTGCTGTGACCAAAGCTTGGTCGCCCAAAGTGTCTTTAGTTGTTGCGATTCCATCACCTATTTCAGCGATAAAAAACATGGTGACCCGGCAGTTTGGTTCATCAGTATTGCTACTTAAATTAGTGTTTCGATGTGGCGCCTTGAAGCGAATAATTATTCTGCTCATGCAATATCACAATTTGAAACGGGGCGAGTGTTTATTATTACACTTGTTAGTGAATTGCGGGACAAAGAACCACAAATCAAACAGATTTGGGTTTGACGAGGCTCTCACCTCTTGCGAGAATCTTGACCCTGTCAAAACTGGATATGCAGTGTTGTCACATTTTCGATTAATAGTATTGCCTACGAACTCAGAGCCAGTGGCCATCTGTGCACCTATGTGGATCGCTGCATACAATGACGATACGAAATCAAACAGTATCCGACCCAAATGCTGACCTGCGTTCCCATGTGCCATGAACGCCTTGGACTCTGTCGGTCGCACCGTAAAACACTCGAAGTTTGGGTTACACACAGGGCGCAGGCAATCATAAAACGTTACGTGATACGGCTTAAATGTCTCACAGACACCGCATCCTATAAATACTGGACGCCATTTGCTGCCGTTTCATTCACCTATTTTTGTCTTTGATGATAGATTTGATAGTAAATCCGAAAGGCCAGACGAATAAGTTTCAATTTTCAGAACTCAAATCGCCTTGTTCTCAACTTCATTCTCTTATTTTTACACTTCAGTTAGAACGTCTAACGCTTTTGTGGTTAAGCTTAATCCCTCTGTCCGTCAAAATCCAACTGAAAAATTTTTGGTCAAAAAAGTACTGCTTAAAGTTATTTGACCGTATTATGCATCTCACCCCATAAAGCTGCAAGTACTTGCGTCTTTCTGGTTTAGGAATTAGTGGGATAACGGATGGTAACATTAGCACTTCCATGCAATTTTGGTGACTTTTCTGATTCATTTTATTACCTCTTCTGGTGGTTTTACTAGAACTACCATTATGGTGGACAGTTTTTTCCACGTAGACGGCAACCTCTTATACCTCAGTCCTCTCTCAATAATTCTGTATAAAATGAGAAGGAAAAACAATTCAAGAAATTCATGCACAGTTGACGGAAATTTTCAACGCCTTTCGGGAATTTCTGCTATCCCGAAGAGCTGAGTCAACAAAAGGCTAAAAGACTTTAATTTTGTTCGGTATCTACTTTCCGTAATTATAATACATCTTCTGGGACTGCCAAAGCATTTATAAGAGCATTGTGTTCGCGCTAAGAGATGTACCTGGTCTGTTTCGGCTAACATGCACGTCAAGCACATAGGTAACGACCAGAAAACACACCTTTTCAATGACAGTGTGTTGTAATCAGTTACGCCGAGAAATGGCGTGCCTCCAGTAGGATCAGTAACGGTGTCGTTTACAAGCGCTTAGGTGAAAATTAGACTACGTTGCTGAACGGTGCCTAACCAACCATAATAATTTACCGCAAATAAAGACCATGATTACCGACATTCTAAGGATGGCGCAGTCCTTAATCATCCCTGCTAAGGCAAGGAACTACCTCCCGCATCTGTCACTGTATACCAACGAGGCATGTGATGCCTTTGCTGATCGGCTGAGTACTAAAGCCGACTTTGCATAGGAAGTCATGCGTAAATATTTTTTATCTATATGCTGATAACGGCTTCTAGGTAAAACATCTGTCTGTCGTTGGGGGGCGAACTGAGGGGGAGTTTGTCAGGAATCTCCTGTCTACTCTATTCGTTCCCCCTCCCCGTGTCTTAGTATTTCTTAGGGAGGATCCGCTGAAGAGAGTGCGTTCGCTGGCTGCGCCCTCCATGTCGTCTTCATCAGCATGTCAACCGTTTTTTTGTCCCGAACAGATGCCATTTGACAAAACTCCAGATTTATTAACTGCCCTGCGGACGACGTTGGCTGGTTCTACGGGTCAGAGACAGGTATGACGACAGACCTAAATACCGGGAGACTGTCTAGAAGGTAAAACAACTGCCTCGACTTATTCCTTAAATTCAGTTACTGCGATGTGCCACTATCGCCGCCTTTTGTCCAACTCTGTTTCCGTCAAAAGACACGATAATTACGTCCAGTGCTCGTCTGCGTCCAGTTTGTCAGACAATGACCAACAGAATTCAGTGTCTAGGCTTCGCATTCACAGTATTTAAATTGCCGAGAGCATCTAGAGTTTTCATCAGAGTTCAGCATAAGAGACCTGCACTACGAACACTTAACCCCCAAAAGTCATCCGGCACATGTTTGAAGATGAAGCGCAGGAAGATAATGAAATCAAAAGCATTTTCCGAACTTCCCTGTAAAAATTTTTAACCGATCTCTCTGATTATCTTTAAGCGGTCTCACTTTAACATTTTTTGATAATTTAATCAGAAGGGATTTATTGTTGTCAAAGGCTTTTTAAGGGACAGGGGAGCTCTGCTCGCGCAGTGAAGCGCTGAATGGTTGTGTCATGTGGCGTTGACTACGCCGACTCAGAGAAGAGCCTTATTTTTCAAAATCTGACATGTTTAAGAAAGTTGAACCACACAGTGGATGAAACCTTCAAAAGTATGCAGTATCTCCTTTTACGCAAGAGGACCTCTGCTTTAATTTGAGATAAGGTAGACCCTGTTCATGATGCACTGAGACTAGTAAAACTTTGACTGCAAAATTTCGAGACGCTTTCAAATGAGATTGAATACCTTGACGCTATTTGAGTTTGATTTTCGGGGAACACTGTTCGGCATTTCGTCTTGCAAGGTAGAGTGTGCGTTTTTGACTGGGCATCTTCGAAGTTACGCGCGAATTATTGTCACGAAATAGTTTTGTAATGCGCAAATTTTCTATCGATCTTTAAAACTTTAATAAGTCCAGTTCGTTTTATAGAAATGGCAGTACGAGTAGTATTGTTTGTTTTTTCCACAAATTATGATATCATTAAATTTACTGCTTTGAAGAGGAAAGTAGTTCATTTTTAAAAGACCTTGTTAGTACCTCAATACTTTTACACGTAATATGGATTTTTCTCGTACCATCGGTTCCTAGGCTCCACGATTTGCGTCTTCTCTAGTGCATCTTCATATAAATAAAAGGTGACGTTCTCGTGTTTGTAATACATTGTACTTACTAATGATTGTGCTATGCACTACGTGCTCAGTTCGCAAAACAGGCAAATAATGGGAAACTGTATCATACGGACATCGTACAAATTCGTATAACTGGAAATTTTGAAGACCACAGTACTTCCTTTACTCGTGTTAAAAATTCTAGCATGAAAGTTTTCTAAAATGAGTGCAGGGAGAGATTTTTTCATAGCATTCCTATGAGCACTTATTTATTTTACGCAACATTAAAAGCCGATCCAAACTGTCTACGACGTAACAGCTTTGGGCTTCTCTTGTGTAATTTGCACACGTGGCCGCAAAGCTGCCATCTGGGAACTGCTTTTTACCTCCAGAGTTTCACGGCTTCATTTGGGTCGTCTATTCTAGCTAAAAGCGTTGTAACACTTTTGCCAGTTGCTAATGTATTATGAGGCATACTCTAGGTCGATCTGCAGAAACAAAAATTATAGAGCCTATGTTATAAACTGACTCCTGTGCCAAGAAGCTAATAATGCTTGTAGACCTTTATTTGCTTCTCCTGTCCGGACGAAAAACGCTCAGTAATAGGTGTTATCTCACTGAAGAGCTGCCTACTTGAGGCTTCCTTTCGAATAAAGATAATTCCTTAAATCCATGAATACATAATCTGAGATCTGGTGAATACTTCAGCTTCATGTACGTGTATCTTGAATGCGCGCAGTTCTTTAGTCATCCTCCTTAACTCGCTAATTGCTCCACATGTATTTCAATGCCTTAAGAGGCCAAGCACTCATAACACGGCAACCTTACGACAAATGCTTCTACAGGGGCGCAAAAGGTGTTTCAATAACTAAATTTTCGAGTTTTTTATATAAAAATAGACGGTTACTAGTAAAACGATTGAAACATAAAAATTATGTTATTTTTACGCACGAAAATTTCCTTGGTCGCGAAATCATTCAAAGTAAGTTGAAAAATATGTAGTATCTGCATGAGGATTGCCCTGTGAAGTCGATGCATATGCCGGGCGGACTGTCGATCGAGAACCAGAATATGGACAGACAATGAAAACTGATGTTGTTTCACGTTTATCATAATTTCATTCCTGTTCAAAACTGCCTAAAGACTTAAGTAGGTTTTGGTCAAATTCCGTTAGATGGTTATCGGTTGGAGCCCATTTTACTCTTGAAAATAGAAAATTTTGCCAGCCGGTAATCAATTATTTGGTGTCAGTTTCAGTTACTTTTCTCAAATAGTAAAGTGGGCCTTCTTAAAGACCTAATATTAATTGCTGCTGCGGGTGATTCGACCAAAAACGAGAAGACGTGTCAAAGTATCTGAGATCTAACGACTGCTATAAACCCTGCTTTCTTCAGCTTTGAAAATTTTATTTTTTCTAGCTGACAATCGCGGACTTGTTTAATACCTTACCATCATTTGTTTGCTCTGCTAATTTTACATATATATTCAGAAATTCTACTTCTTCTCCCTTAAGCACTTTTATCCAATGAACAAAAACGAAAAAGTTACCGCGAAATAATAGACGAAAGTTTGTAAATTGAAGAGGAAAGAACTCATTTATGTGTTTGGCAAGCGGCGTCGGTGCTGTCCATGAGGTCAATTCTGCTATCCTTGCCCACATTTGCATTTTTAATTTTTGAACGGTTCAGGTTTTGGCCTCTCATCTCAAAACAAACTGACATCTCTCTAGGGAAAATGAAACCTTAACTTTAATGAGTTAAGCCGCGACGTGTCAGGTTAATACCTCGCACTCAGTGTCGGCCTTTCCAACTAGTATGTCAGCTTGTTTTGGCTTTTAACTTACTTGCTAATTCTTCAGCATTTAGTTCCAAGGATAACAAAATATTGCCGGAAATTCATTTGTTATCACACGTTCTGCGTTTACATCTGCTATTCTGATAATAGTGAGCCCCGCACCAGGATACCTTAGTCTTTTATTAATTATACCGAAACTGTTATCGCAAGTGACAAGTACGAACTTACAGAATCAGCTCAAAATCGGCCAGCATAAACACGTGTCGCATGTCGAATAAAGTCCTTCGCTTGACGATGGCCTTTATCCACAAATTTCGTTTCCTTTAATCTCACCTGCACAACGCCAGGCAACCGCAAAGGAGCCCAAGAGGAGTATCAACGCGGTTATCTAGTTGGTATTACTCCTATTCTCCTTAAAAAGCATCTTTCTACCACCTATTCTGGAGAGTTCAATGACAAAAACACTTCAACCATATTGCTTTGAACACTAAACCTCAAAAGTTATCCCAATTGTTTTCATCCGAATTTATTGATTTAACGTCCCTCTGGTAAAAACTGAAAAACAGAATCACTTAACTCTCAGATGTCGCTTTCTGCCCGTTGGTTGCGCTAACCCGTATATTTTCGTTCTGCGCCTTCCTCGGTCAAAAAACAGCTTGAAAAATTTTTAAACATAAAAAATTTTCCAGGACGATTTTAAAAACAAAACAGGCTTTCGACTAGTTGCACGAGCAGCATGTTGGTTGGGCCACTTTTGTACGAACTTCAGCCAATGCCTTTAGGAATTTTTACCAACAGCCTACTTGCTAACAGCAAACTAATGCAATCCGAGGAGTCAACATTCGTCAAGACGAGATAGCCATCTCGTGTTTTATTATTAAATAAGAGGTGGTGTCCGTAGGAAAAACATTCATCTTTCGCAGTATCTGTTTTTATGGCGATATTTCCGTGTCGCCTCAGGGCTTTGCTTTTAGGAGTGGGAAAATATAACTTTGATGTTCAGCATATCTTTATAACGGTAATCCAAATCAAGATAAGGCTGCCTATAACAATCCGTTACCACAGGGATGGTTGCATTACTAGCCTAATTATTGTATAGCCGTCTGGTGGTAACAGCAATGCTTGCCTTGGACACAGGATGCCAACTCTTTTTGTTTTTGTGAGTTGACTTCCCGTCTGCTTTTCAGCCCTTCCGACCACAACAGGCACGATGCTGACATTCCTCATCCTGCGGGCACTAAACGTCCGTTTTTCAGCTAAAGTTGGGCTGCTATTTGAAAACATTATTTACCACACATAGCATGGTTCCTAATTTGTAAAAAGATGTCAAATCATCTTAATCATGATATCTGAAGTTCGATTACCCCGTGCCCGACAAACAGGTACGAAGCCGGAAGAAACGCTGTTTGCACGCCTAACGCCAGTTATCTTAAATGAATTTAGTAAATCCGTATCCTTCGCTTCACAGCGTACGACACCGTGAGTTCAGATTTAGTGACGGAATTCGTTTGGAAGATGGGAACTTTATCTCATTCCGGCCTTTCTATAGACCGAACTATTGTCTGGCTAGAGCTTCGGTCAAATTACTGCGTAAAATTTGATTCTTACTGCAAGTAGTTTATTGTGAAAGAGAAGAACATGCATAAGACTCTTTTAAAGCTACTACGTAGTGTCATTTAGCGGGCAAACATCTTGAGCAAGGATAAAGGAAGCCATTGTACCCGCAAAACTTTGATTTTATCCTACTGCTTGATAACAGTTTCAAAGCAAACACTCAAGGCTTTCGTCTGCAAACATCGAAAATTTTGACAGTTCAATTGTGCACAAAATTTGCTTGGGAATAACAAAATACCTACTTTGGCGCCACAATTGTTTCCAGCTTGGCCAACCTGCAGGAAAACCAGCTCCCGCATTTTTCACCCGTTTCGGCCGAGGGCTGCACGTGACGGAGTTTTTTGACTCGCCGCTTGCGTTGAAAATAAATCGATTACCTTGTTCAGAGCGTGAGGGCCATGAGAAGCCAGCTGGGATGGCTGAAGCCAGGAGGGCGAATACGGCTTAGTTCGTCCGCCTTTAATTTTGGATGAATATTTAGCCTCTTTAGACTAGTGCATGCACTGGGATATATATTCGATACTTTCCAATCAGAGGGAAGAATGCCCCGGTTAAAGGAGGACCGGAAAATATGCAAAAGCGGTCTGCCGAGTTCGCAAGCCAGCTCCTTCAGAACTGTTGCCGGTATTTGATCCGGAACAGGAGACTTACACTCCTTAAGCGATAGAATTTCCTTCTTCGCATCTTTTTCTGTGAAGTCGGTGCTTTCCATTATTTCGTCAATTGTTCCAACAGGTAATCTAGCCTCGTCAACGTCCGTTTCATTGGTGAAAAGGGATGCGAAAAGCAGGCTTATGTGTTCTGTCCTAGCGTCATTTTCTATTATATCCCCATTGTCTTCGCCTTTCAACAGTGATACCGTTTCTTTGTTCCTTAACCTGCTGTTGATGTAACTGAAGAGTACTTTCGGCTTATCAACGGCCCGTTTCATAACTCGCGGATATTCGATCTTACCTTGTTTCGCTTTCGGCCAAACTGCTCATAATGCGAAGGTTGTTTTGTTACTACACACCTTCTCCAGAGTTTATTACTTCGGTTTACTGCTTTATTTATATCTCTCGTTAACCAGGCGGGACGGTTTGTCATTTTGATTTTCTTTGTCTGACAGTTTCGATGCATAATGTCGGTTGCAACTCCTTTGAGAGTGTTCCAATCAATAGCCGGTTGTCCGGTAAGAACGTCCTGCCAGTTTACTACCGCTAAATCACTACTCATGGCAGCAAAATTTCCTCGCCAGAAATTCAGCACAGGCTCAATTGTAGCCATTTATTGGCTGTATAGGCGGCATTCCCTAAACAGCATGACATGGTCACTCTTACCGAGCGGTGCTATAGCGCTAAGTTCGCCAGCACCTATTGGGTCTTTTGGAAGGACGAGCCTCACATTATTTGCCCTTTGGCCTTCTCTGATTCTAGTTGGAAACGTGACGTTCGGTACGAGCAAGAGATAATTAGTTAGTTTCAAGAGCCTGAAATCAAAGAAATTTCGCGGGTCATTTAATAATAAATTTGACTAACCCAAACATCGCCTCGTCAACCTCAGGAATTTGAGGAAACGGCCTGTACACGGTCAAAAAATTCAGATTAGGTGCGCCGCGCATCCTCAGTTCTAACCACATGGCTTCACAGTCACGGAAGTAATCATTTTTGTGTTCTGGCACGATGATTCCTCTCTTGACGTAGATCGCTAGTTTTCCTCCTTTTTATGCAGCCTGTCTCGCCAAAAAGAGAGGTATTCATCGAGTACAATTTCGTCATTCAAGATTTTAGCCTGTAACCAAATCTGAGATGGAAATGACGTCCGGCTGCGTATCTGATATCCACACTTTCAGCTCATCTAGCTTCTTGAACAGATTTTTGGTACTTGCATAAAGAGAGCGCAGCTTAGCCCGAACTTATTTCCGAGCGACTTTTGGGTCGAAGGTTCTAGATGTTTTGCGCGAATTTTCCGGCCCATCGTCGCCCTTCGAGTCTACTGCTGTTTGATCGAACTAGACCTCAGTGTGTTGACCGTCATTTCTCTGGTCGGTTAAGCAGATAGAGGCGTTCTTTTTTTATAATCTGTTTGTTCACTATGCTCAGCGCTATTGACTGTCTGCAGAGGAATAAGCTCCGAACATTTACGATTTTCCCATTCAATACTCTTACGTTTCTCACGCTGGAATTGGACTTTCCGAGTAATTCAACATTGAGTTCCCTCCATTTCTCCCGTTCGGCCTGTGAGATATCCCGCTGAAAATAAACCATTGGGTGGGTGTCTCGGAGTTCTGGTTTCCTGTTTAGCAGTTGTAGAGTCTGTTCCTCACTTTGATGAACAATTTTTAATAGTCTGTGATGGCTCGACTCGTCCCTCGAATCCTTAACTTGTCCTATTCTGAAAGCTTTCATGACGGTGATGTGCTAGTTCTCTTTTAATATGGATTTGAGGTATTGATGGAATATTTCTATATCTTGGTTTATTCAAGCATACCCTTCACAACTATACATTTACTGCAATCAAGCTGAGGGCCCTGTCGTTTATTCTTATGTGCAGAGTCTACATCGCGCATGGTTCCTCGTCTATCGAGATTTCTTGGTCATGTGCTACCTTTTTGGCTTCGAGGCATTGCTTGCATTGTGTGTGGACTTTGCTCTCTCATGCTGACATTCTGACCTACTTGGTCTTTTTGGGATGCTCCGAGACGTTTCTTCGTTTTTTGAGATCCCTTTCGGTAGGTCTTCTCTCGCACATGAGACCGGTTCTCGGTTGGAATTAGGTCCGTAAACGGCCTGTCTTCTTTCTCGGGGGTTAATGCAGTTACTGAAGTCCTATTGGCATTCTTTCTAGTTATTTTCTTAATTTCCGACATCGCCATCTCTCTCCTTTCGGGTAAATGGTAAGGACGTTTCATTAAATTTTTCATCGCGGTTCTTAGAATCCTTATCTCCTTCTCCACCTCCAAGAGTTTTCGAAGAAGTCCAAAGCATGCCGTGCAAGTTTCGCCTTCGTATTTGACATTCAATAAAGTTATCAAACTCTGCGCGTTTGGCGGGGGGGATGATTTAACAGCAGCAAACGTGGCGCAGTAGCCATTTATATAATGTCATTTTTAAGCCCTCTGGTGCGCATCAGTGTGCCAGTGGTAACGACATTTCAGCGTCACTCTTGTGCCCAGGATCGAGACCGGATCGAGGCGGATATTTTATACAATGTCTAGAGGACACTTGATAGGCTCTTATTATTAAGTAAATAAACTTGAAATGGTTTAAGCGATGTGGAAAAGTCTTTAAGGCAGATCAACGATGTGAAGTAAGTAGCAAATGACTCAGCCATTTTTGGATTTGGGGAATCTCACGGTGCTGTTGTCAGAGATGTATTCGGAATAAGATAGGTTTTTCTAAACAAAGTCTTGTTGTAGTCCTGTGAAAATCGAGGTATTGAAAAGAAGGATCGACTTCGTATTTCCAACGGGCCGTTAGGACATTCAGTTGGTATTAGTGTCGCAAAAGGTGAATCTCTCGGGGTCGAAAATCTCAAACCTAATTCGAAAGGACCGGGAATTGTTGAAGACAACAATCCATCATACCTGGTGCAGGTTGATATTTCGCATCAGTTTATTTCTGTACGGTTCGTGTCACCCGCAGTTATCTCATTCAGTTTTAATGTTGGATATGTTGCTTATCAGACGGTTGAGGGCTGTTCCATTACCGCTACATTCTAAACGGCAGTAGGGGTATCCATCTAGTATGTTTTTGTGGGTCTGAGATTTTATTGTAGAAAAACGGGCTTCTCCAGCTTAGTTTTCGGTTGGTACTGTAACGAACCAGCAGACCTGACGGACCAAAAAACGGAGTTCACTTTTTTGTAGATCAGTCATGACGTCGGAACACGTGCAGTCCTCCCATCGACGATCAGTGACCCGATAAGTACAACCCTTCTCTATTTTTCCAGCTATCTGCTATCGTTTGTTTGAACTTGCACTATCCTTCTTTTTTTTCTACCTAACCGCTACCGTGTATGTTTTTACCTGCATAGTATTACAACATCGCTACTCTTCTCTATTTTCCAGCCTTTAGCCATCGTTCGCACTTGTACCTGTATAGTTTTACAGTAGCGTTATCCTTCTAGACAAAATCTCTTCAGTCTCAATAATCTAGTTCTATCTCCCGATTGTTGTTTAACCATCATCACAGATCTCGCGTGTCTGTTCTCAAGTGCTTGAATGATGGACATTTTAGGGATGAACCCTCAAGGACTGGATTTTGTGGCAATGAACCGGAATTTATACGTTAACTCGAATGGTACTTTGCCTACCCTCCTCCCGAATCAGCTGGACGTTACAGTGCATCAAGACCACTTTGTTCAGCGGTATTTTTGATGTAGATCAGGCAATTTCCACCTCGTTTATTAACACGGTACCGATGATAGGAATCACAGTTTAGGACATATAACGAAGCATTCAAAGTTAGCTTATTTGCCTATGTTTCTGTAGTAGAAAATGAATGGGGGTGATATACTTCAACTAAAGTTCTAAGATGTGATATTTTGTAGACTATCGATCTCGCATTTATAACAGTTATACTTACAATGTTGTAGATGAAAGAGGTTGGCTGTGGTGAAACGACTGATTCCCGAGGCTAATTTGATTGAGTGATAGGCCAAATGGAGGGGACTGTGTAGTTCTTGGAGGATATGGTGATTCATATAGCAGAATTTGAGTGTATGGATTAGGATGGATGGGTTGAGTGGATGTCTGGGGAGATGGGTTAATTAGGTGGTAATTACATCGAAATGGGATTTCAGTTGGGTAAGCCTAAGTAATTTTCTGGGTTGTCATAAGTTGCTAAGAAGTTTGAAGTTTCAGAGTGGTTTGGCCTATTCCTAAGTCATGCTGGTGGATTTTAGGGAGTTGAAGTGGAATTATAAGAAACTTTTTTGTTTTTGACGACAGTTTGGAGAACTGATATTTCTTAGGTCTACATATTTAGGGCGTTTTAATTGTACTGATGTACTTAATAAGACCTTTTGGTTTGTATGTCTTGTCTGGCGGTAAATCGCTACTACTGATTGTTCGTTTGGAGGCGTCGAAGTAAAACTTATATTACAATCTAATGGCGTCACGTGACTGGGTCCGAGGTCTGCGTCTTCGCTCTGTTCTGGTTGAGTGTTGGTGCCATGCTGTGCATCCTTTGCTTGTTTCTGCCCACCCCTCTTAACCGTTTTTGCAGTTATGCGTTTTTTATCATAGGTGTCAGAGTCAGAAGTACTCGCTGTAGGCTCACCTGTGGAAGCTGTACGTCTATCATTTTGTTTAAGCTGGGTTGTACACTTTTTTCATTAGTACCAGTGTAAGAAGAACTTGCGAGAGGTTCAACTGAGGGAGCAGAGTGCTGATTATCGTGTCTACATCCGGAGTCTCTTTCCGCCAAACAATGCGTTCTTCTTTGGTCTGGAGTATGCGAAATGGATAATAACGAATAATCCCAAATAAGCACTACATGGTCACTTAGGCCAAGGGGCAGCATGGAGGCGATCTCGTCTATACTGTCGGGCGCTTTCGAAAAAACCAGATCCATGCAGTTTGCCATCTGTCCTTCACCTGTTCTCGATGGAAACATTACATGTTGTGTGAGAGACGTCTTTAATGTTTTTTTCAGCAGACGGTAATCGAATGTCGATTTTGGACCTGACGCCTGGAGGGTGTTCCAGTTTATTCCTGGTGCGTCGAAGTCGCCCACGATCATGATGTTACTTCGACTGGAAAATTTCTCCAACTGATCCAAAAGTTGAGTGTCAGCGATTTGGTCTGTCCTGGGTGGCCGGTAGACAGTGAGGACATAGGGACTAAGGGAACCAATAGCCTTGATGGTCAACCAAATAACTTCCGTGTTGCACGCAAACTTGGTGGTGCTTTCCGACACTGTCACGTATTCCTTCACATACACAACCATACCACCACCCTGACGATTTTCCCTGTCCCTCCGATACATTTGGTATTCAGATAAGTCTATTTCGCTATCGTTAACATTCCCGGACAGCCAGGTCTCGGTAACTGCTAAAACATCCAGAGACAGTTCGGCAAGGCAAAGTTTCTGCTCGCCTATTTTTGATAAGTGGCTTTAGGCATTTGTACGCAAGCACCCCAATTTTGCACCAGCCGAATTTTCGGCGGCATTGGTCACTGTTTTGAGCATTACTGCGTCATCTTGGACGCCACTTTTTCTGGGCTCTTCAGTTACTTTATGGGTTCCCTTTATGTCCGTTGCTTCAGTCAGAACACTGGACAGAAAGGGCTTACTTGCGTTGTCGACTCGAATGGTTGGTTCCACGAAGGTGTCTGTGTTTGCTGCGTAGCTGCAGTCTTTCTTAGTATAACTGGCTGGTTCCGCTGAAACGGCATATTTTTCCGAACCACTCTCGCCTTGAAGATACGAAGGTTGTGTTCGCCGCCCTCCGGCGTTGAGATTGCTGATAGTAGGGACAAAGCGGCCTATTTTTCACAGTTTTTCTAATCAGTCTACACAAACGAGGCAATGTTCCTTCCCCAATCCACAGAAGAACTGCTGACTCCAAGCACAAGTAATATACTCTGCCCAGAAGGCATTGTCCGAAGAGACTTAGAGGCATTGAACGAATCGAATTCGTCAGGACCAAAGGAAACTCCACTAAAGCTTCCCAAAGAACTTTCCAGTGAACTTTCTGTGCCTTTGTCGATGCTCTTTCAAACGTCGTTTGACACTAGAACACTTCCTATCAATTTGAAGCTGGCGAATATAACTCCGCTATACAAAGGAGGTAGCAGGGCATCGACGACAAATTACAGACCCATAAGTTTGACATGTATTCTCTGCAAAGTTATGGAGAGGATCATAAAGACTGAACGGATGCATTTCCTGGAAGTTCACGGTCTGCTATCGAAATGCCAACATGGGTTCCGTAAAAAAAGCTCCTGCAGGACAAACTTACTGAAATCTCTCCAGTGCTGGACCCAAACTCTCAAAGACAGGCAAGCGGTCCACGTGATTTTCACTGACTTCCAGAAGGCGTTCGAAAATGTGCCGCACTGAGGCTGTTACACACATTAAAAATTAGGGATCGGTGGCAACTTCCTCAGATGGATCGAAAACTTCCCTGTGAGTCGACACCAGGTTGTGTCCGTCGGTCAAGGGAAATCAGATCCTGTTTGCGTCGAGAGTGGTGTCCCCCAAGGTTCAGTACTGGGAAACATTTTGTCCCTTATATTTGTGGACGATGTCGCAAGAGCTTTGAACTAAGAAGTTGCAATGTTTGCCGATGGCATGAAAATGTGGAGTTTAACTCAGGCTCCCGCCGACTAATACGCACTGCAGGTGAACTTAAATCGGTCGGAAGCGTGGTTTAAACCGCTGGCTTCCGCGGTTCAACGTCGGTAAGTATAACATACTTCACTTAGGCTACACAGCCAGATCCGCCAGCACAAGAACTACTTTCTGGGCTGGGCAACCTGACTGGAGGTCAAAGCCCCAAAAGACCTCGGTTTGCTGACGACAAGTTCCCTAAAACCATCCGCTCACTGTTCGAGAGTGGCAAAGAGCGCAATGTCCGTGGTGTACGCTATCAAGCCTGCTTTTATGGATTTCGACGAAGACGCTTTCTCTAAGACTTTTGGAACATTCGTCCGGCCGCACTTGGAGTGCGACATACTGGCCTAGAGACCGTGGGCTGTTGATGATCAAAACTGCCTCGAAGTATTTCAGAGGAGGGCCAAGAAGATGGTTAGGAGTCAAAGCCTCTTTCCTTATGCAAAGCGCCTAGTAAATCTGAACCTCTTCCCTATGAGTTACAGGCAACTTCGGGGGATCTCTTGCAAACATTCTTCATTTTAAAGGGGTTGGATTGCAGCCTGGCCTTCGAGGACTTTTTTGAATTTGCTACCACAACCAACCTCCGAGGTCACCCGTTTAAACTGCGCACTTAACAGGCAAGACTGGATTTGCGGAAGCTCGCCTTCTCTGTTCGAGTGATCAAGCCGTGGAATGCCCTTCCTACAGATGTTGTAATGTCATCATCTATACAAGGCTTTAAAAAGAAGTTAGACCTATTCATGTTCCCAACTGACCAAGAGCGATGAGAGGTCGAGCTCATCCCCTGCAACTCGCTCCCATTTTGCCCTGCCTTTATGGGCTCATTTGAACTATTTCAGTCGAAAAACGTTTTCTGTACGCCTCACATTTCTACGTTGCAAAGACGGTACTAAAAGGTTTGCGCATATTTTCCCCAATAAACTGAACTGAACCATCTTCCTCTTTGTTTGGTCTTACTCCGTAGCTCCGTAAACACCCAGGTCCCTAACTGTTTTTGAACAGCTGTTCAACATTTTAGGCCTTCCTTCTCTTTACATTATGCATGGAGATTATTTGAGATTCACAGCTTTTGCAGAACTCTGGCAACTTGATCGGAATTTCACACATTCATGTTGGTCCTATATAACTTCAAATTACATTTCAATAGACAATAAGTTAACTTCTAGCTGTCGAATTCCAGGTCGTACGTAAGCGCTGAAAAACAAACTGACAGTTTGTGACACCTCCTAGCAACTAACAGTTAACGCCTACGATACTACAGGTTTATTGAAGCGTGTCCCAGTCAGCGATGGCGCCGAAACCACATCGAAGTACGATCCACAAATGGACTACTTTGATTGGTCAAGCAATATTCGTTTGAAAATACTAAGGTCAGTTAGAGTAGTGCTGTAGCGGCCGAGGACGTCGAGGGTAGAACACGCCAGAGAAAGGAAACGCAGATGAGAGATCCTGGCCGGGTTAGACCCTGAACGGAACTGTTAACACTTCTTGATACTCATCCATACACCGGGGAAGAAGGCAGATCGAGTAATGGAAATAGTGTAATGCATAACGAGATAAGCAAGGAAAATGTGTATAATAACTGTTAACAATACAGGGGGATGAGTTGCAACTGAAGAATAACCTGTCTGGGTGAAGAGGTGATACCAACACGCCAGCTAGTAAACCGGTGGGGAGTGCAGCGCTGGGGGCAACTGCAGGGAAGGGCCGAGGAGGTGCCGACGTAGAGAGAGACGGAGGACGGTACGAACGTTGCGATACGATGCGGGAAGAGGGGTCGGCGGAAATGAGAGGGAAGGACACCGGTCATCTTCACCAACATGCGGTTACGCCATCTTCACCCCAGGTCCACGCGCCAAAAAAGTGTTCACACATTCAAATAACTCTGTCCAAGTCCAGGGGCTTTACAGTGCAACAGTGCAAGGCAAGAGCGAATCAAACAACCGGTAGTTGGCACTTCCACTTATCGAGATCGGAAAAAGCTCGAACATGTCGCTCATGCAAGAATGAAGAGAAAATCACCCTTGATGTGTTCCCGAGAACGGAGAGAGAGAAACACAAAGAAACGGTTAATAGATGTAAAGAAGCACTCGAGGTACTGGAAAAGAATTTGTTGGAAACACCACTGCGATTTTAATAGGCTGAAATTTATGAGCTAAAAGCAAAGACTGCGCCCGATTAACAGCTGCTCTATGTAAGAATGTGTACTTTACCACGGCTGTCTTCTCCGCTCTCATCTCTGCTGTTGTTGTTCTGTGGAGTAGCTTCCTGATTTTAATATTGTGATGAAGTGTCACCTGCGTGACATAATCGACGAAGCTGGACAAAGGGCGCGTGCGTATGAATTTGTCCGACAAAGACGTTAATCACAAAAGCATTTAATGATAGAAAACGGGATTCGAGTTACTGTGTTGAACGCGATGATTTTACTACTGGAACACGGCATGAAATCTATGGCATGGCAGAAATACTGCTGTGGCGTATGCCACATTTATATCTGTACTAGAGAAGAAGCCAGCTGATTATAGCGACATCGAAAATATTTAAGTTGTGTGGAAATCAATCCTGCGAAAACTTATATCGCAGACGGTATATCGGCTGAATAGTCTGGTTTATAGGATCATTTAGATGACGCACTGTAGTGCGATACACGGTATAAACCTCCACATCTTGGTTAGTTCGCTGAACGGATTTGTTGTCATGGCTTTAGATTCATGCATTTTGTTTCTCAATTTCTACACTTCGAAATAAATTAACGATTGCCAAAACAGCCTTATACTAATTATTTTCCCAGAGTAAAGCATTTTCGAACATATTTGTTCGGTTTGAACCACCACCAAAACTGGGAAACCACTCATTGTTCTTATTTTACTCTAGGACTCCTCTAGATAACCGCGGCTTGGGTTTTTTTAATCACATGGAGCATTCGTTCAAGACCAATATGTCGAAATCCCCTACACCACAAAATGCAATTTTGCTGCTGCGCACTTGTATTGATACCGATCACCGATTTTCATATTTCCTGTTGGTTTGGCGGCATTGAGAGTTGACTGATATCCAGTTAATCATTTGCCTCAAGTTCGTCAACAAAAATGTACCTTTTTAGCTTTTCCCTTGATCCATTTAGTTAATGACATGTGCTGCACCTGCATCTCGATAAGCCTTAACAGAAGTGCATTTGCTCGATATCGACTGCTGTTAGGGCTGTTGCTAGTATTAAATCCTGTCTGTGAAATATCAGACATGTAATTTTGTGATTTTACTGTATTCGTTTAGTTGTTATTCATAGTAGTTAAGGGAGTCACATTTTCTTAAAAATTACAAGAAAGTTGAAGGATGTTGGAGTCCTCACTGTAATAAGGTTCTGGAGACCATGCGGCAAGCCGAGCTCATTTGGCACATTTGGCACATCATTTGGCAGTTTTGCGTGTCAAAAACCAAGATCTTCTAAGCTTTAGTCCGAGATACCTTAACACATCTTAAAAAGTATAGGTATGCAGTCTTTGACTACAAAAGAGTATTTGCTTTCGGCTAACAGACCGGAATTACTTAAATAAATAGTCAATCAAACGTAATATTCCTTGTGGCATAGCTTTCAGTTACCAATAACCCCTCTGTATTCCATAAATAGCTTCGAGTCCGTTCCTTGTTCTGAGCCTGCATTTATCGCTTAACAGGTAGGGCATTTCTCAACCAGCAATAGGCCCGCTTTTGTTTGTAGCGTCTAGTCCTGGTCCCTTCAAGAAGCCTTTAAACGTTGCGTTGTAGTTGTTTATAAGGTATAAATCAAAAACTTGACCTCCAATGATTTCTTTCGAAGGATTTTCTTTCGAACGGGAGATTCGGAATTGCTATTTTAGATTACGCACTGTTCTGTGCTTTTGCCTTGCGATTCTGTTGGTTATCTACTCATCTTTCTTGTCGGACGCGCATGACTGTAAGGCACGAGACGTAGACTGCCTTGTTTAGATTTAGCGTCACTACATCGCCGCTCGTCAATTAGACCTAGTCACTATCTGCCTCCTGTCACGTTTTGCAACTCCGATAAAACTGCTTAGTATGAATTACAAACAGCATCATGAAATTAAATTTAAGTTGGTGAAAAGTGCGAAAGATGACTGTTTCGTGGAGATTGTAACTCATGGGCGCCCCTAACTGAGACTGACAGTGAATGGTATACACTTTACGCAGACACTGTGGAAATCTCGTATATCACCCGGCTGCCCGACATGCCTATGAACGACTCACAACGACGTATGTCCATTTTCTTCCAACCATGTCCTTGAAAACCTCTTCCATAAGTAGGTGTGAGCCATGCAGTGCCAATTCTCACACCCTTTGGCAACACGGATACAAATTTGCACGCGTGCGACCCGTCGACATCGGTCCTTTGCTTTTGTGTTAATGTTTGGATTTGCGTTTGGGGCTATTGCAACTTCACACCAATCAGAGCCATTACTGCCATAAACGCAGTCAAAGCGAGAACACCCGTCAGCTCATGGTATCTCAATATTTCGATGGTCCTTGTCTGGCAGTAGCTTTTCACGGTGCTGTGCTACTGGTTTGACTCCAAGCTGCTGCTGTAAGGTTTCCCACGTTTTAGAAAACAGTGCTTAATTCTCTATCAAAAGCAAGCTAATTACATATTTGCAATTGTATTCGGTAACGCAAGTCTAGATTTGCGATTAACTAACCCGTGTTGTCATGGGGGCTTGCGAATATGATACACATTTCGTTCTCCATTTTCCATATGAGTCTTTAGATGTATATCCAAGCTCCAAGGCAGCGGTAGAAATAGCATTTTTTTAAATGGTTGGTTACGGTTCTTATGCCGTGTCGTTACCAGTCGGTGGCTTTTTGTAAGTGGTTCATGTGCCATAAGCATACTGTCTGCCTCCCAATAGCGCAATTTTGGTGTCCGACTAATTTCGGCCGACTAGAGAAAACCCGTTCTCAGCTGTATTTGGCAGACAGCCTCCACTATTTTCCACTAATTACTTTGCTTTGTTTAGTGATATTCGCCAAACGATTTTGCCCTTGACAGCTATTCACATGAGCAAAGTGGGTCAGGGTGTCAGTATTATTGTAATATTCCCATTTGGAATATTCCCCTCCTCCCCATATTTCTGTGTTGTGTATGCTTTACACTTTTTTCCCTTTTCTGTTAGTCTTTTCAGGACGATAATTTGAGTCCTCGTGTTTATGTCAGAAAATGGTGGTAATTGACCAGCCTCTGGATTACTAATTTTACAGTAAACATTTGGAATTTTGTGTCACAGCAGTTTTTATATTTTGAAATGATTCCTGTCATTGGAGGTATTCTTATCATTTAGTCACATTTTTTTCCATTTCCTCTGCTATTTTCAGGCATGTGCTTGGCTACTCTATGGCACATGTGTATCTTGTTCATGTTTACTTCGGCCTACATGTTCGACGTTCCTATCCTTCATAAGGAGCCGCCTTTCACCAATACTACTGCATTCTTTAATGAATCGACCGGCTTTGTCTATGACCCAAATTCTCCTCTCGTCATGTGTTCCTACCTTCCGCGGCACTCAATCTGGTGCGAGCCCCCAGAAGGTATGTTACCCCAAATTTTTTTTCATCTTTAGACTTGCACGGTAACAAGAGCCTCTTCCTCGAGACCACGCAAGGCTGTTATCAGTGGGGCGGGCTGAGGGTTGACGAGGTTCAACTAACCTCCATCACTTGCCACGCCCTGCCTGATATCGAGTGCTACGGAAATCGGACATTCTTACTACACGACTACCCTTGTCTTCGCTATCACGGACACTACTTCCTCACGACTCTGTTCTACAGCATATTTTTGGGATTCTTGGGTGTCGATCGGTTTTGCCTAGGACACCTTGGTACCGGTGTTGGCAAACTGTTGACTGTTGGTGGGTGTGGGGTCTGGTGGCTCGTGGACATTTTCCTTCTCATTCATGGTGATCTTCGTCCGGCGGATGACAGCTCATGGATGCCGTTTCTTTGACTTTCTCTCTCCTTCCCTCTATCTGTTTTTGCCGCTTGTATATTCAGTACATCATCTATTCAAAACATCGACTTTTCAACTCGGCCCTCTGTCATATTTTCCTTCACCTCCCTCCCCCACCCCCCCCCCACTTTGATTTGCCGTATTTGTGCTGGCAGCTTTCCTCTTTTCAGGGGCTATGCTTAGATATGGGTCGCTAGGAAGTAGAATCAGGCTGCGAGGCGCTGACGAACATCGGCTTAATAGCAGTTACTTACTAGTGCTTGGTTCGGCTGCGATCGTGCCGGCCTCGACTATGTCGCGTGTCTACCTGCGGTAACGGATCTAGAGAAGTCGACCAACTCTATTCTCAAGCGACCGGAACCAATTACAGAGGGTTCAAGAATCGCCGTCATGTCGTGGCGAACTGGGTCTAGCCAGGTTTTGAGTCGACTTCTTCGACGCTTCCTGGTAGAAATCGACAGGGGACCCAGGACAACAACACTGGACTTCTGGTGTGAATGACAAGGAATATGTGATAGCCATTGCAGTCGTCTTTTTGGGTGGCCTGAGACATCCTCACGATTTCACAGCGGGTGCGGACTGTCTCATTCGAAGCTAATGCGGTATACCTCACACGGACGTTGATCCTCAGGCAGCGGTGGTCAACCTCCTCCAGCGTTGGCACAGTCCAACATCCACAACCTTATAGGTGAACTGCCTGAACGGGTATCCGCCATACGCGGATCTTTTTGTCGGCGGCGATGTCCTGTCGGGTCCATTGGCACTCTCTAAGGATTGCAAGAACAGCGAGCACCACTGACTCGAAGACGATTCCGTCTCTTGTTCACCCGGTGGCAGCCTCGCCCCAAGGTATCTGAAATTAACTATTAATCTCGGGGGTTGCTTTCTCCCGGTTTGGGATACAACACTAAAACTATTTCGTCATTCTAGGGTTTGGGGATAAAACGACCGATCTAGCGATTTAATTCTCCCGCGACACCAATCGATAGGCCACCAAAGCTTGAGGTCTGCAGGGCAATATCGTCAGCATAGTCAAGATCGGTCAGCCGGCGCGCGGGTGTAAATTCGACACCGCTAAAACGTTGTAGGGCTCTTCGGAGGCTTCTGTCAACGGCGTAGATAAACAGGATTTAAAACAAAATACAAACTTGTCGAACGTCAGGTCGAATCTAAGACGGCTGGGAGCAGTTGTTATGTGTCAGAATTCGCGCAATCGTTGAGCGATAGTAGGCCTCGATCATGACGATTTTTGTCACATACCGCCTAGATCTATTATCGTCCACAGGAACCCACGGTGGACGGAATTAAACGTCGCAACGTATTCAACGAAGCAGACTCTTGTCGGTTACCGGTAGCCATGGCGAAATTCAATAATACATCTGCTTGGCGCATCCACTTCGAGCTCTAAACTCTGTGTTCTCACACCGGATTATTGAACTCACGTCCCCGAATCATTGGGTATTTTACGTTCAGCGCTCCGCAAGCTTGAATTCCTTACTCTTGTCAAAAGCCCTAACTAGCGCCTTCCGCTTTTAAGACCGGACTGGTCCTGCAGACGCTGTTCCTCAACTGCCTCCTCCCCCAGCATTGTTGGACAAAAAAGCCCAATTTGCTTAATGGCTCACATGATTGGCTTATACATACGATTTATCTTTTTAAGTGTCACCAACGTATTTCTGCCCTAAACGCTTCCCGCTGGCGTGGAACCCTCCAGTCGACTTTTACAGGAAACGTTTCTTTGTTCTCACACTCGATCACCAGTCAATCGCAGTTTCCCGGCCTTTTCTTGTGATTTTTGTTATACACATGTTGGGAGACTTGTGGAAGTTGGTCTTTGCGTTTATACTATACCAACACATGGTTTGCTGTTTTTATTCTCGTCTCACAATTACCACCTGTAGACAACACCGAGTTCAGGGGACAAGCCCGGGATTAAAGGTATATTCAAATCTACATTAGATAGGTAAACATACAATTATCAAAAATCATAAAGGGAATGGTAAAAAACTTCGTTGATAACAGTCTATCTCGTCATTGCTCGGTACCTCTGACATTTGGGGGTTTTATTGTGCAATCTGACAGTCGATTATGGCTCGGTTTGGTAGCTCTGGTGGTTTTGTCATCCACCGCCTCCTTTAACTCCACGGATCGCTTCCACAACAACGTTTTTTGGCGGAACCAGCTAATTAAAACCATGTCCTGAGTCGTGTTTACTGCCTCTCACTGACTGACTGTTCGAAACTGGGCAACACTTTGCTAAAACATTTATTGGAACGAGCAAAAGCTAGATGCTGTTACATCCCCTTACGGCTCTGTTAGGTGCTCTATAGATATTTCCTCTATGCCTTGCCAATTCTTCAACCTTTCCACCCTTAAGGCTACCGATAATGCAGCAATGTCCGACGCTTGTATTATTGATCCGAACTCGGAATTCGCCAAAAAGTACCCCAACGGCCTGTCTCTGGCAGATTTGATGCCCTTCTACGAGGACATAGCTCAGAAAAAGCCCATCGTCCTTGAGTGGAAATTCCCCGGCCGGATCAAGCGCCCGTCAACTCAGGGTGAGTCATACACTTCCTCGAGTCCAATCAAATCGAATTGGCGTAATAACAATTGTTTTATTGAACACCTGTGTGGGTACTCTCGGTGTAAACAAAAAATTTTCACAAATAAATCTCGGAATTAATAAGTAGGTATCTACGGTGAACCAGAAATGGCCACTCTGCTGTCTCTAGTCCTTTTTTGGCTTCGCTCCTCCGCACCGAATTTGTCTGTTGCCAATATTCACCTTCTACCGGCACGGTCGCAGGAGGAGCACCGTTTAAACTAAAAGTTAGACCTGCCTTCCAAGTTAAGAATTAGGACGTATTATTCATACAACCGACGGACGTACCCCTCGAAAGATACGTGGTTAGAGCACCGGGCACGAAATCTATGAGTGGATCTCGTTTGGGGACCAGTGTCTTCTGGTCGCGCAACTCCCCTACTCCCCACAGTTTATGTTCTTATTGTTAGACCCAGTTGGTTTCAAGACAGACCTCAAAGCCGAAATACAAACTTCTCTAAGTTTAGATTTTGCCGACTAAATTGGGACCTTAGACTTCGTAGTAACGCGAGCAAATCCGGAGCATCGGTTCATACACATCTCGTGCGCTTTTTATGACCCTACTTCCATTGTCTCCTGGTGCCAACACCCTTTTATTTGTACATTACCTTCACTGAGCAATCATTTTTTGCATGTTTAAAAAAATTGCACCCACATTGGACTTGGTCTGTCCAGGCCCGTTTTGATTGGTTAGAAACTCGAGGTAAGCAGATTATGAATGCACTTTCACCTATTTTCAGTGAAGCGCTGGAAGAAGGCCGCCTTCCTCGTACTGAAAGAAATAAAGCAATTGCCTGCAGTCTTCGTGCATATTTCGTTTTTAGTCACGTTCCTTCATTATTGCTGCTCTTTCTGCCCCTCTCTTCAGCCCTTTCCTTCCCCGCCGAATGTGTGCGCGGAAGCTCAGCCAGTACTGAGTACCATTAGCACCATGGTTTGTACGCACTTTTGTCATTTTCGTGCTTTTCAGAAGAGGGTGAACGGACTGCTGCTACAGCTGCCGTCTCAAAAGACACTAATTCTCAAAGTCAGGCTGCTGAAAAGAGTAGTGCTGCTGCACCTACCGGCCAACCGAATCTCTCCGAGTTTGATTTCGATGATAGTGCAAACCAGCCAATAACAGCGGCAACTACCGGTCTGCTTGCACGCCGTCTCTTCGGCGCTGGATCTGCACGGCCCAACCGGGAGCGGCGTGTTGCCAATATGGACAAGATTCTGAAAGACGAGATGCGTAAGCGCAAAGAGGAACTTGAGAGTGCGGCCCTGGCACAACGCCAGCTACGGCAGCAACTGCAGCGGCAACAGCAACAACTGTCTGCTGACGTTGGTAGTACAGCCTGTCCTACAGTCCCAGCAGCGAGTGACGTCTCGTCCACCTCGCTGCCTGCGGAACCACTGGCGACGATGATGGGAAGTGCTACGACTTCTCAACTGCCCTCTGTAGTGTCACCGACTGGTCAGCCACAGGCTATGGAAGTTTCACTTGCCTCGACGCCAGCCATGCATCAGACTGAGGTCGCTAATCCTGACCAGCCAGCAGTAGGGCAACCGGCTGCTGCTCTTTGTGAACAAGTTGACTCTCTAGCTGTAACGGATACGTAATAAGTCGTGACTTCTGATGTGACTTCTTCGCATGTTTTTGGGCCTTTTGTCCGCATAACGTTCATCATTCATGTTTTTTTGTGTCCTTTTCGTTAGCTCTCATGCACAACTTCCCATCTTGGTGTTGGTACACTGGATGTGGCCTAGCACCCCAGGTAATCTATGTCGGCGTCGCTCTAAACCACAAGGCGGGGGCACATAGACCCAGCGCGTGTGTTAGTTAAGCTGTTTCGGATCAACATGAGTCCGTTACTAGTGTTGTGTATGGCACGTCGGCCGCTGGGCCCATCGCACCCTCGAGCAGACATTTGGCGCGCGAGAGAGAGGAGGAAGACTGAATTTGATCCAACTCGGTTTCGTCGCACATTTCCTCGCTACAAACGCCCAAATGTGTTTTAATACAATCACGACGTACGCTTTCCAAACGTTTAGCATCACAAGGGCAGTTAGTTTTCCGGGTACAACCGACTGTGGAAGCAAATGTGCGTTCCCAGGTTCTTGTTGCAAAGAAGAGGAACGCTCGATCACTGGGACAGTAAGTGTATTAGTCCGAGCTTTCGGTCTCGTACAAGGGGCCATCATCAGAGGCTGTGAGAGTGCGTCGTCAAATGAGCAGTTTTATAATCAAATCAATAAGGGGAGGGGATAGGAGTGGGGGGGATTGTATTCGCAATAAGGCTTAGTCCACTCGTGACTGCGTGCATCTTTGGATAGGAATTGGGTCTCGTCCCTTGGTCGCGAGAACGAAACGCATAATTGCAGGGGGGTATATCAACGCGTCTGTTAATGAGGTTGGTGTCAGGCACCCAGACTTCCAGGAGTTCTCACCCCGTCTTACTGCTGGCCTGCGCCATTATCCGTGTGCTCGAGAAGTTGGATTCGTGGCCTTCGGGATGTGCGTGGCGACCTCTCCGGACTCTTCGTTCGTGGTCTGTTATTGGCGAGCTGAGCTGTCTTCCGGTCTGTACTGTATAATAGCGGGCACATTCCCGGCATGGGATCTGATAAGCGACACCAGATTGTTCTCCTGCGTCTAGTCGGTCTTTCATTTGCATGATTTTGTTGCGCATGATAGCAGTCGGACGGTGAGCGATACCCACGTCGAGCTCTGCAGCGTTACGTTCCGTCCCAGTGAAGGCGAAAAAGATTTGTTTGCATAAGGCAGAGTTTTAGTAAATGGTCAATTTTAGAGGTCGCTTCTCGAGCCGTTTGCGTAGACCGTCCCGTGAATATTCTCTTCGTGCCATTCTTCTACACTATCGCACGCACTCCGCTTGTTGAGGCGTTACTTAACAGCCTTATCGATGTGCAGATGGACGCTCATTTGGACAGTCAGTAAGACAAGTTTCTCACAGACGAACTGGTCCGTAGTTGTTACATAACTGTCTAAACCAGTTTATAGGGAGCTATTCTTCCTGAAAAGTACCGCTAAAAAACCCGGTATCACTAAAATGGTTGTTTATGGCTTATTGTCCACCGTCAGCCGGTGATGTGTCCACACTAGGTGCTGGAATGCCCAATGATCTGACCCGAATCCAGTGAGTCGCAGCATGTGATCCATCTTGTTGATGTTACTCACCAAGCTAGAATTGGTCATTGTGCTATCCCTACTCCATGTTGGTTGCATCCCTCAGTGAATATTCGTCGCTACGCTGCCGACTGGATGAGATAAACAACCTGACTTTGCGCCAAATTTAGATGTTCATTTTCACTTTGCAGCCAGGATTTATCGATGAATGTCAAAGACACGACAGTAGGAGTTCCCTGGGTCGTGTGAAGAGACCGGGTCGTTAGCGGATGCTTTTTAAAGTTTTGAAAGCGTCGGCTTCGTGAACTTTGGTCTGGAGGATTTTCCACTAGCTAGCTGCTAGTCCACTTCTGACCTCGTACAAACAGCCGTCTGGTACCCGCAGCTCTGGCGGGGTCTTCTAATTGTGGCTGAGCCATTATGACTGCGCAGTACGTCCAATATTCGCATGCCATCCAAATTTTTAGTGAGTGCTCCGGTCGTTGCCGTACGTAGACGTTGTTGATGCTGCCGAAAATATGGACGAATTGTGCGGTAAGAACATTTCTGGCCCGCGGCATATTAAGCAGGTGTATATGCGCAATTGATTGGTGACGGCAGGGTGGTTTTTATGTTTGGGTGTTGGTGCTCCAAACTGTCATGCGTTTCCACATGTTGCAGCTTACATGTTCTGTCAAAGGCCCATATAAAAAACCAATAATTATCGCGCATTACATTTCGAATATCACCTTGCCGAGTAGGCACAAATGTTTTCAGTGTCTGCGTTGGGTTCCCCACCGTGGCGGTGGTGGTGATCGTGGTGACCTCTGCAGTCGATGCAGGAGTTAGGGCAGGACGGATGGTGGCGGCGGCGGCGGAGTAGCGACAAGGGGATTGGCGGCGACGGGGTTAGAAGTTGGCGCGCAGTTTGAAGCAGAGGCGAGAGCGGGAGAAGAGGTAGACGTTGTCGGATTGAGTGCACATTGGGTCCGAAGGTGTCCAACGGGACATATTCGTGCGCATAATGCTCGTTGACCGCGCAAGCATGTTGGAAGCGGCGAATAGTTGGCACACAGAATGCGAGGCACTTGTGATTTGCGAGCCTACCGTTGAGCTTGGGCGACCAAATTTGCTTCGTTTATGGCAGCGCCCGTCTTCTTGACGAGGTCCTCCCAGGCTCCTGGATTGGTATACAATCACTTAAGAGAATTCATCAATGTGTCCTTGTAGCGTTGTTTGGTTCCCTGGTCGACGAGCACCGGTAGCGATATTACCATAGAAGTATTGTTTCGGTAATCGTGTGTTTTCCATCCTCACGTAGCTGCAGTTGTCTCAGCATGGCGTGGATGTTGAGGATTCCGGTCCTTTCTAGGACTTCCCTGCCAGTGATTCTGTCTTTTCCGCTCAACTTTAGTATTCTGCGAGGTGGTCGGGTTTCATGGCATGGTATACGGCTCAAGTCTCCGCCCCGTCAAGAAGTGTCGTCAGGACGACGGAATTATACATTTTCAGTTTGGTACACCTTTGGAGACCGTGATGATTTCACACGGAGTTCTACAGCCGGCCGAAGGCTTGGCTGACTTTGGAGTTCCGGTGGGAAACGTCATCGTCGAGTCTCGTGCTGTTGGAAAGTGTGCTTCCAAGATAAGCGAACTTGTTCATGGCTTTGAGTTGATGGTCGTCGAAAATGATTCGAGGAGGAATGTAGTGTTGCGTGTTGGGTGACGGTTGGTGCGTGGGCGCTGTTTGTCCGTGTTGATAGGCTGGAGTTGACGCACCCGGGCGCCATCATCCCGTCGTGGAGCTGACGTTCCATGCGCGTGAACAGTTTAGGACAGCCGAACTTCCGCACGATTTTCCACAGTCTCTTCCTATTCACCGTACCAAAGGCCTTTGTAAAGTCCACGAAGGTGGTTTAGAGGGGGGTCTGCATTTCCTGGCACTTCTGTAGCTGGTAAACGGTAAACACTATGTCGGTGGTGCCCTGGTGTCTTCTGGAACCACATTGCCTTTACGGTAGGAGTTCTTTCTGGAGGTGTCCGTTGAGGCGACTAAGGAGGATGTGGGCGAAGAGCGTCCGGCGGTGTTGAGTAATGAAATGCCCCTGGGATTGCCATAGACTTGCCGGATGCATTTACGCTTGCAGAGGTGAACAATGGTTGTGTATTCGAAGTCCTGAGGAACTTGTCCACAGTGCTACAGTGCGTTATGAGTTGAGTTATCAGGCGGTGGTCGTCGTGCTTGTAGACTTCGACTGGGATTGCGTCGGAACCTGATGTTTTGCCGCTCGGGAGTTGTGGCGCGACACGAACAGTTTCTGGAAGGGAGGGCGGAGGTCAAGGTCCACGTTGATTTCCTCTTGGGGCAAACGGTCAATGGTAGCATCGGAGATTGTGGAGGAGGGGTCGAGGACGTTTTTGAAGTGTTCGGTTCAGTGTTTCAGAATCATTAACTTCTCCGTCAAAAGTGTTGATCCGTTGGAGCTGAGAAGCGGTGCAGCTTTTTGGTCGGCGGACGGTCGATCGCAGTAATAGTGACGAATATATTCCCTGGGTCGTTGTGGTCGAGGTCTATCAGGATCTCCTCGGCCTTGCGAGCCATCCAGGAGTCCTTCATTTCTCGCTGTTGTTGCTGCGCTTGACGGCGACATTGGTAGAAGGCCGCTTCGTCCGCAGCGGTTGGGCAGTCAATGTAGGCTCCGTGCAGCCTGTTCTTCTCGGCCAGCAGATTCCCAAGGGCAGTTTCATTTCCGTCGACCCAGTTCTAGTGCTGGCGATGTGCGCGGTCGAGGGCAGCCAGGGCGGTCGAGTGAACGGCGTCCGGTAAAGCACCGTCGAATCTCCTCGGAGGTGCTTTCATCTGCTGTTGGCAAGTCTTCAAACCGCTCAGTTAGTTGATTTCTGAAATTCAAACTGTGAACAGGCAAAGACATCAAAGCAGTATTCAGCTTACCTGGGAGTCACTTACCTTGTGGCCTCCCGTGGGCTTGCAGACGGAGCTGCGAGATGAGCAGACGGTGATCCATCCAACCATCGGCGTCACAGATCGACTTTGTCACCGGCGCGCTCTGTCGACCTCGCCGCCGAACGAGAAAATAGTCCAGCAGCTACCAGCGCCGCTCTCGGAGGTGTATCTAGGTGGCCTTCTTCCTCATCGGCAGGCGGAAGAATTTGTTGGTCAGCACGAGACGGTGTTCAGCGCAGGTGCGCAGAAGAAGGACGCCACTGCCGTTGCGGCCGGCGATTACATGAGAACCCAGCACTTCCCTCCAGGCAGCACACTCTGTCCCAACGTGGGCATTGAAGTCACCAAGGCCAACGAGCTTGTCCCCTATAGGCGCAGGCGCCAGGAGTGCATGTAGGTTTTCGTAGAACTTTGTCTTTTCCTCGTCTGAGCCGGTTATTTTTGGGGCGTGGGCACTGATGATGGTGGCGAACTTACCTCCCTGGAGAAGCAAACGAAAGCTCATCAGGCGATTGTTGGTGCCTCGAGGCAGACGGGACAGTCGTCCCATTATGTAGTTCCGAGTTGCAAGGACGACGACCGCATCACGTCGCTCTGCCTTGGGGTGACCGCTGCAGAAGTTGTGGCCGGCACCCATCTCCTCCAGTTGGCCTTGTTCGGAGGAACGGGCCTCGCAGCGCGCAGCGATGTCCATCTTATAGTGTGCCAGTTCCAGACTGACTCGTACCCTTCTTCGTTCCGGCTGGTTGCTCCTGAGATTATCTAAAAGAGAATGAACATTCCAGGCCGTCAGAGGGAGCAGACTCACCCTAGCTGCCTGTGGAGTGGGCGATGGAGAGGAGGAAGAGAGAGTATTTTGTCTTATGTTCCGGTTTCAACCGCATGTTAAGCTGTCTGCGGTCACGTCTGCGTGCAGCTGTTTTAAACCCAGCTTCGTCTAGGGCACCTTTTTATACTCCCATTCTCCACGCGGGAAAGCAGTGCTCTCCCTAAATAAGGCTGCTTTGTTGCAGAGGATGGATACCGCTCTCCATTATGGGTCAAGGGCTTTATTGAGAGAACTACCAATGGCCTGGCCGCCTACGTAGGGCCGTAGGGCTTTCAGTCGTGGGGTAAGAGTGTAGAGTTTAGTAGTGAGTGGAGGGAGTGAGGTTCGCAGAGAAGGTACGAAGGAGCAAAAAAGGGGTAGAATTACCGTGTGTGGAGATGCACACACGGACTGTAATTATCATCTCGCCAGTCTAGCCGGTATCTGTTGAATAGTATTGGAAATCATACTTGGGAAGTCGATAATGGAACTTCGGCATGGCATAAATGTGGCTTCATACAGAACGGTTTTTGATGTATTCTATCTGTTGTTTCCGAGTGTACAATCGATTCATTCGCTTGTAAGGAAAAGCGCCAAGGACGTCACTCAAATTAGTTTTATAATCGAGGCTGTTGGTGTCCCACGCAAAATTGTAATTGACATACTCGTTGACTGGAGTAAATGGCAGGCTATTGGCAGTGTTCCCCACGAAGAAATCACAAACCATACATGTTGGTGCTCGAAGTACACTCCTACTCGTATTTGAAATCATGCCACCAGTGTTCAATCATTGGCCTGTACTCTCTCACTGCAAACTCAACGGCTTTGAAGGTAACCAGAACAAAGGCAAAGTCATGTTGAATGCTGGACAGAAATTATGTTCGATTAGATCAGTAAGCACTTCAAGACAGACCGAACCGACTTAGTCTACGGTCTGGTTGGTGGCTCATAAATTTTAACCTTGGCAAGTGTATGGCCGTAAGGCTTCGTGCAAGAACACCCAGTGAGTAAAATGATTCATTATAGCACGCCTGTAATTTCCAGCTTCCTTCAAGTGTTGGTGAACAAAAGGACCTAGTTGTTTTAACGACCCCCTCGTCTAGACGATTATCCCACCGTTTAAGAGCATCACAGTGGCGAAACAGAAGACCGACAGCCCCTTAGGGATGCTTTAATAAGCCTGTTCTATTCTATTCAGGTGCCATTCTGTCAAAAACGGACGCTTACACGAACTGAACTAGAACCGTTTTTAAAGAGTACAACAGCATTCTTTCAGTTCTACTGGGAGAATTCTGTGCGTACAGGGCTTAAGAAGAACGATATCATCTTTAAACGAGGCTAGTCGAGAGCCACGAAAATGGTAAAAGTTGTTAGCCTACCGTCAAATACAGCCTCGCTGAATGAATTTGATTTATTTCTTTCGGTTTGCAGACACCTGTGTGGCAACCGTACATAGACATACCGGACTATTAGAGGCCGTGAAAACTGCTTCATTTATGCCTGGTTCAGAGAACCTGTTTGGTTACCTCTTTGGGCAGAGAGAGAAATGAAGTTAAACCAACCGGACCTCATACAAAGTGTCTTCACACAGAGGATCGTCCTAACACGAAACAGGCCCACTGCTGGGGTTTTGAGTTAAGACTATATTTAAGCATCTAAATACAGAGTTGAGGCCTATCCCCTCCGAAATCATCAAGCATATAGGCGTGACAATATTGGTGCCGACAGCTTACATTTAGTTTAGGGACACCGGTGACGCTATTTTTTGGCGGCTGCTGTTATAAAACTTTGATTTTCTCAAATTGGGTTATGAATAAGAAGCCCAAGGAGAAAACCTTATTCTTTACCTAAAGTAACTTCCTACACATAATTAAGCAAATCTTATCAGGAGCCAGAAGCAAAACGAACTCCAACCAGATGTGGAACCCAACTGATGTAGTCTAATAAGTTTACGAACGCCCTTGACTAGTTTGTCGACGTCTTTTGAAACGCGAAAGCGCGAAATTCTGACAGGACAGGAAGGAAGCATACTGAAAAATGAGAACTGAGTGATGCCAAGGCAACTCAGAAGGAATTTGGTTGGTGTTAAAGGACGGTAAAGAAAGTCACTCGTATGATGTTTCAGGGAACAGACACGGAGAAAATAAACGGCCCAAGGCAAAAGGAACGCACGACCCCGCCGGCCACGAGCTAAACGCGTGAAATAAGGCAACCGAACAGCGTGTACTGCAGCATCGATCAGGCGTAATGCCTTTGCTCACATATGCGGCCCAGTAAATGGCAGGTCGAACATTCCACATTGTTCAGACAGGATATTCTCGCACTAGAGACGGTTGATCCGCGACCGACTCGCCACATGCCGAAATGTTTTAAAACTCTCAGATCTCCAAATATTTAGTGCGAATTTGGACGACTTGTAAACAGTTTTGCAGGCTTTGATGATAAAGTGATTGTTCCCAGGACTCGCTTGTCTTCTCATCCATGATACCTTTCAAGATGTTACAAATGACAACGCCAGTGAGATGAGTCGCCTTTGGGTAAATGAGCTTGGTCCGCGCGTAAAGTTCAGGGTCTATGGTAATGCTAGAGAGTATCCCGGCCCAAGTCATCTTAACATTCATCTCTTATCAACTTTTAGGTTCCGAAGTCCTGTACCATCACCATTTTGTTTTTCAGTCGATTGGGCGTAAGGAAAAAAGCGTAAGCGTTTAACACGGGTAATTTAGGCCTTAAAGATAACGTAGACAAGAATGCTACCGAACTAGGATTGAACCACAAGTAGCATTATGATGTATGCTGCCTGATAAAATGTTTGGCCAGCCCGCTTTGCGAATACTTGGCTAAAAATCTGAAAACAATAGTTCGCTATTTGCAAGAGCATGTCGGAAAAAAATGTTCGGTCTTCCCATTTACGGAAGTTATGCGAATTTACAAAGAAAATCATTTTGATTGATTTCGAAAAACGGACAATAGTTAAAACAAAGGTTAGGCAATCGGTTGATGAGAAGAAACAGAGAAGGAAATGGAAATTGACTGCTAGTAAACTTTCACTAGGCTGAAAGTCTAGCAGGAGTTTTAAAGCGGGGTTTGCTGAACAGTGGTTGGACTTTTCAGGTAAGTGGTAACATGGAAACAAATAGCAAGGGGACTACCCCTATGCATTTTAAATTTTCAGCCACTGTGTCAGTCATGAACACAATCCCAACGCCTTGAGAAGATTTTTACAAATCTCAAGACGAGGGCTCTGCGCTGACATACCCCTGGTAGCATTTGGGCGCCCCGGGTTAGACATCTGCTCTACCGTAGGCTGATGTAGGACTAGTAATCTATTTGGTTGACGATACTTAGCCTCTGCGAGGAAAGGAGTCTATCTGCTACTTCCCCTCGATGCTCACCCGAAAATGCACTAATGCATTTTGGACGTCACGCCTGCGGTGTCCCTTTGCGCGTACGCACGCATGCAGGGGTGCACGCACGTACTTCGTCCGGAACTTTATATGCCTTCTTGGCAAATTAAATTTCCTCTTACAACAACGACCCCAACTCGCCCGATAAGGCCGCGTCAAGTTACTGCTAGTGTGTGGACATAGTCTTCCAAGATTGTTGAAAAAATTCAGTCATTCGCAACCGGGCGACCGGGATAGCCCTAGGCAACTGAAATGCTATTGCGGATACTGTAATTCCTCGTGGCCATTCTTTTGTTAGTCTCGCCTTTTTTTCGTTTTTATTGAGCTTATCTCTTTTGGTTTCGTGACTGACCATGCCTTCCGGATTCTCGTTTCGTCAAATGAGATAAGAGTTAGCTGCTGGGATCTTGATTTAGCAAGCACATGCGTTGGGAATATGGACCAGACAAGCAGCAGACATCCGCGTCTTAACGATGAAATCTTCGTGCTCTCAGACTGTTTACTAGGACTCAGGAACATTTTGACATCCGATGCCAAGGGTCTATGCCGGATTAAGTGAGTCGAACAGCGTACTTGTCCTCACCACTAGGCCAGGGTTACGGAGCGCTCACCGGTTACTGCGGACGCCGTACAGTGAATCGTAGTACTTGTGTCGGCCATTTTCGTGGGGTTTCTTGGTAATGTTGAGTACGGGCAGATGCCAGCAACTGCTTGAATTGCTTGTTCGAATCGCATTGGTTCAACAACTTAAACACAAGCCCGCGGAAGCGTACAAACTTATTTGGTGTGCGTTCACGGTCACCACGTTATATCGCCGTCATCCGGTTATGCAGTGCTTTATGCAGTACTCGGTGGGCCGGATCGCAGCCTACGTGGACGGTTGCTATTCCGCGACTCTAAAGTCGGCTTATTCCGTGGCGTACCTACTCTGGGGGCCTTTTCGCTATCCTTCGCCTGTGTATGTGCCGCGTATCTTCGTCTTTTGCGTTTTTTTGAGTGCTTTCTGATGGATGACACTAACAACGTTTAGTGTAGCCTCTACTTGGATATACGATGCTTCATCGCTCAAGCGACTGCTTAGACCGGTTAACAGTTCGAACTTGATTACCTTTTGTGGTACTTATAGATCTTTACACGCGCCCTTCACCCCGTAACCAGTTACTTTTTTCAGTTTAATTTTTCATGCGTGCCCTCATTCAGGCACACCTACGACCCTACGTTTCACGTTACTTATCGCAACACCTGTTAACCTTGGTTAATTTTTTTTTTCATTTTTGTTACACTGATAGCTTCCATTTTTCTGTCATGTCAGATTACTTGTGGTCCTATGGGTGGTCAGTATGTTGACCCTGAAACACCTTGGAGCACCTGAGATTTGTCTATTCAAACTCTAGAACTAAACCGTCTTTATAATGTTGGTGTGTTACTGCTCAAGGGTCTCAATGGAATGATCTCTCGAAACTGTAGCGCCATAACCTTATTATTACTTTGTCTGGTGAAATAGCACTCCAGAGTCTGACACCTCGGAGATTCGAGCGCGCTGGTACACTTGAACAAAAAGGAGGCGCCCGATGACCCATGAGGTACATTAGTCTGACCGCGCTGAGTCCGCATAGGTCCATATTGCCGTACATCCTTGGTGCACACGTTTTGTGGTGGCTCACTTCACGTCAGCGATTCATTCTAATGTCATTGATCAGTCGGTTTAATTCAGGCTTTTTACCCATATCGGGGAGGAATGGGAGCGTGTGGTCATTACGATTGTGATCCTGGATCTCTCAACTTTGCCAATCTGATTACTCTAACTACCAAAAGCACTCTAAAGCTATCGCGAGGTACTAATAGGTTTGGCTTGAGGGAAAGTCGTTTGATAAAATAAATAGGTCTAAGTCCGGTCTGATAATCAGGCTGCCACATATCCTTAATATTATCATTATGATGCCCTCACTTGTGTGAGATTCGAGACTCTTAGTCCTAGTGGGTCCGGGTAATGTGTGACACGCATAAACGGACTTCCAGACTTGTTCAACCAGAGCACTCACGCGAATGTCCACTCGTCTTGACTTTGTCTTGCCATTGAAACATGCTGTCAAAACGTAGAGAGCGAGGCATTGTTGCGTAGGTGTGTTTCACTATGAACAAATTCACACCCGAGTCAGCAGTGAACATTTCTCAAGCCAGTGGTGGTTCTTGTCGCTGGCGACTGTCGAGCCGTCGTAGATGTACTTTACCAAAGCTAAGAGCATATCTAACTCGTCTCTTAACGACATACCCAGTTCGTTGGCTATTCGATACAGCGTAGACGAGGAATCGAGTGAATTTTCAATCTACCATTCATGAAAGCTGATAAGTAAAAGAACGCTGCTTTAAGAAGTCCAGGCACCGTTTCTTTTGGGGCAAATTTGCGCCTTTGTGCAGTCCCCCAGGCTGATCAGGGTCTCAACGTCGTCTTGCACTTCAGTCTATATCTTAACTGCAGCGCAGCAGTTATTGGACCAGCGGAAGGCCCTGCATTTGTCAGCCCAGACAGCTCGAATCAGGTCTCGCAACGATGCTCCCTTCCACCAACTCCGGAAGATGACAGCAAAGTCGGCTAGGGATGAGACAACGGCCTCAGACGTTGGTGACACTCGAGAAATCTACCAAATAATTTGCCAAGTTAGTGATAAGCCCTCGAAAATAGTGACTCGGTTCACGACGTGAATGACGGCTTTAGTACTGAGAACTCAGCCAAGGTCGACCAATTGCATGAACACTTGGGGCACCTCAACTTTAATGGTCAACCCATCACACCCTCACTCTCCTCTGCAGTAGAGTTTTATCTCTCGCTCTAGCCTATCCAATGTGGTTTGACCTCCCTTCTGAGGAAGAGATCGCAGATGCAATATAGAGGCTGCACAACAAAAGGGTGGCCGGAGAGGACGATATTCCCGTTGAAATCTACAAGTCATATGTCAACACTCTGGCACATTGGCTCTATAAAGTGATTGAACAAGCGTGGAGAAATGAAGTAGCTCCTACTTACTTCGGCCGGGCATCTCTGTACCTGTATTCAATAAGGTGGATAAGACAAAATTACAAGAACTACCACGGCATAAGCCTCGTCGACATTGCTGTGAAGGCTTTCACTGTTGTCCTTCTCACACGATTCCAATCTGTACGTGACTCTAGGACTAGGCCCAACCAAGCCGGTCTTCGGCCTCGGCGTAGATGTACAGACCAGATATTCACACTGAGGCGCATTCTGGAATTCCGTCACGACCAACAGCAGCCGACGACCGTCTGCCTTCTTGACCTTGCTACTGCGTCCGATTCTGTCCATCGTGAGTCTGTGGCGAGTAATGGAACTCTATGATGTGCCGGTCAAAAATATCATCATGATCAAGACCTACCATCGCTCCACCACTGCGCGAGTTCTCGTCTGTAATAATCTCTTCCAGCCGTTCGATATCCGATCTGATGTTCGACTAGGCTGCATTCTGTCACCCACTCTGTTTAACTTTGACGAGATTCTCGGAAAGGCCCTGTACGGCTTCGACGGTATGTAGTTTGTACACGGATGCCAACTGACCAATCTAGACTACGCTGACTATATTGCATCGTTAGCCCTAAGCTTTTGGGATTGATAGTCTGTTGGGTCACTGCTGAATGGAGTCGCTACTTCGGTCAGTTTATCCATAAACGCTAGGAAGACCAAATTGTTTTTGAACTGTTTCTCTGACCAGGAGAAGGCACTCTTCTGAATTAATGGCCGTCAACTTGGAGAAGTGGACAGTTTTAAATGCATCGGGACAAGGCTGCTGCCCCATGGACAGAGTAAGAACGACATTGTCTCCCAAATCAATGCTGCTCGCAGGGTTTCGTCAATCCTTAGAATGTGTCTGTGGACCCGACGCGACATCTCCATCGCCACGAAGATCCGCGTGTACCGTGCATCTGACCGGTCAGTCCTCCTATACGGTTGTGAATGTTGGCCTTACGGTTGAAAGATGAGCGAAGACTGGAAGCATTTTACCACCGTTGCCTGAGGACCATCCTTAGAGCGAAGTACTTTGACTTTGTCTCAGATAGAACAGTCCGTACTCACTGTGAAAATATTGCGAGGATATCTCAGACCATCCGTGAAAGGTGACTGAGGTGGTTTGGACTCATTATCCGTCGTCCGCCTCACGAGCTCAGTGTTGTTGCCCTCTATCCGGCGTTGTTGTCCACCTGTAGGCGTCGAAGCGGAAGTCAACTCGAGAGCTTGCTCGACACAGTTCGTCAAGACGTGGAAGTGTTTCCTTGACCTTTGGTATTTGGTCTCCGTTGTTGGAGAAGAGGATGGATCGAGCTGTCCAGATGCGCTGCTGCAAATCGTCACGCATGGAGAGGTACAATAAATGGTGTCAGCGAGACCAGCTAGATCAAGCATGATCACAATCGCATTGAGTAGGTGTACTGTATCTTTCGTCAAGGGAGCTCTACCTGTTTCTATTTCCTCATCCTATTATGGTCTTGAAACTTGGTACCGAAAAGATGAGAATGCCAGAGGAAGTGTGGGCAGACTGGTACATCGCTGCACCTAGCTTATTCGGTCTTCATTAAGCCGATAATGATCCTGACCTCCACCGCAGTTTCGGAGCTTGTTTGCCTGAGGAGGCTACTGTATCAGTTTGGGGCCGTTCCAGCGTGACTTGATATGCCGTTGTAAATTTTGTTACGAATCGAATCGAATGTGCGAGTCCCAGGTTCTTGTCGCAAAGAAGATGAACGCGCGACCTTTGAGGCAGTACATGTGTTAGCCTGAGCTTTCGATCTCGTACAGGAGGCCACCATTTGAGACTCTGAGTGTGCGACGTCAAATGGGCAGTCTTCTAGTCAAAGCAGTAAGGGGAGGGGATAGTATTGGAGGGAGTTGTATTCGCGATAAGGCTGAGTCCACACCGTCTCACGGCGGCGTGACTGCGTGCACCCTTGACTAGGTCTCGCCCCTTGGTCGAGAGAATGGGACGCATATTAGCAGGGGGGTATATCAACGTATCTGTTAGTGGAGTTGGTGCCAGACACCCAAGTTTCCAGGAGTTCTCGCCCCATCTTATTGCTGGCTCGCACCATTATCCCTATGCTCGCGAAGTTGAATTAATGACCTTCCTCCAGGATATGAGTGGCGACTTGAGACAGTGGGTCGCCTCTCCGGACTCTTCGTTCGTCGTCTGTTATTCGCGAGCTAAGCCCTACGTCCGGTCTTTTGAGTTGCTACCCGTCCTTTATATCTATTTTCAGATTCCCCGCCAACTATGAAAGTTGTGTGAGACGTGGCTTTTCTGACTTCATTTTCTTGCACTAATTGGTGTTTTTTCTCAAGTCCTAGTGCTTGCATCCACTGTTTTAGTTAGTTTTGATACATCATGTAAAGCATCCCTCTGGGGCAGTGCATATCTACTTCTCATTGTCGTTTCCAAAGGATGCAGTATAGCGCACGCCATTAAGTCGAGACACTACCTTTACTCTGTTAAAGTCGCTTGAAAAAGTTTTACTCGTGCTCTTAGATGCTCGTTTTAAAGGATTAACGAAACAAAACTCGACTGTTAACTGTTTTGCCTACAACTTTTCTCTATATTTTTGCCGAATATTCACTATATTACGGTGTTTTACCTGCCTTCTGTCCTTCAGTTTAGATAGAGGACAATGTCTCTAGCTGATGAACTTCTCGCGGATCTCGATAATGCGGAGCCCGTGGAAGACGAAGAGGATAATCCTTTTATTACGGCCATAGAGGCTGACGAGATGAACGTCGATGCGGGGACCAACCAAAATTTTCCCTCAAAGATCGATCTTAAGGAGGATCTGACTGGCCCCCTTAAGCCACATAAATTACTCAATACTCTGATACCAACTGCTCCAATAAGCAAATTTGCGAAGCTGAGAGATAGTGATAAAGTGAGTATTTTGTCCTGCTTGTGCATTTTCATTAACAATCAGGATCTATCTTTTTGTACCAATCCTTGACCGCATATTTGGCCTTTTTCATTTTTTTTCTAGCTTACTGCTGTAATGCGGCAGATAGATATTTTCTCAAAGCAACCAAAACGAGAGTGCGTTTCCGGCCCAGTTGAGGCCGACCCTGAGTACCTTTGTATCGTGCAGTCCAATGATCTGATAGTTGAAATCGACAACGAAATAAGTGAGTTCATTCTGGTCGATGACAAAGCTTTCCTTTAGACATAATTCACAAGTATACGCGGGATATTTACCAACACCGGTTTCCCGAACTGGAATCTCTTGTTTCTCAGCCGATGGACTATATGAAAATCGTGCTGGTAAGCTCACATTTTTCTTCTTGGCAAAGGTGCCACTTGGCCGTGTCAACGTAATTTCATTCCATTTGACCTGTCACTGCCATGAGCAGTGTTGCTTTGACCGGTCACAATGTTCACAACCAGCGTAGCCCGTAATCTGCAGTTCTTACCCATTCACTGCTCTAGAACTGGACACCCAAGGCTTTTTGGCCCAGCCTTTTTCTCCGGGTCTAACCTTCCTTTGTTCGACACGTAGCAGGAGACTGCCCCTCTGGCTGGCAGAATCAGCAATCGAGCCACCTCAGACGGGGACATCTCATGTCCCACCCATATAAGATGTCCGCAGTCGGCCGTGAATGCAGTAACCTGTGTACCATGGTCGTTTGAAAGACGGCTGCAGTAGAGATATGAGATCCTACGCACTCCTCACTCTTGTGTCGGAATTCCTACGTGAGATCTTCGTGTTGTGACGTAAATCGTGTGCCCTGCATCTTGCTAGGGTTTCAATGTCTTCGAGAGTTCGCGTTTCAGTTAACAGCTTTCTTAGTCGGAAGATGCCAGGCCAGATACTTCAAAATTGACCAACTAGGGGAGGCTTACATATATTGTTTCAGGGCTTGTGTTACCAGCTTTTGAACTTGCAATTTGACAGGCACGGGAATAGGGACCCCTCCCCCCTCCCATGCTACAGGTGGCCTCGCGCTTAATTCCAAGGGGAACCTATCCCCGCTTCCTACCTTTAAATCTAGCACTAACCCGGACCCCCCAAACCCTAACATCCTGGAATCTAGGACAAGGCCACTCGCAATACCGGGAATGAGTATTCCCGTGTCCAACCTTGAAACTTGTACCGAAAGAAAACGTCTGGCAATTGAAAGCTAATTTCGTGGACACTATCCCGTACCTAACCCTTCCCGTTGTTCAAGTTTCGCCGTTAACTAAAAAATTTAAACGCCCTACTAGAGACTGTGAATGTTGTTACCTGTGGACCTGAAAAGGATTCGAGCCGAAGTCCTCGGTGCTAAAACCCACTTGATTAAAACATGGTTAAGACACTGATGCTGGCAGATTTTATTGCGTAGTCGCGAAGAAATAAGTCTTTGTAGGAGCCCATCAGCAAAAATTTGATATCCTTACAGGAAGTTAAGTGCAGAGATGAGGTAAGGGTTCTACCTATCAAGCCTGTAGACCCAGGTCTTCATGATTTATATGGGTTTCCGAAAAGCTATAAAACGGACGTGCCACTACGACTTATGTTGTCAATTGTGACTCCTCCCAGTAGTTGCTAATTAAGCAAGTTGACCCGCTCCTTCGTACTTTGCCACATCTACGGTTAAAGGGACGTTTGCTTTCGTAGGCGGCATTTCAGATATGAGTATGGGAAGGAGGCATATATCTTTGCTAGATTGACGTCACCTGTTCACCTGAGTTCGGCAGCCTGGAACTGTCCAGATTGCATGTGGACTCATGTCTGAAGTGCCTTTTGGCTGAGAAAGTTGTGCGAGCTGTTAGTCTTGCAGGCAAATCGTCCGACTCCTTTTAAATGAATAGCTATGCTGCTAGACGGACAGTCTATTAGACCCAGACATAGCTGACATCAAGTTTCAAGTGGAAAGTGCTACGACGTGCGACTTAAACTATAAGGAAAACATGTTAAGTCGAAATTTTATTAGCGGATAGTTTAAGACATGGTGGTCCCCCAGTCGCCTAACGAACAAGTTGTATTCGTCGTTTTTACGAATGTGCAAAAAGAATGCCATTAGTTCTACTAAATGTACTACTGCATAGATGAGTGAATGATTCTACTCTGGAGTTGATTTGTGGAAAGAATGGTTTGAAAGAACCGCAAATTCACTCTGCAAGTTTAGGTCAATTTTGGTGAGGGAGCAACTTACTGTTATGCGTCATTTAAGTCTGCTCCTCTGAGACGAGGAAGTACAAGTTTACATTACCAAAGGGAGCCCCCAATGAGTGGTGGATTTCTCGATAAATTATTATACAATTGTCGTATCCTTAAGGAAGTACAATCGGTTGGAAAGAAACCAGTGTACAGTTACCTAAGATTTTCTAGGGGTGTCTTCTTTAACGTTGTCAACCGGTGACGTTGCGGCACGACTAAGTGGACAAGCACTACCGCCAATCTTACATTGTTATCCCATTTAACAACCATCCGGGTCTGATCAATTACAACTTCCCTGGCCAAACACGCCACTTGTAACTGTATTTATGGATCCGCATGTCAACGCCTTGGCGTACGTAAAGGCAGGTGGTTACCCGATTGACTAATCACAGGTCAAAGTGTCTGTTGATACCAGAACACAAGGTGCTGAGACGTTTGGTAAAATGGCACCTACTGGACACCGACCACAATGGGGGCTCGCACTTGGTGCTTGAGATCCTTTTTCCAATGCGTGGTGGCCCACATCAAATACGGTAATGTTATAAAATAGAAATCATAAACCGACCACACGGCTGCCAACCTTGTGTTGCCCTGATGCCGCGTGGGTTATAGTAATTAAAATATCGCGCACGAGCCAGTTATATTTGTCTAACAAGCAGCTTATCACTGCCATTCCTGCCGCCTTCGAGGTTCTGAGACTGTAGCGTGCGGTTCCACAGTGCGTTCTATAAGGAGCCAACTTCTGCATGTGATACCTTTTTGGAGCTCGGTTCATCTTTAATTTCTGACAGCTGCTATGCCCAGGAAATATTTTCCATCTTCCCCTAGGTGCTCGGCAATGATATTCTCGAACGATCCAAACAGACGAATCTGTTGGCGACCTTCCTCACACCGGCAACCATAATGGTGGTATCAGTCACCGCCTCTACAACCCAGGGAAGTCCGCTCGAGCCAGACGTCCTGAAGCGAGCCACCGACGCCTGCGTCATGGCTATTGAACTTTTTGAGATGCGAGCAACCATCCTGGCCTACGTTGAATCTCGTATGTCTCTGATCTCACCAAACGTCAGCGTACTCATCGGAGCCTCGACGGCTGCAAAACTTATGGGTAAATCACCTTCTGTTCGCTGTTCTGGGATTCACCTCACTAACTCCTTTGATAGTGGCATTTTTAACAAGATACTCGAGTAAGTACGCGAATATTTATGCCAGACTGCCTGCTTTTCCTTCTCGCAGCTTTCAGTGACCGACAGGCCCCACGCTTGTCGGCAAATCGAACCCCAAGTGGCGTCATGGAGTGAGAACGTTTGTATTCAGGAGAAATCGCTTGACATCTCGGTCATATACTGGTCAAAAACGCAGATTTTATAATTATTGAGTTTGGCAGTTATCTCAAGAATCGCATTTTCCTCACGGACGCGTGGGCATGTCCAGTAGGCGACGTCATTACTTAGAGGGACGGTGGCTTAAGCATGAATTAGTTTATATCGACAGTAGACTTGCGCAGCATCTGCCACACACTCACCATCACCCACCTGGGTCTTGTGTCAAGACAGAGTCAGGAAGACCGGATGGCGGGATCGGATATGATGGCTGACAGAGGTAGATAGTTCGACCCTGCGTGTCACACCCCCCCCCCTGGCCCACCCACATAGGGCCAGGACTTTGCACAAGAAATTATGGCGCATCTCGGCCCCCGTCTGAGTGGGAGTGCCATAGAGGCGACACTAAGAAGGAACCATTGCTGCCTCACCGTCATGAGAGTAAGGGGCGAGTCATGGCGTCGGTCGCATCACTTAAAGCCATCGCTTTTTGCGCATTGTGATAGTTTCAAGCATGTCAGGTTGTTTATAAAAAAGTCAACCTCGCCTCCCTTTTGCTTCTCCTCCTCCTCCTCCTCCTCCTCCTCCTCCTCCTCCTCCTCCTCCTCCTTGTTTCACCTTCGATTGGCTAGTTAGGTTAATGCCATACACGCTTGCCGTTAATTGTCCCTCAGTGATGAGACGCAATAATTATCTGCAACCACGGTCGATGACTGCGCACTCAACACTGCGCTCACTTCGGACTGACAACCAATACGGACAAAACAGTGGCCATGCATCAACTGCTACCGAACGCTAAATACAACTCCTAAAATCACTGCCGACGGCAACTAACTCCAAACTGTGAACAGCTTCGCCTATCTAGGAAGCACACTCTCTCGCTCCAGGGAGCTCAACCTTTTCCATCTCAGCTTCCTTTGTAGGTACTGAGACCGAGATGGCAGGACAAAGTCCCGGACACGGAAGCCCTGGGATGGATCGGAATCCTCGGCATCCACGCCATGCTTAAACAACTACAACTGCGACGGAATGACCATCTGATGAGAGTGGACGACTCTTGCCTGCCAAGACTACCCTTCTACGGAGATGCCACCACGGGTGCTCGCCAACTAGGAGGACCAAAACGACCCTACATGGACACTTTGAAGAATTCTTTTTAGCGATTGCATATCAACCCAGAGACCTGGGAGGACCTTGCTCAGGACAGACCGGCCTGGGGAAGAGAAATGCAGGCTGGTGTAGGCATCTACGAAGAAAATCGAATCGCCGCCGCCAAAGCCAAAAGGACTGTTCGCAAGTCTCGGGCTCCTCCGATCCGCAACGTTGCCACCCAACCCCGCGCCGTCCACGAACATTTCGCGCTCAGATCGGCCTCGTCGGTCATCTTCGAACCCAGTTCATCAACCGCTCGACGACCGCAATTGCTGCCTCCACAACCGTACCTGTTCCAACCTGCAAGTAGACCACGTCAGCACCCAGCCTCACCAACGTTGCTTCGAATTCCCGTGCCGCACTGTCATCGACCGCTACCACCTCAACTACCTCTGCCATAATTGCTGCGACCACGACAAACACAACCACCTCTGTCACCACTGCCACCGACCAAAACGCTCCTGACGCCCCGACAACCACCAGCACATTCACCATAACCACCCTACCTCCAGCAATGTGGAATCGGCCCCAACCTGTCCTCATTGAGACCGCACATTCACCTCACACATCGGCCTGGTCGGTCACTTGCTAATCCATCGCACAGAATGAAGAACCAGTGCCTGGAGCTCCAACATACACTCGCCACATCCGCTTTTACTGTCCGCGCATGTTCATCCACCCCATGGGCCCATTCGGTCTCATGCGTATCCGGGACAGCGGGACACACCTTGCACATCCATCAACCCCAGCCCAATCACGTCCTCATCTCCCACCGCGCCCACCATAGACAACAACGGCACCATCGCCATCACTACTACTACTACTAATACTACTACTACTACTACTACTACTACTACTACTCCTACCACCGAAACCGACTCTTCGGCTCCCTACCTATACTGCCCACACTGTTACCGCACATTTACTTCACGCATCGGCCTGGTCTGCCATTTGCTAATCCATCACACGGAGGCTGCCGAACCAGTTCCCAGAGCACCAACATGACCAGACGCACTCGTCCCATCTGCCCACATTGCCCACGTACACTCAGCCACCGCACGAGCCTTTTCGACCACATGCGCATTCATGACAACTTGCGGTAAATCACCGCGGGCACGACTACACCACCACACATTCTCCCACCAACACATTTGGCACGCATACAACCCTCCAAAATCCCACAACGGCACCTCTCCTGAAAGGAGGAAGTGTGTTTATCGGCTCCTTCTCCATGTGGTTCCTCCGTTATATGTGCGATTGGAGCCTAAAACTATCATGGTGCGCCAAGTGTCGTGGCTTGGAAATTTTTCAACTGATGCTCCAACTAAATCCCTGCAGTCAGCGCAGTTGTGTTTGTGTGTTGAGAGGCTGACCGGTAGATTGGGAGTCAGGCTGTAATAACTCCGTCTTAATGTGGCCTCTATGACACCCACTCCGTGGGATCCGAGTCGGCGTGACTGCACGTCTAGAGGCAGCTCCGGTCGCGCCAACCGTCGCTCTTGTTGTTAGTGCAGGTGCAGGTGCAGGTCCGGTCGTGCCAGCCACTTGTGCCATCTCCAGCCCCCGACCTTCATGACTGTTCTGACACCAGGCCCAGGTTGGAATTGAGGACAGGGTGCGGTAGATGCTGCGCAAGTCCCCTCTCACTATAAACTACTTCACGCACAAGTCACCGTGCCTGCTCTCACTTCGCTGTGTAGCACACGGTGGACCCCGTCGGCCACGACAGTCAAACTGTCAGGTAGTGCGGCCAGCTGAGGCGAACTCGACGAGTGTATTTTGGTGTTCCGGGTCCCGGTTCCCCAGTTTTTGTGCAAAGGGTCCGCATGTGACCGATCAGGCCGATGAGTAACCACATAATCGACAGTTGGTAGGCAAAGCTCAGCAACTCTTGTGGAGACGCATCTTGACCAACGTCTGACAGTGTTTTGACTGCGTAGTGAGGGAGAGAGAGGTGCACTTTCCTTGCAGCCTGTTGTGTTTGCTGTCTGCAACCTTCACATCAGTCCTTCGCCGAGTTGCCGTCTTGCTAATTCTTAGTTGCCAACAACAAGCAATTTGGCGGTATACTAATGTAAATGGACAACTTCAGCACCAGCTTCCTGGAGGGACTAATTGCGTGTTACTTTGGATGTTGGGGTGCATATGTCAACAAGTATCTGAGAGGGGAGCTTTCGCCAGAGTAAACTTCTAACTTAAGGCCCTTGCCCAACAACCTATCGTCATACTTCTATTTCTTTTGTCTTTCTACCAGTTCCACTCCGAAATCACAGGGACTTTAAAAAACACCATTGGTGGATTTTTCAGATTTTTGTCTTTCAAGTTATCCCTATTGGTGAACTGCCAAATTTTCGACCTTTATTTGTTATTTGGGTGTCAAATTTTCAACGTCCTTTGCACATCTTATCACGACTCTGAATTTCTAGGCGCAGTCTTACTCAGAAATCAGCCTGTGTAAGCGACGGTGAACATTCTTTTACCTATCGAGCCTCTTGTGTTATGTGCTCCCTGAGTCCTCGATGTTGTGACTCTACAAATCGAGGCTTATTGATTTTTCGCCTTAGGGCGTAAAGTATCTTGGTTGTGTGAGTTACGCATTTCCTTAATATGTGTACGTTTTACCCTCTTCTGCCCAGGCCATGCGGGTGGACTGACAGCCCTCTCCAAGATGCCTTCCTGTAATATACTGGTGTTGGGATCGCAAAAGCGCAGTCTCTCCGGCTTCAGTAGCAACGCCGCTCTGCCGCACACCGGCTACATATATCACTCCGACCTGGTACAAAAGCTGCCTCCAGATCTGCGAATTCGAGCTGCACGCCTACTCGCCAACAAGGTCACCCTTGCTGCTCGTGTGGACTCATTTCACCAATCTCAGGTACTTCAGGTTACCGAGTTTACACTGTAACTGATATAAGGGGCAGAGGTAGATGCTGGCAGTTAGTTTCCTGGTCGCTGGGCTTGAGATCTTGTGTACACTTGCAAGCCACTGACATTTCGTTGAATGGCATCTCTACCTTTATCGTAGATCGTCGGGTATTTGTGGAGGCGCCGTTTGTTCTCCCCGCCTATCTTTGTCACGGTTTTAAGCATACAGAGGACGCCAAGACTCATAAAATATTGTCTGGAATATTACTGTATGCTTTCAAACTCGGCGTAAATGCGTAGATTAGGCTGCAGTGTCCATTGACTTGGAAGACAATGTCAAGTTGACTCCTTAACAATGGCAGGTTGGCTTTGACTACCGACAAAACAACGCTAGCTAAGCCATTCTTTTCTTCTTTTCTGTGTTTGTTTTTGTTTCCCTAAAAGAATGCTCAAAACACTGGCCTCATTTATTCATTTTATAAGGAATTGCTCCCCGGTCTTTTAGTGTCTTATCTACGGGGGTCTTATTACTAACAAACTTCAGTAACTCGTATGTACTTTCGAAGACGTTCGTCTAAATTTGTTCTCGAGGCTCACAAACCGCACGGCATGTATGTAGAGATCTCCGTACGCTCATGGTATTATGAGGTACTCCTGGATCGTGTCGTATACTTCGCAAGTAGAATAAATAAACCAGTGGATGTTAAATCACTTGAACGCCCGAACAGTCTCATGCCGGGAAGTTTGTTGAAAACTGAACCAGTGTATTCCTTCGTGTGTAAAGCTCGGAGGTAGAGCAAAGACACTACTTGAGTAATGTTCCTTCCCCTATTGTGGTGCCTTAGGAATGTCAACTAAGGGCCAGTATGCTGCTGTATTCTTACTACATTTCGATTTTGCCCCATACTAATCAAAATATCATCTTTTGTCAGGTAAGCTTTTCAGTTTTCAGGCAAATTTAACGATCTGGATCAACATTTTATGTTACGTAGGCCCCGCGCAACGTCAGCCACTCCGCCAGACCTAATTTCTAGTCCGTCGTGATTGGTCATAGGAGAGGTGGGAGGGAGTGAGATTGTTTCAGCTGGGATCCACCATTTAGTTTCCGCGCCGTAAACAAGCAAACGCAGTTTTGGACCATCACGACGTACCAAGTGTTCTGACTTTGAAGTCTTACATGTCACGGGTTACCTGGTCATACTTAGGGCTAATGGTCAAGCTGTAACTGCTTTTTCATTATGTGACCTCTATGGCAATCTCAGCTGTGAGATCCCTAATCGAAGACTCGTTTGGGTGGAGTTGAGGATGTTGTCGTTTATTGCACGCACAAACGTGAATTAGGCATCGTCAGCCCCTGCCGCCCGCGTCTATCGTCAGTCATCATGGCTTTTTCTTGCCATCGGAACATGATAGGTGCCGTAGTAGAGGGTGAAGCAGATTATACGCAAGTCCGCATTGCCACAAACGAAGTGGCGCGTAAACCAATGCTGTGCTCTGCCCGCGACAACAAAGGTTCTCACTGTGCTTTAGACTGGAGTAGAACAACCACCTGGATGAGAGTGGGGACTTGGACATGAATTCGATTTTAGCGAAGGGGACTTGCGCGCCAAGCTTCATTTGCAGAAGTATGTCAGAGCGAGTGACGTCGAGACTGAGCACAATAAGCAAGCAGGTATCAGCTCCCGCCTGTCGCGTACCACGCACGTGCCGATTTATCCATGTATAGGAGTCAGAGTTCACTCGGACAGCTGCCCAATTAAAAGCGCAACACGCCATACGAGGACGTACCGAGCAAGGCACGCTATGTAGGTGTCGGTCATCCCAGAGGCGGCAGACTGGATTTGTCTTGTTCCTCTAGAGGCTCAGTTTTTTGGTCTTTACTCCATCATCACTTCTTTATTGGAATTGGCGTAGACACAACAACCTCAACTGATTTGAAACAACACATCAAAGTTTGGTGCTCATTTTTGAACTCTCAGTATTCGATCTCCGCTACTTGTGGTGAGTTTAGATCTCACTGTATCTTATACCACAACATTCCGCAAATGCAGACTTATAGTGCTTAACATAAGCAAGGCTAACTAGATCACGCATGGCTGCTTCCCCATTAAATCAGAGTACGTAAGTAAGTAATAAACAACGCATGACTGCTAGTGCCTCCGTATGGCTAGTCATGTCGAAAACGGCAACTCTGCATTGCTCCTGCCTGTGGCCCTCAGTCATCTAATTCGGCCCCTTGTCTCTTTTACTGTTTTTTACTCCATTCCTTTTGCCTGATTTTCGGACATAATTTTGTGCTACAATATGCATACATACATTCGCCCACTTTTTTCTAGGATGGAACCATCGGTGAGCAGTTTCTGCTAGAGGTTGAAAAGAAGATCGATAAATGGCAGGAGCCTCCGCCAGTGAAACAAATCAAACCGCTGCCCGCTCCGCTCGATCCACCAGCAAAGTATGCATTGATCAGGGGCCTAGAAATTTGTTGCTCCTTTAATAACAAGTCCTCTACTTTCCTCTCTTGGCACGCCTTAGTTTTTTTCGCTTCGGATGGTCAAACCTGTTCTAGACTTCAGTTGAGCGTTCGGGCGTTTCTGTCATTGTGAGGAGAGTAATTTACTCCCAAGAGTTTTACTAAACAGAGCTTTCCGCCTTCGAAAATTGATTTTCTTTGTCCGATGCCAACTGTGGGAATGGCTTTCCTAACACGGGTTATTTTTAGGGAGCCGGGCGTTTTATTGATTTTTAAATGTCAGATTAGTAAATCTGTGCGATTTGGTGCCCTAAAGTGCAGTAATAACGCACACAGACAATTCTGCGTTTAAATGGACTGGAATTGTTTTTTTCGTTTGGAAAATTATATTTGTCGTCAGAAATGACTACCACCGAATAGGCATTTTCAGTTTTGAACATATGGAGCACTAATGTTCTTGCGGTCTACTGCACGTACGTAATTTAGAAATGGAACGAGCAAAATATCAGTATTTATATGGCCACTCTTAAGCGCATTCATAACCATAGAACAGAGTCTAAAAGTGGGCAAAGTTGGCAAAAATGGCCTCAATATAAAGAGAAAGGCATGTTCTTACGTTTGCGATAGAAAAATGTCCGTATTTCCTTTAGCAATGTGAAAGAAGCGTCCAAAAGTGCTTTGCTATATAAAAAACTAAAGTACACAGACATCCGTCAACTGAATGCAATATTAAAGCACTCCTTGAAAAGGTTCCTCGTCAGATCTTTTCTACACGATCGAAAGAATATTCGATGTTGACTTTTGTTATGGAGGTTCATCTTGTTTGAGGATGAGGTTTCCTGTTTGACTGAGTCTTCAAATGGGACCCGGACTACCTTCTACATGACAAAGAACACCCAAACACTCGCTACTTCGGCAGATGTCTTCAAAAAGTATCTTAAGGGTTTTAGCAAACGCATAATACAGAATCTGCCTTTATGGACAGTCGGATGAAAACGCTGAAAATCATAAAGTATTCAGCGATATTTCAAGACAGATATGAAACTCAACGTAATTCAGAACAAACGAAAAGTGCAAATTAATTTCACGGAAGGAAAGTCCTCTTTACATACATAAAATCGCATGCTTGCAATTACCGCTGTCAATTCTACTTAAATTTACTCGTCATTGACCCGCTTGGCGACATGTGCCCTTATGAAGACTTGTTCCTATGACGCCCCTAACGGCGAAATCAAGCAAAATGTCATTGGCCTTATTGAACAACATCTCAATCAATTTGAAAGCGTTAATAATACCACGAATCCTCTGCAAACCATTTTGGTATCTATACTCAGAGTGTAGGCTGTTGGCAAACCGCCATACCTTAAATTACGCAAATCCTTAAAGGATATTTAGGTTTTAACCTTACTAAAACACTCTAAACATTATTCTATTTCGCCTCTCGCATTTGTCCAGTTTTTTGCGTGGGCAGACAGTCTGTACATTGGAAAATGATGTTTGCACAATTACAGCCACTTTTGACGTTTTCGAAATTCTCTGCTTTTCTAAAGTTGGCACTTCTGAACAACGTGACATTATCTTTAATATTTCTTTTATGTTTTTAACTGCCCTAAAGTTTTTATTTACTAACATAGATATTGGATCCTTGCATCGATGTCGGATTGCGAGTTATTAACAATCATTCGTAAGATTCGACACCTTTTGTGTGTTAGGTCACGAACTGTATATATACGTTCGGATTTTTCATTTAGGCCTGCATTTGTAATCCGTATTTCCACCTTCATTCTTGCTATCCAGAAAGCGTGGTGGTCGGCGGTACCGCAAGATGAAGGAGCGTCTAGGCATGACTGAACTCCGTCGAACAGCTAACCGCATTCAGTTCGGTGAAGTGACTGAGGATGCCTACCAGTCCGATCTGGGCTTCTCCATGGGCTCATTAGGACAGCGTGGCGTGGCGGGCCATTTGCGCGCTCCACAAGCCGACTCAAAGACCAAGGCCAGAGTGAGTAAGGCGCTGCAACAGAAGCTGGCACGCTATGGCGGCCTCTCGACGATGCCAACGACCTCCCTAGCAGCTACTGCTTGGGGTGGCAAATCGACGGTAGGTGGTCGAGGACACGAGTCGTCTGCGGGCACCGCCTCCTCCGTCACCTTCACTCCCCTTCAGGTCAGTTTTTCACGCCTTGTCTTTAGAGTGTTAATATGCTTTGTTTGTTTGTCCTGACTTCATCGGCGTTTCCCAGTGCTCGCGAGGCAACCACTCTGGTGGGCTTTATTGCGGCACAGGCATTCATTTCCGACTGTTTCCAACTTAATCCATTGTATGAATGAACACAGCTTTCTTCTCTTAGGCCAAAACCACCTCCTGGCCGACTTTGTTTAGTGACGCTCTCCCGTTTGTCCTCACAATACCAGTAGGTAGCCTGCACGGGTGGTGGGTGGAGTGGGGAAATGAGGACTACCACCTTCAAGACAGATGCTTGTCAATTGTCCTCGGTGTGGGATACTGTGTTCTGTGGAGGCTGCAATGACTCGTGTGTGTGTGCTACCTATAAGCCCCGTTGTAAGCCGCATGTCACTCACTGCTGTGTCTTTTGACCTTCGCCTGCGGTAACAAACCGAACTGCTAGCCTCTCCCTTTTTCGGACTTTATGAAGCTCCCTGGCTTGTAAAATCTCTCACACATGGGAGCCTTTTCTGGAAAATTACGGAATGTTTGATGAACGTTTTTCTTCAAACAATTTGGTCCGCATAGACACAAATATTTTGGTTTCAGACGAGAAGGAAAAATACTGGTCCGACCCCGAGGCAGCATTGTTTTGTTTCCAAACTCCCGATGGCGAAAGATGACTGTGCAGGGCCTTATATGAGGGCGGGCGGTTGATATGCCTATTGATAGCTTCAGTAACCTTACTGTCTGGCCCACGGCACTTATTCTCGGGCAACGACGCAATGTGCGACCCCATCCAGAATCCGGACAGGTCATCTTGTCTTACGAGACTGCTGGAGGTAGGGGTTATATGAGTGGGGCTAATGGGAAAGATAGCGGTGGAAAGGGATGAAGTTTTGGGAAAATGTCTTAAAGCCGTTAATAGATCCAAATAGATCCGTGCATGACCTTGAACGCGATCCAGAAAATTGAATACTAGCGAAATTTATCACCAAAAACCAAAAGAAGCTAAATATAGCGCTTGCACAATAAGACATCAAGATCAGAGATCAAGGCAGCGAAGTAGCCAATAGAAACCCAAAGATGAATGATGTCGGCGAACCACACAAAAGTAAAGTGGGGACGTTGACCCAACGGCACGACACAATGACGCAAAACAGCAGAACACAGGGCAGCTGCTTAAATGGCCGGTAAAGATAAAGTTTACCAAATTAGTGGGTATACCGAACGACAAATAAGCCGAATGTGGTATTAGAGCGAAAATGCATGTTATCTTGACAAAGAGCAATCAGTGTACCCAAATCGAACAACACTACTTTCGTAAGAACCGGTAGGCAGTAGTCAGTAATATGCAAAGTTGGGTCGCATATTTCGTTCTTTCCTATTCTCGTCCCCAAGATCCTGATCGCATGGTCCGTATCGACGTTTGGTAGGCTACTTGATGCACACGTCTATATTGGTTTGTGCATAATCCTGACTTTCGTCCAACATTTTCAAGAATGGTTAGGACATGAAATGGGGTGTACTATATCAGATCTCTTGCCAGTGCTTCTCTTTCATGACGCGACTTCATATGGTGACTCTAGGCCACTGTGCAATCCCAATACCAACTTCTGCGGAAATGATTCAGCCACATCGGAAGCACTCCCATGACATGAGTTAGCACACCATCTGTTCGGATCCTTGTTTCTGCTCTAAATTTTCCGGGACGGACGCGAAGCCACTGGATTGTAAGGGTTTTTGGACAGTTATCTCCCATGAATTCCTCGTGCTTTCAGCATAGTAGATTTTGCTAAACGTCGAGGATTACAGGCTGAGATTCCAACCAAGTAGCTCTGCTTAATAAGCACATCTCTTGCCTTTGCTGTGTTTACAGGGTCTGGAAATAGTCAATCCAATGGCATCGGAGCGTCAGGTGGATGAACACAAGAAGTACTTCAGCGCCACGGCTGGTTTTGTCAATGTCAAGAGCAAGAAGCCTCCACCTGCTGCCGGCCTTAACGAAAGTTCACAGAATCATGCATCAACCGAGAAGTAAATTTCGTTGCGAATCGAGTTGTTAACACCCTTGTAAATAATTACTTTTAATACGATTCTTACTCTTGGCGAGGGAGCCTGCACACCTGTCACGCTGACACTCCAAATTGCACTTATTGGTTTGTGCTCAGCAATAATGATTGGGCTCGGTGCTGCAGCCTTGGCGGGCAGTGGGGTGCGGAGTGTTACCCAGCTGTCTAACCATTGCAAATACCGTTGTGGTGGCCGGCCAACCCACAAATCAAGTAGGTGCGCACCTACATCCGGTATGTGGAAAACTCTGTCATGACCTCAAGTTGGTTGTCATGCCGTGGCCTGCCTGCCTTCGACTGCGCGTCTTTCCTTCTGCCCTCTCTATATTGGGTCCTACCTTATGGAAGTGGTTCGCTCAGCTAATTAACTTCTTATACTGCTTTTGTGAGAAATTTCGTCCTCAGATTTTGCCTCTGAACAAGGGGACTTATTGCGGTTTGGAGTAGTAACCTAGTACCTAAAAATTTCGGACAAAAGCTATGCTCTTACTTGTTCCTGAGATTTCGGACTACGTGTTGGGTATTTTCTCTGGAATAAATCCACATGCATTTAAAAAGGGGCTGGCTGATGCTTGGGAAATACTTCAAATGCGCCCTCGTCCCATTGCGTATTCTTTGTCTAGCACTAATTAATCCTGAGACTACTTGAGTAGCCGTACGAGTCCGACATAAATTCTCATAATTACGGGTTTTTAGAAGCCAGAACAGTCCTTCCCTTGGCCTATGTACACCCTAAAAATTTGTACATTGCTGAGAGGGGGATGCGAGAAATCAAGTTGCTCGTACGTTTTCCCTAACTTTGACTTAATTTATACAGTCGTCGAAAATAAAGCGTGGTTTCTGGGTCCCCATTGGAGGCGGCTAGCGAAATGGTCTCGTTTGTTGTGTCACTACGCAAGTCAAAGCTGGAGTCCGCGTTGGCCTCGCTGACGATGAACTAAGATTGCAACGGCACACTATTAATTCGGGCCTTAACTCCAAGGAGGTTTTTCTAAATTGAGTTCTTATCTTGCCTTTCAGACCATAATTTTAAACTACTTTTTCCGAGCTAGTCTACATTCATAGCGTCAAAAAGCTGACAAATCGCTTTCTGGACGGGGTCGGAGCAAACGGAATAGAGTTAAAATTGCCAGCACGAGTTCCAGTCATGAGTGATGTGCCAAAGGGGAGGTCGAGAGTATCGTGACCCTGGGCTTTATTCAGTTTCAGTTTATTAAGGGAAATATAGGCGAGCGCCTTTGAACTCCCTATTGGTTACAAGTCGTCGGAGAAAAACAGTGATAGTGAGAAGGGGAAGAAGGGGTTTTGTACATAATCGCTGACAGCTAGTCAAAAAGAGTAATCAATAACGGTTACTAACAAGTTACAAGTAGTATAAACATGTTTAAGTTGGTGCCGGTTATGTGAGTGGATGTAAGGCTGGTAACTGGGAGGCTTATTCGTCATTTTCATCTTAGAGCTCACATGGCAGGCCGTTTATTGTTTTGGCACCGAGCAGCCTGTTTATAGACCCGAGGATGGGAACGGTATCACGTGTCGACATTTCCTCGTCCGGTTGAATTCTTAGTGCAACTAATCAACAGTGCTGCAAGTGACTGCAACACAGACAGTGTGGGTACGCACATGGTGTGCATCACCCTGTAAAAGCAATCGGACAAGTAAGCTACACCCCGTTCTCTTTCCCGAGAACAGGGATGAGCAGGGCCGCTTGTTGAAGTCCCAGTTGTTGGTCCCCCGCCCGAATTCCGAGCACTGCATGCGACCAGCGAATGCTTATTTCACATGACCCCAGGAGGATTTTCTTAACAATCCCAACAATTCCAGAGAACACTGAAAGCCTATATGATAATTGTCCGGCAAATGTGTTGACAGGGATTGCTGCAGCTAAATGCCTCCCCAAATGCATTTTAGCTGACAGACAATGAACCAATTTTCTTCATCAGGGTGGAGAAGGGAGTCGGTATCAGGCGCTGCGCATGTCTTTGACACCTTCAGCGGGCATTTTGCTGGCGTCCACTCCCTTTGGCATGAGATGCCTTTCATTTAAGGGACTAGGCGACGACGTGGGCTAAGTGGTTTCCTAGGCTCTGCTCCCTTATAGTGATCACCTCTCAATCGGCCTTTCTTGATGGTTGTTTGCTATGAGAGCTCTTTAAGAGCTGTGTAGCTGCCCTCTCTTGGCTGTTAGCGTACTGCAGTAGGGCTAGTTGCTGAAAAAAGCGCAGGCACTTTTCATGCTAACGTGGGCTAGTGGTGTGAAAACTTTAGATCTAGTATGTTTTCGTAGGTTTTCTGAGCTCCAACTGAGTAGAGGGTTGGTGACAGACGACAGCATCTAGTACTCCAATTTTCCATCGATTTTAAATTGAATTTCAAAGGCGAATGGACTGAGTTGAGTCCAAAAGCTCACGATTATGTTTTGCTCATTAAAGATAGTTGCTTGGTCAGTGTGTTGATCTGGAGACTTTAGTGAATAACCATGCAAATCGATTCGGAATTTCCGAAAATATTCTCGACAAGTGGTCAGAGAACGGGTAACTTCATTGGTATCTCTATGATTCGATTGCTTCGGACTCTTTGAGATATTAGCTGGGTCTTTATTTTAGTGCGGCGCCAAATTGTGGCTTGTTCGTCATTTTCATCTTAGGGCTCACATGGCAGATCGTTTATTGTCTTGGCACCGAGCAGCCTGTTTATAGACCAGAGGATGGGAACGGTATCACGTGTCGGCATTTCCTCATCCGGTTGAATTCGAAAAGTCCTGTATTTACGTGTAAATTTCTCTGTGATTATAGTGCGTTGGCCTGAAGTCAGAATCTTTACTTTTTAGAAGACCTGGCTAAAAAACACCTGCGTAGGTGGTAGCCAGAAGGACGGTGACGTCCTACCTGTGACTGTTTGCAAGACCGTGAAACTGCAGAAGCCTTACTCCTTGCACCTAATATAAAGCTTTGCCCTTGTCTAGGCCTGTGGATCAGCAAAAATTGTTTGTAGGGCATTTACAAGCTTTACATCTGTCATGCGAGCCTATAAAACTTACTTCTGACCTATTTACTCCAGCTAAGCAATTAATTTCAGACGAATTAAAAGCTGAAATTCACAAGTTTTGCGTGATGCCATCACCGCATCTGGCCAATCTTTTGCATCGCATGACCTTACGTGGTGTCCGCTCAACTACAGCAACCTAAACCCCTCAATGAACTTCAAGACCTAGGTGGACATGTTCCCACTAATAGCATTCGAGCGCCTGTCCCGGCTGACATAGGACGTGCCCGCGTGTCCGCATGCCATCCTGCTCTTACAACTGACTCTTTGTCAAAGTATGATACTTCGTCTTCTCGCATACAAGTCATTCTGCACTTCATCTGGCCTGTGGGTCGGAATCGTCGATTCAATTTGTTTGAGGGAGACGTAGATGTTGGACCTGTAAATCCTCTGCTCGTTACAAGGAAACGATTAACATCAAAAATCCGAAAATGGAAACACCAAACAGGTACCGGACCCTTTCGGGACCAATTCCTCGGAATGGTCCCGCTTAGCCGACGGCGCCGGCCGCTGCAGCCCCCTGGCCTCGATGAAAGTGGAACAAGACCGCCGGGAATAGCCGTAGTTAGCTATCACACCGCTTCCCGCCGTACTTCGCTCCCTGGTGGCCGTGTGTTGCTTAACGTCTCTACAACAGTGCGGAATGCGGTTGCCAACATTCTAATAATGATAATAAAAATAGTAGTAATAAAAATAATTTTTATTCATGACCCGTGGGGGTCCTTTCATAGCGAGTAAGAATAACTTTTATGTGAATTTTTGAATTTTAGGGCAGGTTTACAGGGTCTATACAATACTTGATTCATAGTTATTGAATAAGTAGTACGTTACGAAGAATGGTGAACGAGCTTTGAAAAAGACTCCTATCATATAAACAAAATGAGTTTGACTGGATTAACTGTATAGGAGAAAAAACTCGCCCCTTAATATATAAAAAGCAGGCGGGAACGGCCTGTATGTGGCATCTGTCAGGAAACAAATAGGACTGCATCAGATAAAGACTCCAAATCAAGTCTTCAGAGCGATTTCTCCATCGTTGTCAATATCCACCGCGCTTCCCAAACTAAAGCATCACTTTTTCTGCATAACCGGAACCCTATAATCCTAAAACCAACAAATAGAAGGCGACACGAATTTGTCATTTATATTTAAACCAATAATTTAACCAGTGGCATTCTCCGGATTTTCCTGTGATCCTGATCTTTTCTTGACAGGGGGATGTTCGCGCTGTTAATAGCTGAAGTTGGTAATATAACTGCTATTTTCAGAATCGGACTGAATATACCTCTCTCATTAATTTTACACGTCTTCCTTCATCCCTTTGTTTAACAAATTCCGGTCTGCGAAGAATCTTCCATTATGTAGTGGCAGAAGACGTTGAGGGTAGCTCAAACGCCATAATGTGAGCATTGAGAATGATTCCTAGCTTAGAACGAGCTGGAAAGATTAGTTGGGTGCGTCATAGCAATCTTCTTGACGGTATTCTAGAAGAAATTGGCGAGTAAAAGCACAAACGTACAAAAAACTGACGGAAATCCTTCATATGTGGCAGTCATTAGTACAAGAAATGATGACTTAAACCAGCAAAGTGACCCATCTGGATGAAAAAGTGTAGCCAACATGCCCGCTGAACGACCGTTTGGGAATGCAGAGCTGTGGGCAGCTGTAGGCAAGGTCAGTGGAAGGTGCCGACGTAGAGTGGACGAGACGGGCGTGACGACGGAAGCTGCAGGAAGAAGTCGGCAGTCGATTGGGGAAGGGGCATCGGTTATTTTCGCCGACACGCGTTCACACAATCCCCATCCTTGCGTAGCGTCCAACTGGAGGACGTCATCGGATCACGAACGATATTAAATGGAGATGACGATTGCTTAATCTCGGACGGACCGGCTACTTCAAAGATCCTATCTAAGAGTCCTTGCATCTTGAAATGTGCGGAATCAGGTGATACAGGCATACGAGGCAACACACGAGGTAGGATAGCAAATTGGAAAGTGCACTTTATAACCATCTACGAAAAACTAGAAAACTAATACAAGAAGGGGGGGGTTCTAGAGCGGAAAAATGACTGGAGCGACTTATCAGTGGTTGGTTGGGAGCTGTCCGTTCGCACGTGACCTCGGAAGCATGGTCTCTGAAAAAAATGAAAAGTGTCGTTTGAAACAACCAAGGTCGGATGTCCAGTCAAACCTCAGGCTGTTAAATTTGGTCTAGCCATTTCTTCAGGCGCTGCAAGTAAACCCTGCCAGGGCTTTCATGCGAGTTACTCCACGGCCCATTCTTCGTTATTGCAATCTCATTGGTTTTTTAGAGAAGTAACAGCCTTGGTAATCTATTAACAGGTGTTTTAGCAAATCTGAACTATATGTTTGACCTACTGGTGAAATTTTTTGTGGCTTTGATGAGATTCGAACACATGACAGCATACCAAGCCTAGAATGCAGCCAATACCCTAACCACATGAATTACGAGGGCCCGACCGGGAGCCGTAAGTTAAATCATATTTGGGTCACGTTACTCGCCCAGTCCGCTACAACACCTGACTTTCCAAGCAAGATTATCTTGAAAACCACTCTAGAATCCACCAGATGACTCCAGTCTTAGTTAACAGACTTTTTGGCAGGCTTGAACCATTCATTCGAACCTTTGGAACTAACGGATCCGGGACGGTAACAACGTCAGGTGCATATTATTTTCGGTCGATCGGAACTCTTTGGCCCTTGTACTGTGTCCTCGCACCCAGAAACTCTGTAATAGAAACCGGTTCTTACATAGGAATGAAATTTTCACTTCTGTTAACTTTCTTGTCTGTTACGTTCCTTCGAAAGATTTGACGAACAACATGCCTTGGGCCCTGCGACTGCAACTAGAGCGTTGTTATTCACCATGCGGCAAAGCCAGTTTAGCAGGTCGTGCTCTATTTGTCTGCATATAATCCGAAGACTTGTAAAAACCCACACGAGTTTCCTAGGAGTTCTTAAATCAACGCGGTATGTAAGGTTGGAAGGGGGTTCCTGAGGAGGTTGTAAAAGATCGCTGTTAATCCACCACCTTCATGTGCCTTCTACCTCGAACAATAAACTGTCTTTCACTTTGTAAAGAATGTTCCAGCTGAAATCCACTTCACCTTACTTCATATGCATTGAGTTCCAACCTCACGACTGACTTCAGTAGAGACATGTGTGTCCACACAGTCGCAACTAATGAGCCAGAGAAAGCAATACACAAACCACTGGGACGAGTGCAAATTTTACCTTGCTCCATTGCACATATACAACCGACTCAGGCATGACTTAACATGTGCACCACACTCTCTGACCCCGCCGGCTACCACCGCTGTGAGAAATCTTCCGAGATTTCCGCATGAAATAAGCCCTATATTCTGGTGTTTGGTCTCCACTGTTAATGAAAACTTGGACTTCACGATTGGCTCACCTGGGGTGAGCCCAGTACCTTAAATCCTATCAGATACTGTTTCACGAGAAAACGTGTTTGGCCAAGCCTAACTGCTTCTCATTCGTGCGGTTCCCAGCGCGGAGTGTCGGCCAGACTGCATAGACACACTGGGTAAGGTCTTGGTACAGTCATAAGGCAAGCTGTTTGCAGGGAAACTTATCTTCAAAAGTTAAAAACAATCCGTCCTTTGACAGAAACTCCACTACGAATAAATGAGCTGACAGTTGGCTTAAGTAGGTGTCTGCTAGGCAAACGGGACCTGACAACAAAGGAAATTATTTGTCTGTCCAATATGTACAGCTGCTCTTGTCATAATGCTGTTTACTTGACGTCTCCGCTCCAAAAATTCCCCTTACCTATTCAGCCGAAAACTAGACTATCTCCATCATTGGAGAATCAGCAGGTAGCGGCATATATATGTATATCGTTGTTTTGTATATCCAGCAGGAACATCTCTGTGTCTGGCACAGAAAACTGTATAGATTTGTCCACTTAACATAGTATTATAATACAGTTATTTTGGCAAAAATCACGCACTACATTATACTGTTTCCAAAAACTGGGGATTCTACTGAGAGTTCAGCTCCAATTAGAAATACCTCCGTATATATAAGCAGTCCCTCACGAAAGCCGGATAATGTCTTATTCATTCTCCATTTATTACGAAAATCTTTCCCGTAGACACAAAACAAGTACCGAAATTTCCGTGCCCTTGATGGTGTTGGAATTGCAATCTGAGTTCAGCCAGCATACTTTAAGACTTTATATGGGCAAGTGGATGAGAGATAAAAAAGTAATCCTAAGTCCTTGGGACAGTAAACGATGTCATTCGTTATAGCTGACGGACATCTTGCGAAAATGCAACTTTTCATGCTGTAATTTTCTACATAGTAGCTGATATCCTTCTTCCAACTTAAACTAACTTAAGCATCCGTGGGTAAACATCACTGTAATCAGCGCCAAAGGTGTATTTTGGTCAGTAAAACTCCGTCCACGAAGCGTTGCGCATACCTATGCACATAAATAAAGGGTGCATTATTGCGGATGCTTATTGTTACCACATCGAATTTATGAAGTGCAAAAGAAACAGTGACTAAATAATTATGACTAATATCGTGAATTCTGCAATGTGGAAAGTAATCAAAGTTATAAAATAATACATGCAGGAGAACGTAGCTCTAAGCGGGGATGTTACGTTTAGTCTACAGAGGTGAAGGAAAAAGAATAGGAAAAACGTTTATGGTAAACTATGGTAAACTATTGTACAAACTCACAAAAAGTAAAGCCCTCCCAAGTTCCAGGTGGTTATAGGAAGTCAGGGTCCTTTTAGGTAATTCCCATAAGTTCCAAATTAATCCTTGTTAATGCTGTTTGTCGTCCGGATCGATCCAAATCCGGCAAGGGGGAAATGAGTGGTAATTCATGGATGTTTGTTGCGCGTGATTAAAACGGACTCAAGCACATTAAGGGGATTTATGAACCATAGGCATCAAGCGACAGCGAAATCAGAGCACGAGTTGTCGTATATATTTTAGTATATCCGAACAAGAGTTAAAAAATTTCGAGCGTTAAAGAAAAAACGAAGAGAATAATTGAATATGTAAAAAGACCTACAATTCTCAACTAGTTAGCAGGCCGTAACCTTTAAAACCCCCAGCCTTCTGTAGAACAATGAATATAGCTGTGCACCTTCAAAAGCTTTTATGCATGAATATAAGCATTTGCATTATTTCCTGATAAAAAAAACCTTGTTCCAATCTTTTGGGCTATCTGCGTTCATTTTCTACTTGTTTCGTTTCACGATTCGCGCATCGGCTACGTTTGCCTTTTAAATCCTGTACTTTTGTGTTGCCTATGTTTCCGTCCACCTTTTAGCGATTGATTCGGGACGCGCAGGTCTTTGTACACAGCACATTTCCTGCTGTTTTTTCCTGGCAATTTCGTCGACCGCAACCCTTCTCTGTCGCAGTATTTTCGTCCGCTTCCCTTTCCAAACACTTACAATTTAGTCATAGTGCCATTAATTAAAAATTGTAAAACAAAGGCATCGTACCATTTGCAGTTTATGAGATCTAACGCGGTAGCAGATGCCCAGAATAAATACCTGTACGTTCCCTCGGAGAGTTGTTTGACTTTGCTAGATCAATCCCGCGAGATTTTGGTACATCGGCACCTTGACTTACACGCACTTGCATAAAGCGTAGCGCCCAAAGATTTGAGTTTGATCGTTTGAAAGAAGTGAGTTTGAATACGAAGATGGTGTCACGATACCCTCTCGCAGGTTTTGCCAACTCCCCTCATTAACCTTATTTTTTTGTTCAGTTCGCCCGTAGGCCCGCAAACACATTTCAAGCAGTCAGCAGAACCCCAACAACAGCCCTTTTATCTAGTTATTTCTCCTCTTTCGTTGCCGGCTGCGTCCCTCGTGACAATCTTGCTAATTTCCCAATTTTTTACATTGCCCTCCTCCTCCTCCTCCTCCTCCTCCGATTATTCCATTGTTTATCTGCATTCCGTTATCCGTCATCATTACAATATTTCATTTAGAGTGCTATAGAACAATATATTGTTCTATTGTTGTATGTACCCCGTACGTTTGTGACCTTTGTCATGCATACTGTCTCTGGTCATGTAGGTTGTCACGTATTTAGTGGCATCAGTGGGATTAGGAGAGCCGTGTACCTGTTGGTCGTGTATTAGAACGGTATTAATGTCGGATGTTTGCATTTGTGCACATCGTTCTCGGGCAGCTTGCGACCTCCGTACGATAACCACAGGAAGATTAATATCCGGTGCCATTATCGAAGACGGCGGCGGGCGGGACTGGGCGTCAGCGTTGCGGTGGTTTGCCAGGACATTCCCCCACTTCGGGGTCTAACTCCTCAAGTAGTTCCTGCTATCTGGCGACTTATCCCTCAGCGTCTTTAAAATTCTGAAGCCATTTAAAGACCTGGTGGTCTGTGCGGACGACAGTGTTTCGCTTGCAGGTGTCGGAATTTTTTAACAGAGGTGACAAAGGCTGACATTTCACAGCCTATGGTGCTGTACCGGCGTTGCACCTTGTCCAAGCATTAACTGGCTTAAGCTATTACATGCCCATGTCAGTCCGTACAGATTAGGCTAAGAACTCCACCGATGGCAAATCCGATAGCGTCAATTTCCAAGATAAACAATGGACTTTAGACGTTGCCGTTGGGGAATGCGAGAATTGGCTCAGAGGTCAGAGCGTCTTTGAGAGCTGAGGGAGCTCGTGTGTATTCATCTGTCCACGCAAAAGAACGCACCTTTTCTGTTAGCCGGCTGAGGGTAAGAGCAATATTTGCGAAGCCGTAGATGAAACCTCAGTAATATGCGGCCAATCCCAAAAAGGACCACGTCCTTTTGTGGTTGTGATATCACCCAGTCAGATATCTGGCAGAGTTTCTCAGGGTCGAGAGCGGTGCAGGTTCTAGATTTTACGTGCCCAAGGTAAGTCACTTAGCGTTAGGGAAAACGACCCTTCTTCGGGTTAATCGTGAGGCCTACAGCCTGTAAATTGTGGAATGCCTGACACAGATTGTTGAGCAAGTGACTGGCGGACTTGCCGTGAGTAATGAAGTCGTTCAGATGCAGGAAATAGGACCAAGATGTGAGGTCTCGGAGAACGAGTTGCATCAATTTTCGACAAGTGACGATGGCGTTCGTGAGACCCATACACAGTACTAAACTGACTGAGGCTGATGGGAAGAATGAAAACTGTTTTGGACGGTCTTCTGGTCGGACCTTTATCTGCCAATAACTATGTGAGAGATTAAGGACGGGGCACTTCGAAATGCCGGCTAATGCGTCAATAGTGTTGTCCATACGTGGAATCGGGAAGAAGTCGCGCACAGTAATCTTATTCAACTACCGGTCATCAATGCACACCCGCAGGTTGCCGTCCTCTTTCTTAACTAGAATAACCGGTGCACCCAATGAGAGTTAGAGGGTTCTATGATCTTGTGAGAGGATATCTGCGATCATGCTATTGAGTTCCATTTGATAATGTATGGGTATACAACGAGGTGGTTGCTGTTGTGGTTGGGCGGTGCCGGTGTTAATTTCGGGCTGAATCAAACCTACGCGGCCGATTGGTTGCCCAACCCAGATGAACATCTTCTGAAACGGGTATAGTGTTCTTCAGGGCGTTACAGTGGGCGATGGGGATTTCCTGGCATGTCAGCAGATTGTCAATCAAGTTCGATTCTGTTGGTAGGGTAGTGTCGAGCGCATTGGCATCAGAAGTGATGCTGGGGACTACTGGTGTGGGAAGCAGAAGTGTTGCAGGGTTGTTGGGGTCGAAGATAAGTTGGTGGGCGCAGAGAAAGTCCAATCCTACGTGGCACCTACGTTAATCTCCGGTTACACTAGCATGGGGTGTACTGCAGCGCAGTTGGTAAGGACAATGGTGACCCGACGAATGCCGGTGTCATCAGCTGTAATTAACGGATGTGCGAGAGCAGAGTATGTGACGGGACTGACATAGGATCGTAAGACAGAACGAACGGCACCAGTGTCAATGAGTATGGTTGCGGGGCTTCCATCTGGAGCGTCGACGACGGTCAGCGTGGAATCAGTGGGCTGTGGGATGAAAACTGAGGGCACTATAGCAAAGGATGGCTTACCACGGGGGTTACTGTGACCGCATTTGCATACCCGGTCTTTGAACTACTGGCAGTACCAACAGTCTTTCGATCTGTTTGACGTCAGAGGAAGGGGTCTTCGGTCGGGTGTGTGGTGTTGGACTTGGGCGTTGATGGATGCGGCGTGGGTGTCCTGGTGTAGGAGATTAGACTCGAAAATTCGCACACTTTGGAGGACTGTAAAGAGATCTGTGTGGATCGGACACGAAACTCGCGCTTGACGTCTTCTGAATTAATAATCCCTGAAGGTTAAAAGGTCCTCCAGGGCCGTCCATAAGTCACTGAATCTTGGCGGCTGCTTTGCAGACATAGGCGTTTAGCGGTTTCACCTAAGATTCCTAAGACGTAATCCATTCTATTCTTGCGTGGCAAGTGTATCAGGTAGTGTTCAGTTCGAACCTGCCAGCCGGTAAAACTATCTCCGACTTCGTATAGCGAATGTCTAAGGGACTCTACTTGTTGACGATGACTGAGTAGGGAGCCTGTGTAGAACGGCAGTGAGCTGGTCAATACTGAGGAGCGACCACCCGACGTGGACCGAGTACGATGCATAACTGAAAGAAAGACAGTTCAGACGGTTTGTGCGTGTCGTAGTCGCTGTGCTACTGCCTGCGAGGGTTCTAGTATGATCCCCAAGGCACAACGGAATGAGCATGTTCCGCAACCTGATCGGTGAGCGCCCATCTGTCATAATTGATATTCCCGATCACAACCGACAGGACAACAGGCGCGTGGCTCAATGGTAGAATGCTAAACTTCATGACCAAAGATCACGGGTTTGAATTTAAAGTGATCCACATTTTGGGTTGGGTATGACTGGCTGATGACGGCTAATAAGCCAGAAATGGCCATTCCAGTCTCCCTTCTATTTTTTCATATATATATATTGATGCGCATTGGCGCAGGCTTCGGCCAACCATAGATTCAATTGTTCGACACGATTAGATAGTTAACTATTTTTGTACATAGCCCAAAAGTCTGACGACGAGCTGGGGAACCAGACTCGAAAATTTACGCATTGAAGGTTATTCTCTTCCCAAAGAATCCTACTTATTTTCAATATATGTATTTATATCGGAAGAAATAAGTTCCTTGGCAAAGATAAACAAATTTAATTGTAAATTTTCGACTTTGACTCCCCAAGTTGTCCTTAGACGTGAAGTAAGTGTGCAAAACGGTTAACATTTGAACATGCCCAAAAATCGATTTTGCCCTGTCACTCTTGCTAGCGTAATTTTCTGGTTGACTAATGTCTTTTCCACTTTTCCTTGAGGTTTTTGTACACAGCATCCAATTCCACGTGTCGTTTGATGTGCGAGTTATCAGAATGGATGGCCTCTAAAAATTTGCGGTTTTTCTTAGATGAGCAAACACCTACAATGCGAGTCTTGTCCCAAGCGAAGTTATGTCCTGTTTACAGCGTATGCATGTCAATGTGGGACAAGTGGTCTCGCCTTTTGACGGCCAGTTAATGTTTGCGTATTCGTGTAGAAGCCGATCTCCCAGTCTGACCACAGTAAACCGCATTACAGGTGTTGCATGCTATCTTATAGACGAGTTTCTTATCTAAATAGCCAGCCCTACCCTTAGGGTGTACAAGCTGGTCACGAAGTATAGTCGTCGCCTTCTGCACCACATGTATTTGGTGTTTCCTCAGGTGTCTTTCAACTAGTTCGGAGACATTCTTAATGCACGGAAGTGTTCGGCAGTTTTTTTGGTTTGAGCACCTGATCGTAACAATCTAGTTCCTTGTCGTCCCATTCAATGGTGTACAAAATATCCAGGATTCCCATTCCGGGGAAACAGTTTGAACAAGCAATTAAGTCCTGTTTGGCAGATTTCGTTGTCAGAGCGGTGAGTGTTTGCTCGGTTAAGGAGGCTGTTCACGGCACTCCGTTTGTGAGAGGTCGGGTGATTGTTCTCGTAATGTAAAAGAATTTCCGCATAGGTTTCCTTGCGGTAAACTGATGTGTGAATGTGCTACCGTCAACGTCCTCGGTTGCTATAGAGGGTCAAGACTTGCAGCTACGTTGCTCAATCACATGTCCAACGGTGTTAAGTTTTCTTTCTCTCCAGCCTGTCTGTCATCAGTTTGGTCCTCTTAATTCTCGCATTTTTATCGCGGCTCGAAGCTCATATTCTTCACAATTCGTTGTTAAACTTTATTTAAATAAGGTTTAACCGCAAATCATCCCAGCTGAAAATCTTTAGTCATTACACTGATATGACAACGCTGCCTGTTCTGGCTTGGCAATATATTTTGCGACGTGATTCCGACCTGATTCTGGTAGCGATTATACATCACAATATTCTCCGGTTGTGGCATACCGCTGTCGTTTACTTGTTATTCGTAAGCTCGAGGCGGTTTCGGAGGGATCTCCAGCAAACACCAACCGTTAACGGTAACTACCTCCCAATTGCTTCCATTATAATGACGTGCGCATCCTCTCTCTGTTGTAATGTGCATCTGTATCCCCTACTCGATTACTTTCAGTCTCCTCGTTCCAATGTCTCAAACAATAAGGCATACGATCGTTAAGGTAGTGGAATTTTGCATTCAGGCCACACTGGGGTTCGCAATCGTGACTCTTCCACTCCTGTGTTGAGTAGACTATACCCCCTGTCTAGAGATCTTTGAGTCACTGCCAGTCAGAACCCTCAGATGTGGTCAACAGCACTCCTTATTCGCCTTCCTTTTAGGATTATCAAGTCGACGGGTGGCCTTGCGAATATCGACTTGATAGTAGGTGACTATATCGAGCTTGTTTTCAAGGCTTGTGTTTACAGGCCTAAGGCTTCAAATTTTATCGAACTGGCGCCTTCATGCTCATTACCTTTCCTTCTAGGGGTCCTGAAAACTCACCCCTTCTTACAGCTGCTTCGATAACATAACTAGCCCCAGCCAAACTGGGTTTGACTGGCAAGCTAATGGGACCGTCCGCATGATGCTAACCGTCCTCCTGGGCAGGAGTGCTGCTGACCGAGTAAGACCTGCAATCTTAGAAAAACTTCTCAGCTCAGGCACTAGACTCTGCAGTAAACTGTTGTTTGTTTCGTAGGCTTTATCTTTGTCGACTACATTCGAAATACACCCAGGTACTTGGAGCAGGAGGTGCGATGGCCATGTGTGTACTGTTGTCATGTTTAAATCGACCTGGAGGATTTACTCTGTGTTTTCGAGGACTTGCAGTCCTTGAGCCCTTTTTGTGAGTTATCTTTGGTTTTCTCACTTTTTTTACACTCTCTTGGACGTCTCTCCCGTCATATGGTCGTTACTCAGCAATGCCTCTGGTCAAACCTGACACATTTTGTCATACAAGGTTTCATTTTACTATTCCTGTATAATACTTCGTTTTTAGGAAATTGTCCAAGTCCTAATGACGCCCGTTTAACTGCAATTTGTTTTATTTTTTTCTTAGTTTGTGGCTTCCCGTCGAAAAACAATGCTACTTAAAAGTGGCTTTTCAACGCACAACTTGCTCGTGACATTCGGCCTCCTTATTGTATGTTTGTACGTGATCATCTGTCCACATAATAAAGTCGAAGAATCTTTCAACACACAAGCTATTCATGACATTATCTATTACGCCAGTAATGTCTCTCAGGTAAGTTCCTCCTCAGTATACGTTACGCTTGTAGTATGATCACCTAATCTTTCCTGGAGCTGTTCCAAGGACGTTCCTGGGCCCCTTAGTTCTTTCCCTGTTTACCTTTCCATTATCCCCGTTTCTTTTAAAAACCCGTATTTACGTGGTGGGTAAGTAAACCTTTGACCACTACTTGTACTCCTAGCACGAATCTGTCTCGGGATACTTTCCCTCATGGGATTAAGCGCTTTTGCAAACACTGTGGGACAACGCTTTGGCAGCTCAATCGGAAATCGCTTCCTGCTCATAACGGGTCTCCAGTTTCATGTCATGTTCTATGCGTCCCGATGCCTCCCAAACACATTCGCATTTCTCCTGGGTTCGTATTCTAATTTTCCCTATGCACTTCTTTTATTTGAATTTTCATCGTCTTATTATAGTTTTTGAGGACAGAAATCCTCTCCGAACTTTTATGTACATAACGTTATCATTATGGAATACTGGAACTTTGATACCGTAATTAGACTCAAGTTGTCACTGGATTCGCAACTCTTTTTGCCAAGGGACGCCAAAGAGAAGGTGCTCTCAGAAAATCGGACTGTTAGCCTCAGGAATGCATTTTAAACATTTGATTTTGACGTGACTGTATTTGAAAAAGTACTTAGCCACCCTTCCGAGACGCTCCAGTTCTTCAAACAGGAAACTTGTTACGTTAAGCCTGTCCTCATTTCGATTAAACTATTAGTCTTGACCAATCTTACCAAGTTGGACTGTCGCACGTTGCCTATATACATGTGACCGGATGAATCAATATCTTCATACTAACCACCAGACATTGTTCTACTGTGCTTGGACTTTGAAATCCATGCATTCTTTCTGTATATAGTAGCTTTTTTCTTACCATTGTTCTATCGAATTTTAAAATACTCTTACTGCTTTGTAGTTCTACGGTCCTTGGCTGCACTTCTACAGGGCGCCGATTTGCTCTTCATTTTCCTCTCCGGCCTCGCTATTCTCGTGTTCCGAAGTGAACTCATGCTTTTTTATGGACCACTGCTACTTTATGGACTTTATTTCAAATTAGTTAAAATACGACGAGCGCTCATTCTTACGGGTCTTCTGACAACTCTTGGAGCCGTATGTAAGTATCTTTTAATCGCCCACAAATTCGCAGTATTTTTTTGTTAATGTCACGTTTGAGTTATCGGACATGAGTAGTACAACTCGCCGAGGACTATTCTCCTGGTGATTTTGGCCACTTTTCGGCATCACATGATAACCCAGCACAAAAAGATTTTATGGGGCTTTTTTGCTTGTCGAATTTTGTAATACTTTTTCGACTACTTGGACGCTAGCTTTTTGCCCTGCGAAGTCGTACCAGGCATCCAGAATTCGGTGGTGTGTCATTGATATATCTCCGTCGCCCTCGTTCTGATTTTGTCTTTCATCTGTGTGTTGAGACCGAATTCCGAATGTAATCTTAGACTGGTACCCTAGTTTAATGTGCTAAGGATGGATTTGAAATAAGCGGCCTTTCCTGCTCAAATACATATAGACGAATAATTGTATTTTGTGGTCTGTGTTTACATCTTCAGGAGGGCATATCTGTGCGTCTGCATATTGCTGGTCATTATCCGCGTGTCCACGACGTTGACTTCACGGTTCTCCTGTATGGTGTGGATAGCCATTTAAGACAGCGGATCAACTTACCGAGCAGCCCGTTTGTGCTTCCGTATTCGCAAGTTGTTGTACTGTCTAGCCAGTATAGTGGCAAGGACAGTCGTGACATGGAATTTGACACTGCACCCGATTGCTCACCTGCGTCCAGTCCGTCCTTCATCTGCAAGACTTAGGTACGCACGGTAACTGCCGGACAATGGGCCGTGCTCACACCAAACACTGACGCAATCCGTTTTTTCTGAATATTTCTCATATACAGTAGGTGCCCACTTCCCTGTTATTCACAATCACCCATTTGTTAGGGCGGTCTTCCAAAGGGTAGAAACACACTACAGTGAGCCTTCTACAGGACCTACGGCTTCTACGGGACTAATTAACGAGGAAAGGCTACCAAGGTAACTTTTTTAACCTTTGCCTTTGTACTCGTCCAAGAGGGATAACTGGGAGAGTGCCACGAACACCTAGGCACCCTCCACCATGCGTGCGAAATGTATCAGAGACAAATAGACCCGTTGGGTATCACCCATCGTCCGGCAAGTATCATTCGTTCTACAGCTATGCAGCTGACAAAGCCGACTGGACGCAGGTGAGCATTCGGCAATAGTGTCAACTTCGGTGTCGCGATTGTCCTTGCCGTTATGTAGGCCAGATACCACAACGGCTCAGCTCATGAATCTGCGAATGCAAACGGGTCATTTGGAGAGGCGATGCGCAGTCTCGGGTTGCCACCCATACTTTGGAGGAAGACTGCGAATTTGATTTTGCGGGCACGCAGATAATGGTGCGGACTGCCAATAGGGCAGGACTACAGCTGCTGGAGGTTTTGATATCTGACCTCAACACAATAAACAGACGCATCGATAAATCCCCTTCCTTGTCACACGTCAAGCTCATACGACGGAATGGCGCTGTCCAATTCCTAGCCCAAAATGCACGCGATCATCGCACCGCGTGGCCACTCCCAGGCATTGTCAAGCTGCTCGTTTTTTGTTCTCACCGCATACTCTTCGAAGATGGGCAGCTGTACGAGTCCAAAGCCTCAGTTTAACACAGCTCCTCTTTAGATGATCACCTGTTCTTCATTTTGCAGTGGCTATTTTGCCCAATTCATAGTTTTCTTGTGTTTTTAAACTTCTACAATCACTCCATATATCCACAGCTTTTCTTCTTCGGATTATTGAATAGAGTTATCTTTCTGTTTTTTTAATTACCAAGGCCGAGTCTCAGTTCAAATACCATATTTCTTCTCTGCTCCTTCGTAGGCACTTCCGTGCTGGTGGACTCATTCTTTTGGCGTCGTTGGCTTTGGCCGGAGGGTGAAGTCTTCTATTTTAACGCGATTGAGAACAAAAGCAGCCAGTGGGGTGTATCCTTTTTCCGTCTTGTTTTCATGCCAAGAGAAAAAATACTAACTTGCTAGACTGTCCTCAAGTAGTAGCAAAATGCTACCCCTAACCGGGACCATGTCGCCTCTAATGAAGCCGGAATTTTCTCAGAAACCAACACTTTCTTTAAAATACTGTTGACACATGTTTTCCGGGCCCGACGAAGGGTGCAGGCTGGTTGATGGCGTCAAAGCAGCCGGAAATGGTCATTCAAGTTTCACCTATTTTTGTTGACATGCCTCTTGTTATGGGATCGTCTGCAAGACAAGATGAACTAGGTCGTGTTTCGTTCTGCAGTCAGATTGATAAACTATTCCCGCGCGCCTGAAAGTCCCAGACCAAATCGGTAGGGTATATCCCCGTGACGCAATTAGCAGTGTTTTGACCCAGATTCTCGGTGTCCGACAACCTAGTTTTCAAACCACAAGCTTTCCTGGTTGAGTGAAGATGTTTATTCCTATGGACTCTTGCGCGGAGTTTTCATCATAATTACTTTGAAAATGACAAATAGGATTTGCCGACAAATACAGGCAGACCGAACGGCTCTCGTCTGTCATATTTGCCGTCCTGTGTCCATTTGCAGCAAGAAGCTTTATTTATTTTAGGCAGAAGTCCCAGTCTTTTTATGGTTTCATTTTTACGACCTGTTGATGGTCGATATTTCAGGTCCCCATATGCAGGAAGTATACGTAGTAGGTAGTGAATTGCCATGCTCTCAGCCCCATCCGGTCACTCCAGCCATGTTCAATGCCTGAACTGGATTGTTCGGTCATCGCTGAACATCTTTCATTTGGTCTGTCGTTCTCGCCTACTATTGACTTAGTAACTCGTTCTAAGAAGGCTTGTCAGTAAATGGCAGGAAACTGGAATGGTTCTTTTCGGCCTATTTATCACCCTCAGCCAGCTACACTCCGGATCAAGGAGATCTGGGATTTAGGCCCAAGTCGGCAGTCCCAAGCTTCATCACTATCAGTGAGCTAAGTTTTTTTCGGCAGCAATCAACAGTGCATAAGGTCACATGAAAGTGACGCTTTCCGACGGCCCAATTTCATGAGCGAATGCAACAGAGGGAGTTTTGATTATTTCCTTAACATCTTATTTGTAGACGCTCCCTTTCTACTGGTACTTTTTAATTGGCCTTCCCAAAGCCCTGATGTCTACCACGTTCCTCGTTATATCGGCCAATTTACTTATCCTATGTAACAGGCGCGTCCGGATGCGGTACCCGACAAACTTGCTTTTGGGCTTAGAATTCTCCGCCATCAGCTTTGTTCTGGTTTACTCATTCCTTCCACACAAAGAGTTACGTTTTGTTCTCTACACTGTTCCCATATTCAACCTTGTGGCGGCCTTCCTCTGGGACTGCGTGTAAGTTATTCCTAACTTGGCGTTTTAATGATTTGGGAGTATCTACTACCGACTAAAAGGTAGTCATACATGTCTTAGTGTAAATAACTGCTTTCGGGTCTGTTTCAGTTGGTTTTTGTACGCTTACTTTTTCGCACCCACTTTCTAGATTAGAGACAGCTTAACGGATTTCATATTCATAGAAGCCAGAAGAAGAGGTGAACATAATTATTTCCTTCAGCTGATCTTCAAAAAGGGCTATTATTCGCCTCGCTTACCACCGCACGCCTCTTCGATCAACACAATAGTGTTGTGTGAACCCTCCTGGGATCTTACCACGTGGTCTTTATTGATTGTGCTTGAGTCACTTATGTGACCCCCTGGGCACGTAATAACGTAACTAGATATATTATCTATTTTTTCGTAGATTTTTATTCATTTGCTTTCGGCAGCGAACTCCACCAGAAGATACTTTCTATTTAGCCCGACGCTTTTTATTTGCCCTTTCAGCTAGCCAAACTAACGACTAGGGAGCAGGCCAAAACGGCTGACTTTGGTGACCGTGGTGAAACTAGTTGTCTTTTTGCACACAGAAAACTGGAATGCTAACAGTCCGAATATCGGAAATAATGTCCAACAAACTATTCAAAAATTGTAATTCGGCCACTTGATATTCTTTATCTCGGCCGTGAGGAGCACAACTCAGGTGGTAGACGTCTCGGAACCGGGTGATTAAATTGTAGATAGGAGCTCCGAGCTTGCTTCAGGACATTGAGATGTTGGATGTTCAGAAGCCTCGCATGCACCATCACCATCCTCTCCCGATAAATGCGAAAGATCCGCATGTTTGCATTGTGGCCTCCTTTCATGGCAAGTGCCATTACGCTGGGACGCTTGGTTTGAGTTAATTAACAATTTATGATTAGCCTTAAAAAATTGAGCTAAGATAATTTGCAACTTCAATTGGTCTATTCGTACATATTTTCTTCTCTTGTCCCTCACTCGAATCTTTTACCTTGACGCCATTTCAACAGCTCCACGTCTTATTACCATTTATCAGCAACCTTAAAAATTCCTGCGCCAAGTTACAACGAGCCTCTCTTTGTCCTGGAAATAGAGTATCCTGGGTGGAATTTACTGCAGGAAATGCGTTCAGACCCAAAATAAGTGTCGAAATAATCTGGCGGGACATATACTAGATATTGACAGTTTTAATTAACGTAATAATTTATTAAAAGACGACCCTCTTTAACTCCCTTCTGTGTCGCTCTGATTTGTTCCAGAAAGCACAGTGATTAGGATCTTCGAAGTACAGAAACGTCCCTCTTAGTCTCTTATTCCACCAAAGTGCATGTTTCCTGCCAGGAGTTTCGTAGATAAAAGCTACCTAAGGGTGTTTCTATGGCTTCCTGCCGCGTTTTTCAGTCATGCTGACCAGATTTGCTGCTTGGTGTCTGGGCTATTTTCTTTTCGCTCACTACCGTCCTTAAACCAATCGAAAATGTAAATGAGTGTGATTTGGTAATGGAGATAAACATCCGCCTCCTTTTTTTCGAGTTAGACACGCAGGCCCCACTGTTTAATCACATCCTGTAGACTTCAGTTTTTGCAGCCATGGGGCAAAACCCCCTCTATGAAGCTGTGCAAAGCTCGTACGTGGCTGTTTCGTAGCTGTGTCCGCATAATCAGGTAATACCACAGATACCGCACACACGCGGGCAAGAACTACAGTTTTGCCTTGTCAACAAATGCCGTTTTTTGTTTTTCACCTCACATGTATCGTAGGTTGCCCATCTCATGAAATGTTGGCTGAAATTATTAAATGTGTTTTTAATTAGGAGCGTTTACCCGCGTGGAAGTAAGAGATTGATTATTGTGTAGCATAGTCCCGAAGTATCTCAGTCACGCCAGAATGCCGGCCTTTGAATGCGTTTCTTTCCGACCGTCCGCAAAAGCTACGTTCGGCAAAGTAGCTGCTTAAGTAGTATGGCTTTTGCCACTGATTTTCGATGCCTTTAGAAACTCAACATGTTTTATAGAAATCATGCACAGAAAGAGTATTGTTCTCCTTTGATACCATATTAAGTCTTCCTAAGTTATTTACTTGAACCAAGGGTCTTTCACTTTAAAAAATTTATAATTACAGTGCGTGACCGATCTCATGAAATGTTGGCCAAAATTCTGGAATGCGTTTCCAATTAGGAAGGATTACTTAAGTTGGGTTGTTATCCTGATTATCATGCGGCATAACCCTATAACGTTTCAGCCTCGCCAGGATGTCGGCTTTCGAATGCACTTCTTTTTGACCTCCAGCAGAAACCACACTAGGTAAAAACTGACTACTTAGGTAGCATGCATTTTCCTGTTGATTTTCGATGGTCTTTTTCGATGCTTTCTTTTGCTCATTTGGAAAGAAATCATATTGTCTTCACATTTTATGCCGAAAGTGTGTATTTAGGTTTTTAAAAAGTTTCCAAATTCCCGAATAATTTTCGGCCTGATCTGCCATTGCATCAGCGTTTAGCAATTGCAGTCTACAAGGTGCACGCTTTCCGCGTAAGGAGAACCATATATTCCTCTATGTCTTTAAGAAGATACCACATAGAGTTCATGGACTTTTGCAATGGATTCGGACTGCGTTGTACATTTCATGAGGGGCATTAGTAAACGGACATGTGCGGTCTTGCATGCATGGACATCGCACGGTCTTAAAATCTCATAATTAGAAACTTGTTAAAAACCTGAATGCACACTTTCTTTGGGCATAAAATGTGAAGACAATGCGATTTCCTTCCAAATGAGCAAAAGAGAGCATATTTTTGTGCATGTTTTCTATAAAATGTATGTGAATTTATAAGACCATGGAAAAGCAACAGGAAAATGCATGCTACCTAAGTAGTCAGTTTTCACCGAGTGTGGTTTCTGCAGGAGATAAAAAAGAGACAGTCTCCCTTGTCTTTGTCGGTAATATCATTCTGCCTATATATCATGCGCCGCTGCGCGGCTGCTGGTTGGGCTCGAGAGAGAGCCCCTAAGGCACAACGGAACGAGTGAGTTCCGTATGAACGATCGGTGAGCGCCCCCTAACATAAAAAAGAGCATTCAAAAACCGACATCCTGACGAGCCTGAAATGTTATAGGGTTATGACGCATAATAATCAGGATAACAACCCCACTTAAGTAACCTTCCTAATTGGAAACACATTCCAGAATTTTGGCCAACATTTCATGAGATCAGTCACTCACTGTATGTGACCTTAAGACCATTCGGCAACGAACGGATGTGTAGTCCTACTTCGTCCTTTATGGAATACCTATTTATGTCATTTGGGTAGGGGTGTTAGTTTACGTTTCACAAGGCAGGACTGTGAAAGACAGTATGCGACAAGGAAGCTTGCAGTCCACCAGCCCCCTTTACCGTCACTGTTTTAAGAGTATTTTAGGGCTAGGATAACGTTTTGGTATCTCGCCTGCAGTTTCCGTTTCGGCATCATGGTCCGCGGTTCGGAAATAACGACCATAGGCATAGCAATGTGCTCACATCCAACACGTTCTACGGGTAGCATATACTTTAGCGTTTTCCCATGACGCTGCCTCTACATTCACCTGTGCCAATGACATTGCACTTGAAAGTAAACATATCCGCCTTGCATGACCTAACTGCCACGTTCCGTCATGCACCGTGCGACTAGACCTTATTTTGATATTTTCACGGCTGTTCGCTCTCATGCATTTTGCGTTACCTTTCCCTTACCAACATCAACATTCGCCTGCTGTGTGGTTGCTTATACTGCAGGTTTGCACAACGGTCGCGAGGTTGACAGCATCAATGACTGCGCTAGCCTTTCCGTTTTACCTACGTTTCATCAACTACCATTACTCCAAACCCGCCCGTTCGGTGTCGTGTCGTACTTCATCCGTCAAGTTCCTTTGCCATCATCTGCGTAATACTTTTGTATTTATTGTTGCTGCGGTTTGCGCGTGTTGTTCTGGCAAGCCGGGTTTCTGTCCAGGCTTTTATCTTCCCGTACACGTTTCATACTCCCGGTGATGGCTAACTTCGACCATCATCGTCATGCGCTGCCTGCTTTCGTTGCTTACTTAATTCTGACAGATAATAACGCACCGCTGCGAGTTTCATACGGTAACTTAGGTTTCCTCTTGCAGCGTCACGTCCGGCTTCGGGGATTAGTGGAACTGCTTCCCTATTGATTCTTCCGCAGACCCGCAACTTCACACCCACCGTCCTCACACAAGGGCCGTCGTGTGGTGTTCACGGCGCAATTGTTCGCATTCGCCGTACTCGTCCTCTCTAAGTGTTCCCTTATCCTCATTTCCTCTCGTTTCTCGGCTGACTGCTTGTCATTTTTACCGTCGGCATTCGCATGGCGTTTGCTCACTGGCCTTCCTCTTAGGTTCCTTAGGGTCACAGGCTTACGATACTTACAACTTACTCAGTGAATATCGGCAGTTTTGCCTGGCTTCCGCATTTGGCTACCCAACCAGAGCGGTCAGGCAGTTGCCTCACTTTGGTATCCCGTTGGGGGTTGGAGTCATACATCATTCACCTTCCACGGCGCTTTTGAAACTCATCAACATACATACATAGGCCAATTCGACTCTCATCGGCCAGGAAACTACACACACGTACATTACCTTCGCCGTATCGGCTTTCCGCCCCTCCACCTTTAACAATCCCCTCTTTACTACGTCATTGTTTAGGTCGGGAACAAAATTGGGGCATCACCAAGCATACGTTCGCTATTAGCAAAAATAAAACAATATTTACTTCATTAGAGATCTGACGTCCAGCTTCAGTCCCCGTTGGTTATCCGGGTTCGCGGTCTTACCAGGCAGGACTTCTTGGGCATGCGCACTTTACCGACGGCCATTGGGTTCGTCGTTCTTTTTGCCTGGATAGGCGCCCCCAAATATGGCCGAGTAAGACCTCCTATGCCCCTGGCAGATCCTCTGCCCCCCGTCCGAATCACAAGCGGTATTGTACTTCATCCGGTTGAGCCCATACAGCTCGACCAAGAGTTGATCCTGCGTCACGCGATTTCCATTTCAGTCGGCTCCCTTAGTCCTCCACGGTGTTTTTTGTTGAATCTGGAATAGTTGACAGTAAGATGGTCGTATCCCTCAGACGGGAGGTGGGCCTTAGGCCTTTCTTTCATCGGCGACGATAATGCTGCTTTTCGCCATCCAGTTGCACACAATCGCCCTCGGCAATGGCCAACTTCCACCATTCGCCCGCCCAAACAGGGCTTTCCTTTGAACTGTGTCGTGCATACATACTAACTGTCCACCACTGCCTCTTCTTTTTTACTACATTATTACTTTCCCCTACTCAGTAGAGTTTCGTCTCCGTAGACTTCGATGTTGGGGCCTCCGAGTTGCGTCACTTCTTTAAGGAGCGCTTTGGAGCACACATTCCGCCATATGCAGCAGCACCAGTCGGCTGCAGTACTGCGGTTTATTCCTACTGTAACTGCGCAACGGTTGACCCAAAGTACCGTCTTCGGATGCAAAGGCGGTTTTCATAACCTTGCATACCGTCAGCCTGCTTTTCTCAGACGCAGAACCCGTTCACAGGGCCTTCTTCCGCCCGCAGTGGTTACATTTAAATACATATCCACCAGTGTACCGAGGGATACATGCTGGATCATGGGTCGGGCGCAGCGGCATCTAATTCTCCACGGCAGCAATTTCTTGCTCTGGCAGTTAACCCGAGTTGACTGTCTGCCCAGTTTGGTTCACTGGCGTGGGCGTCTCTACCTGCCACTCTCTGTGTGTTTGCAATGCGTGGTTGTAGGTGTTCTGGGAACAGGAGAAAAGAGGAATTGGCGTCAGAGAAGACCGAGTTTCTTTTCACTAACTTGCATACAAATGGACGCCTTACTTCACCCAGTTTGTTCAGCTTCCACGCTATAGAATTACAAAATAGTAATTAGGCATTCTCAGCAAGGCAGATTCCTGGCCGTTCTATTGGGCTTACCTTGCATTTTGAATATGCACAAGTTCACTTGGAACTTCGTCGACGTCCACGATGATAGTCACATTCTACGGAATGACCTTGGCAGTCGACTCTTCACTCTGATTAACTGCTGTGGGTTGGGATAAATCCACTTATGTCAGCCGACTAATATACCCTGTTTTCATGTGCTCCGACCTCTTACTCGGTCGAGGTTTAAATTTTTCTAAACTGCGCGGTTGTGTTCTTCTGGTCTGCTGATGTTAGTTCGCCTTTTGCAGTCTAATTGCCTTTGCGCATCGTCATCCTACGCCCCACCCAGAGAACCACGATCATCGCTATCCCCGCATTCCAAGGGATCGTTGCATAACAAGTGTTGGATGCGACCGCACATGCATTCGTTGCCGTCCTTGTCAAAGAATCTCGTCTGTGTCCGTTTGTTAATGCTTGTTACCAAGTACACAACATGGTCCGCATCCGCTGCGAAATTTTTTGAGCACTATACGGCATCCTCTTGGTGGTATAGAGTAATATAGCGCTTTTCCTTGCATTGAAAGTATGCAGTTTTTAGACTGGAAGCCGTGGATCCAAGTACAACGGCAGATCGGGTTCAAAATTATTTGGGACTGAAAAAAACTTTAAAACTTAAAGGCCCCCTTTCTTCGACCATAATCTTATAAGAAAAAGGGAGTTGCTGCCAAATGACTTCAAGGAAATATTTCGCGCGTGTTTCCTATGAAATATGCTTGAATTTATGTGGACATTGAAAGTCAATGGAAAAATATCTTACTACTGAAATAGTGTTTTGTTACCGAGTACAAGTTTTGAAAGCGGCCAGAAAAAAGGCGTATTAAAAAGCCGGTATTATGACGTGACTGAAATAACTTAGGTTCATGCTGCATGGTAATCATTATTACAACCCTACTTTCGAAGTCCCTTCCAATCAAAAACGTATTTAGGAATTTTGGTTAGCATTTCAATGAGTTTGGTCACCTACCGTACCCTCCCCAATTGAAACAATATGGGTGGTACGGAATTTGTCCCATCCTACGACCCAAATGCTGTTAACCTAACACCCAATGAGTCAGTTTCTCGTTCTTCCCAGGTTTTTCTCATCCAACGTATTTATTCCAGAACTGCAAAAGTAGACGCATAGGTGTAACGGTGTTTTGTGTGTTTTTCTAGAGAATCTAATATCGCTGAACGGCATGCCGGACAAAAGCACAAACATGATTCACCCGCCGGTATCGCAGGCGGTGGTCGTATGTTCTCTTTTGCCAGAAGGCTGACTGTCCTACTCTGTTACCTCCATCTCCTTGTGAATGCAACCTTGACCCTTGCGCTTTTATTCTGTTCCGCTCACAACTATCCGGGCGGCGATGCGATTTCCCAACTCAATTCTTGGCCGGAGTTGGCACACAGGAAAGGTAAGCTGGTGGAGCTACTAACTTCCTCCTTTTATCGGACAAAGTACCCCGTCATGCCAACAGACCTTTGAGGCGGTTCATTTCCCAAACTCCGGATCCCAATATTAATTACTAGCCATATGTCATTTGGGTGTCTGAATAGCTAGGTGTAATTAAAACCCCGCTGCAAGGAGATCAGTACTGTTGGAGAAGATAAGGCGGCTGAGACGATTAGGGACTTTCCGTGCCAAAGGGTGCGGCACCGACTAAGGCGACCACTTAGTTGGGAGCGCTGTGGCTTTGACTGACAAGTCTTTTTTTAGGATGTTCTGGAGACCAGTGAGAGTCAGTCTTGGGTGTTTACTGAACCGTGACTGCACCCCTTATCAGACTTACAGTTAATGCTGACGACAGTTACTTACTTGCTATCGACTTTGCTGTTTAATCTTTTTGCTACCCACAGGTGTTCACGTCTTCATCAGCAATCTGGCTGCCCAGACGGGTGTAAACCGATTTCACGAAGTACACCCCACATGGATGTGAGTGCCTTTTGTTTTCCCGTTTGCCATCAAAATGACACCCTCCGCGATCCTTCTTTTTTGACCTGATACAAGGCAATGAAGGAGGAAGTCCTATGTTGCACACACACACGTTTTGCTCTGCTGCTCGCGCAAAACTGCAGAGTGGGGACACTTTCGTTTCTGTTCACTTCTCAGTACTGGTGTGGTTGCGACAATTGCCGTCGGATGCAGTAGATTCCAGGCACAGGCGCTTTCTCTACCTTCAAATGTGGAAACCCATGAAGCGGTATCCCTTCAACCAGTCTTACATTTTATAGTTGTGCCAGGCAGGCTGTCTATGGTGTTCAAAATCTCACTTGGGTCGCTCCCACCTAAAGCGCGTGACTTGCTTCCACCGGGAGTGGTGCTGGTGATAGAACGTCACCCAAAAACGTCCCGCTCTTTGGTCTAGCCAGGAGACATTTCTCAATTGATGTTACCGTCGCGCAGGAGTCTACTAGTGACCCCAGTTTTGCGCCGATCGGTGCTGTGTCAGCTTATTTGCCCTCAAACTTTTAGCCATTATTCGAGGAGCTGTCCCGTGAACCACTGACTGAAGTTATTTTCGAAGTACTGTCAAATGGCAAAGACTACCTTGACGAGGCTCCAACACTGGTTCATGCGAAGCACGGTAATATGGTTTTCTCTGGCCACTCCCAAGTCGCCTACAAAACTGCATGTTGGAAACAGGTGGCTTCTTAAATGCCACATCTTTTCCATCGTTTTTCGAGGCTTCTATGAAACCAATTATTCCGCCAAGACAGAGAAAGAAATGTCCCCTTAGGTATCAGTCATTTTTGGACGCCACGGAATGTAGAGATCATGAATTCTCGTAGCCAGAGAACTTCCGTCCAGAGGCGCAGTTGGAGCGCCAACCTCTTGAAATTCACTCAAGTGCTTCGTTACCTGAACTGCCACGAGGCCATCGCCGCTGAACCTACGACATTTTCTGGTCTGCAGTAAAAAATATGATTGGCACCTATTCGATCTTCACAAAATAACAAGGTTTTGGTAAGGATCGGGTGAGGGTCCCAAGCATTTGTGGCATTACCTGCTATACTTATTTAAGTAGGTTTTAGTCCGACACGATTACTTCGGTTTGATGTTTCATCGTAAAGGGTTGGGTCGTCTGTTGTAGACGGTCTGGTGCATCATCTACAACGAACTCAGCTCAGAGAGTTGAGAAGTGATCGTTGTGGACACTTAATGTTTATTTTTTAATTGTCCTGTTTGATTTTGGTTGCTATATGCCCGAAAAACTGATTTGCCAATTATCTATACTTCTTTTGTCATTCCTCTATGCATACATAGGCCCCGCCGTAAAACTCCTATTACCACCTTTCCCGTAAGACAGGCACCTTTGGCTGGTCGTGTGTGTGTGTGTGTGTTTGAGGTCCTTTACCTGATCGTTGTCCAAGGTTTGTCTGGGGAGAAGTTCCCTATGTCCTTTATAAGGAAATTGGCGTGCCTGAAGGTCTAACTTTAAAAGACAGTGCTATTTATAGTAGTAGGAATAGTGCTGCATAAGTTTATTCGGCGTTTGTTTAATTGTGCATGTAGTCATACACCCGCAGTTTGATTTACCCTGCCCACAAAGGGTGTCATCTGTTCAAATTGTTTTTGATATTTTCTAAACTCTAGGTTGGCCTTTCAAATCAGTCCAGAATTGCTTGTGACTGGGCTTTAAATGCACTTGCATTTAAGAGCGAGTAAACTTACATCCTGTGTCATGAAGATGCGTTAATTTATTAACCCTTTTGTAGGAATAGTTATTCCATTAGTACGCATTCGGCATAATTTCCCATTAAACAACTGGAAAACGAACCATTTTAGTCCTTTATAATAATAGTGCAGTAATATAGTAATTCTAATGACAATGAATAGTAAAAGGAATGTCTACTACAAAAGCTGCAAGAGTTTTGGTTGTGATCACCACTGGAAGGATTCACGGTGCTGCTACGTGTTACGTAATTTGAGCTTCTTCTTCATGTCCATTGACCTTACGACTCATCTCTAGTCGTTTATGCTGTTTGGAGGTATATTTTAGGGATTTATCGGTACTTTACTAGGTTCAGCACATACAGTGCCTGCGTTCTCGCCGTCAAACTGCGTCCTGATTTAGTTTGAACAACATCTGCCTGTGGTGCGACGTGTAAACCTTCATTCCCACTGACAATCCCATCAAGTTTCGCACATTGATGATAGAATTTAACCCGTAGAAGGGGCCAGTTCTATAAGCCTTCCAATCACCACGAATTTTTCCGCCTCCTATCCTAAGCACTCGTGGGTCCGTAACCCAGTGGGTGGACTCCTCCTGAGGCAACATCAGTTAAAAACCCCGGCTCCTTGGAATACGACAGTTACTGCATCCCTAGCCATGGTTAGTTTCGATGCAGAAATCAGGTTGAACTAAAGTGCCCGTGGGATTCCATTCGGTTTTTTGCATTAGCATTAATATTTGACTACCCTGCAATAAGTTGATTTCTTCAGTGGCCCCTCTAAACTCCACTTTTGCCCCCCCCCCCGCCTTAGTCCGACAATTGGCCAAATACTACAGTCTCAAAGGTTATAACATTTTAATACGCGTACTGGTGAAATCATTTATGAAGAAGGTTGTATTTTCCTCTGAACCTTTTTGTCTGTTTTTGCCTTTCGTCCAAATGTCTGACCAACTTTAATTCATGTGCCCTTACCCATATGTAGATATAACAAGACAGAAGGTCTAGAGGATGATCTGGTGGCTCTTACAAACGGTCCCTTCACGCACCTTATCCTAGAGACTGCGAAGAACCGTGTTCCACCAGGCTTCACACGCCTCTTCGAGGTGCGGGCATTTTCGGGTTTGGTATTGGACTGGAGTAAATCTCGTCTTTTGGAAAGATTTGGCCTGAAGTTTGCTTCCGCTCTCAGCGTCTACGAGCGATCGACTTTTCCGACCAACTAACAGACATTTTATTTTATAAGCATAAATATCTTTTTGCCAACAAATTCTTGGGAATTTTCTCTACCTAGACCAAATGGTATTTGAATGCTGGAAAAGTTTCTTCAACAATATGTTATCATGTGCGAAAGTATTCCGACATCTGATGTCGTCTGAAGGTACCGGTCGATTACAACGGGGTCATCATGCTGCTGTTTTTATCCATGATCTGAGACGCAACATATGCAGACTACGCTTCTTATGCACACTTTTTGCAAAGTGCCCTCTATCCCCTGGAACTGGCGTACACTCAGTTCGTACCACTTTTATTCTTCCCAAAGATGAAGAGTAGTCTCCCCTCGGAGGTAGTCTGTGTCAAGGATGCTCTTATCCGCCAGAAGACGTTTGTCTAACGCATTAAGCATTCGTGTCCTCAAACACTTGACTGTGTACTCACTGTTCTGGCTAACTTGTCAAAGCCAACTAGCTCCGTCTTCTGGTTCCGATTGTAAGGCCTGTTAACGAGGTCGCGAGGCAACCATTTAAACGATGTCACAGAAGGCACGGGCAACTTGGGAGACTTGAGTTTTCGAAATCCTCGTGTGACGGGCAAAACGGAAGACGGAAGACTGATGAGCACCTTTCCTAATTTTGCGGTTCAACTCTGATAGTTGTGTTCTTTCTGAGACCACAAGCTGGATTTCTTTGTCCGCCAAGGTAACATCGTATGTATTGTTACATATTCATGACTGCTTATGAAACACGACAGGAGACGAAACTGTACGCCTAATGTACTACTAAGTTTGGAATAAATCCAGGTCTTGCTGTCATATCCGCCCCAATGAAGATCACTAAGTTTCGAAAAAAAGGATGATAACACTTACACACAGAAAACAGTCCCAGATATTGTACTTGATACGGCTGCGATAGTGCCTGACCTAGCCGGCCTCAGTGATGCCACGGACTGTACCTCTCCACGCGTGACGATCCGCGGCAGCAGATCTGGACAGCTTAACCCATTCTCTTCTCCAACGGCGGGGACCGAATACCGAAGGTCCACGAACTACCTCCACCTCTTGACGAAATGTGTCGAGCCAGGTTGTGAGTTGACCGCCTCTCCGACGCCTCCAATCAGGAAACGGTGCCGGATCGAGGGCAGGAACACTGAGCTCCCGAGGTGGACTAGGAGGAACATGCCCAAACCACCTCACTTGTCTTTCTTGGATGGCCTGAGTTATCCTTGCGATGTTGTCGCAGCAAGCGCGGACTGTCTCATTTGAGACGAAGTCGGTGTACTTCACTCAAAGGGTGGTCGCAAGCAGTGGTGATCAAATACCTGTAGTTTTCGCTCCTCCACGCGCAAAGCCCAGCATTCATAACTGTAGAAAAGGACAACAGTCCCAGATATGTGCTCTTGGTGCATCAATTGCCTTGACGCCTGCACTCACGTCACTGGCGGTCGTAGCTTTATCATTCGTGTTTGGTGATGGACGTGGTAGTTACTCTATAGTTTGGCTCAACGACGTCGTTGCCGGAAATGGCCATCATCTTTGCCGTCGTCGCATGACCAGTCGTCCGACTCAGACAAAGACTCTGTGCATAATAGAAAGAGTGGAGATCAATGCGTTTTTGGTTGACGGGGAGCCAGGGAACCACAACTCACGTGGTCGCCGTCTTCTGCCAAGTGCTTGTTGTGGACCGGCAGGTATGGTGATAAGCCTACATAGTTGCTGTTCGTCCGTGCCGGCCACCTGCGCTTTCCCGCCTCTGGTCTTCATGACCATCTTGACAGCAGGCCCAGGTAGGGGAAGAGGGGGGGGAGTGCGGTAAATGCTGCGCATGTCCACTATTACTTTAAACTAACTCTCACGCAAGTCACCGTGTCTGCTCTCACCCTGCTGCGGAGCACACGGTGGACACCGTCGGTCACGACGGTCGAACTGTCGGTTGGAGGGTTGTCGGGAACGCTTCGGTCGGTGGCGGAAGTGGCGGCCTTTGTCGTCGCCGCGGAGGTTTGGTAGGGATAATGAAGATGGCGGTGTTCGACGGCGTCGGGACACGGGAATTTTGAGCATCGGCGGTGAGGGTGGCGGTCGGGAATATTAACTTATACCGGAAGTGCGTTCACGACTGGGTTGCAGGACGGACCCAATCACAACCGACAGAACAACGGACCGTGGCTCAATGGTAAAGAGAGTTGAACTCAACAACGCTTTGTGTCCAATGAACGCGGGCCCGTGACTATGGTGTGGCAGAACCTGGGCCTGGGTAGTGCTGGCCGGCGACGGCTAATAAACCAGCAATGGTTGTTCCAGTCTCCATTTGTCTTCTTCGAAACTCCCCTCAACATGTGTATGTGTCAGTTGCTCCCGGGAATATCGGCTACTAACTACGCCCCGTAAGCTGATCAGTGAGCACATCTCCACCGCAGTTAATATTTCCGATCGCAGCCAATAGGACAACGAACCGCAGCTAAATGGTCGACCGTTGGACCGTTTAATGCTCAATGACCAAAGAACCCTGCTTTAAAGCCCAAGCCATATAAACCTATGGTTGGGTATGGCTGACTGACGGTAGCTATTAAGCCAGAAATAACCATCATAGTCTCCCTGTCTTTGTTGCTATTCCTATCTACTTTACCACCTGTCGCCGCACAAGTGCCTGCGACTGCCGCACTAGAAGAGCATGTCCCATAATACAACCAGTGTATGTCTTCTCACCATAGCTAATATTCCCGATCATTACCGACAGGACAGCAGGCCCGTGGCTCAGTTTTTAATTTTTCAATGGCTGGAGTTCGAGCTCAAATCCCGGTCATAAAACCTTGGTTGCTTGTATCATATTCGAGCCGAAATCGTCAGTTACGGCGGAATAAACGCGCAATATTCACACCCTACCGCAAGCAGTCAGAAGTAGGCAGAAACTGATTGATTTGCCCTGCCCCGTGTGCGGGGGTATTAATTAAAGTCCTAGATACAATCCGTTAGTTCTGTTGCATCCTGTGCCTGTCGGTCCCACCATTAACGGCATCGCCACCACTACCAACTTAATTGCCGCAATTCGATCACGTCCTTATTGACACTGCACTTTTGCATCATGCATCGGCCTGATCGGTCACTTACGAATCCATTGCATCGAGACGACGGACCACAACCTTTATCGCCAGCACACACCTTTCGTATCCGCCTAACTTGCCCACACTGACCGAAACCTATCCAGAAATAAGCGCCTCCGTGAAAACGTGCAGTAAAACATCGCGACCAAACTTCATCATTACACCTAGTCTCATCAGCCCACACAGAAAAAGTCTCAACACCACTTTCAACATGCACAGAACGTGCACCTCTTACACAAATGGAACGCATGTCCCTTCCTGTGTCCTGATGAGTGATTAGGCACGTGTACGTCACGTGTACAACACGTAGACGACTGTTGTAGCCCTGTCAGCCGACGCACTTAACCCCACAATCAGCTGATGGACGGAATAGTACAGTCGGCTGGTACACGGGAATCGGAGGTGAGTGTAAGGTCGACACAGAAATTCATCCCCATGGCACATCACCGCATACCCCATTGTGATTAATTAAATGCACTTGAGCCTGTCACGGCGCGCCGTCAGTGGGGATTTTGGAGGTTGTCAGCTGACAGTAATTCGATCCTCCTCATAACTGAGATTCTGGCTGTCATGGCTCCTCCTAAATGTGACCTTAATGGTGCTACCACGCATGTGAAATCAATGCCGCCCTTTGTGAAAACCTGGGACTCCCTTTGGCGACCCACCTTTGTCTGTCCTGACATTGTTTTGGTCTCGGTGCCAAGACGGATGAGGAAGGAGAGCCTGTGGTAGATGTTGCGCAAATCCGTCTCTTCGCAAAGGGATGGCCGTGGTCCTCGTAGTATTTTTAAAACAGTATAACAATAGTTGCTTCGATTGCAGCGGTGCTGACTTCAAGACGGAGGTGACATATAATGAGACTGTTCTCATCCCTTGCTCACTTGTATCTGCCAAACAGAGTAGACCGACTTCCTGGACACAGTTTCAGGAATCTCAGCTTCTGGAATAACCGATTAATCAGTTTGCACGTAGCAATTCTCGGGGCGATCTGCCGGGTTAGGGCATTTTTCTTAGAAAGTTTTAAGAGATCATAAGATTGCTTTCGCATAGGCTACCTATTATCGACTATGGCTTTGCTTTTCTCTAGTCAGGCTGGAATTCTGATTGCCTCCTCGACTAGCAGCCCCAGAAAGACAGACTTACTATTTCTGTAGGATTGTCGAGGCATCAGGTGAACCATGGCTTTGCTTCGGTAGGTCCCTTTTTGAAAGCAACAGTTGACCCTTCCCCCTTTTCAATAGACGTAATGACTATTCCGGTATCATCTCTCAGCTTCCCTTTATTGGTTTCTTGGGATCCGTATCGGATCAGACCGTTCTCGCGCACATCCCTTTGAAGGTGTCAACGCTTCAATCGAAATCAGTTGAACATATGACACGCGCAGTCTAAAGCCATTTTCCCTTTTCGGCCTCAACGTTATTCTGACTCAAAGGACAGCAATCCATTTTGAGGAACATCAAAAGCAAAACGTCACATTCTCCTTGCATTTTGCCAGCAGCTATGACGGTGACAACAAAAGGGAAAACGATTAACCTCTTGTGTCAGTGTCTCCTAGTCTGGCCTTACAGAAGCACCTGCTCAGCCGAGCGCATTAACACGTAAAAAGTTACATGATGCACTAGTTGAATTCTAGTCCCTTTTTCGAGCAACCACAAACAGGCGTGTGCCCTGCTAAATTTTCCGAGCTCATCCGTTAACGTGCTGTAAAAAAATTCTGTGCGCGTTTCTTACTAGCCTCTTATATACACGTATTTCTCGCGTGCTATGGATGCGCAGTGCTAAAACCGTCCCAGTGTAAAGTGGGTCACAGTTTACTGCTCATTCATGGGAGTTTATTCCCTGACTGCTTTTTAAATCAATTTTGTTTAAATCTAGCATCCTATAGCCTGGTAGTTTAGACTCACTTTTTTACGTATTTCGAGAGCACTCTCAATATCGCCCAATGACGGCAAAACTAAATAAATATGACTCTAGTGATAGAACTCGCCGCTCATATTGATAATACTAGTAACTCGCTTGTTTCGACCTCATGCCCCTTCATCCTCGAATTACCTGTTCAGTTGTGGAAGCATGGTTGTGTGTGTAGGCTTGGTTTCAGATCTAGAGACCCGATTATCATGATCGCCCCTTTTTAGTCGAAACCATTGGCCCCAACACTGTCCATCAAACAACTGGAACTATATTATTGGGATAAGAGAGGACGCACTGCGTTCTAAAATGAGGTCGAAATGGAAAACGTCTCTCTGTGGACTATGTGCCGAAACCCACCTTTTCGACCCCCAATAAGGACAAAAGATAGTTGACTAAGGGGCAAGATTGGGGACGGGTTGGAGTTCAGACGGGGAGGTCCTTTGGGAGTGACTGGCTGGCCTAGAGACGGCCCTTGGTTGATCTGTGACAGTTCGCGTCTCCTCGCCCTCCCCTTTCGCCACGCTGCTTTCTTGTCCGCCTCACACTCCTTGTCGATACGCTTCTGGGACACGCGAGGCTTGTCATTAGCCTCGCGTGTGTTCGAAGCCAATCAACGCTGTCTCCATTCTGATTAACTGGCGGACGCGGAGACAACGAAAGGCACACACACACGCGCTGGGTCTGAGCACCTCGAAGGCGGACACAGACAACAACTTGCTTGGAGCGCGCTCGCGACGACTGCCTACAGAGCCCTTGTGTACGCACTTCCTCAGGCAGTAAAAGTTGTCCAACTCACTCCGTCTTCCCTGACTTTTGATTGGGAATCTTTATCTTGTCGACCACACCACTTTCGACAGATCCAGCAAGCCAGAACGGCGATAACGCGTAGAGGCGTCGAGGAGGCGTTCCTCAGTCCGGGGTGGCGTAACATCCATTGTCCTCGGTATTTGTGGGGCCTCCAGGCGATGCGGATAGGTTTAATAAATGAACCAGTAGACACAATTAAGTATGACAGTGAAAGGTAGGAGGACGCAGGAAATTAGCCACTAGGGTGATCGAGGCCCCAAACTGTCATATGGGGTAGTTTTGCAACGGCCGATGGGATTAAGGCTGGAAGGTGGTTAGCGCGGTGCCGTTGTGCCAGTGGGTAACTGGCAACGCGCTAGGAGTCTAGGGTGAATAAGTCAAAATCAGATCAACCTGTGCCTACATCTCTACACTATGACTTAAATTACAAACCGCCTCTCGCAATGACCAACTGACCCCGGGTCCACATTGCAAGTCTCCCAGACCCTGGGTTGAGAGTGTAGTTAGTTGAACTAGAACCACAAATAATTTGGGAAGTGGTCATTCTGGTCTTTGCTGTTCCTGTCGGTATTACTGACAAAATTACTCCATCCCTTCAGGACGGCGATTCAGACTGCAATGGCTCCTTTGTAGTGTAGCCCCTATGGCACTCTCGGTTATTTGGAATCAGAACAGTCGCCTTCGTGTTTAACCGAAACGCCTGTCCTTCGTGTGTAGACCGAGCGTGTGTGGCACGCGGAGACAGACTGTCTGCCACTGCTAGAGATTTCGCCTCCGATCTTCTTGAGTTTTTCTTGACACTGGATTCAGATGGGTGAGGGAGGGAGAAGAGAGTGCTGTAGTTTCTGCAATCATTGTAACCTAATGCATCCGTAAGCCACCGTCCCTGCGGCTGCCGTGACCCAAGCACATGGTCGACATCGTCGACAGCAACAGTCGAACTATCACCTCCCTGTTCGTAATACTGACTATGTACTAAGTCTAGTTCAAAACTGTTTGACTGATCGTAGTCGTTACACAGATTTCCGAGGGGTAAAGGGCAAATTAAACTCGGAGGAGCGAAAATTAATGTCTTCTTGCAACCATCCTGTCTCAAATTGTAGTCCAATTCTTGTGGACAGTAACCCGAATGAATTTCGTTGATAAGTACAACTAATGTTATGCCAAAACGAGGTCTTGATTCGAGCAGACAATGTGCGAGCCTATTTAGTGCTCCAAGCACCAGTCCGCAGGCTCCGGGCACACGCTCAAACAATTTTGATTGCAAACCTAGATATGCTAACTCAGTTATCAAGTCCTAGTTCCGTCCTTTGCAAATGACATCATACGGATGACTGACCGGAATTAGAAACGTTCGCGAAATTGACTTGACTTAAACAAACACTTGCCGAGTATACTGTCTCCATAGGTTTCGCAAAGACGCCTGCAAAGGCCTTCTCTCGGTACTGAGACTTCTTGTGCATGACTTCTCCACAGGACATGTTTATCCATCGCATGTTTTCTCACACCGAGCCGCGATTCCACCTCAAAAAGACTTTAAACTGCAGATTTTTAATTTCCTCGGAATAAAATCGTTAACTTGAAGCCAATCAGTCTGCTTGAGACTTCAAGGCTCAGACTTGAATTTGATATGAACACTTCGCTGAAGTCCATCAGTCACAATGCCAATAGACAGCCAGTAATATATACAGTGAGTGACCGATCTCATGAAATGTTGGCTGAAATTCTGAAATGCGTTTTTATTAGGAAAGATTGCTTAGATGTTGGTGTAATGCCCATTGGCCTGCGGCATAATCTTATATTATTTCGGACTCGGCAGGATGCAAACTTTTGAATGCACTGCTTTCCAATCTTCTGCAGAAAGCGTACTGGCCAAAAAATGACCACATAAGTAGCGTGCATTTTTCATACTGATTTTCGATGGTCTTGCAAATTCAAATATATTTCATAGAAACCACGAACAAAAATATGCTTTCTTTCAGACGTTTGATAGAGAATCACGTCATAGTGAATGTCACCCACTATTAAACGGTGTTTCACTAGAATTCGGGAGCACTTCTGAATCCCCAACTTAATATACCAGAGTGTCGTGGACGGCTTCAAGCTTAACGCAGGACTTCTACTCCAACCAGTCAGACACAAGCAGTGTTAAACGAGTCACGACTTAATCGCCTCATCATTGTGACCGAAAGGCATTGTCTCAAGCACCCCGGCTGAACTTGCAAGGGACCAGTAATGACAATAAAGAGCAATTCTCAGTCTACAAAAAACAGCCGAAATCTGTGCTATTTTTAAGCAGAGAAAATCCTCAGCATGCTTAAAAGGCAGTTCATTGAGGTGAAGGCAGTCTTCTGTCTCTACTGACGACTCCCCGTAGGGAGGCACAAATTGGGAGTCCACTGATTAATGAAATATAGATGGTCGAGACAACTGCGTGTGTGTTAACTTAGAGTCCCATGAAGCATTGATGTCTTCTATTAGCATAGCTGGCAATTGTTTGCGTACGCTGAAGGAAGACGAACAGTTGGGGAGTAGATGGGGACAATAACACACAAAATCCTAAGCCAAGGCCACTCAGAGACCGCCTCCAGGACGCCAAATTGTCCCCTCAGGTGATCTGTCTAGCTGCTGCACAGAAGAACTGTATCCTGCAGCATAACTAACAGTCAGTTGATTTTCCTTATCGGTGCTTGATAGTTAACTGTAGGAAGTGCTGATTGGGTTTGTGATGTAGTTCAAAAGTATGTGATGTCTGTCTCTCCGGCTTTCAGCGAAAAAGGAAGTTTTAAAGTCAGTCAGATGAAAATTTGTTTTCGGCGTTGTGTATGGCTGGCTGCAAGTTGTCTTGAATTAAAATAGACTCAGAACCCACATGACTCCCACGTTTTTGGTAATGGGTCTTGAGGCCTCTCTGCAATTAACCTGTCATCTGTTTAACACTACGCGAAGGACTCAGGTCAACCCGTACTGATCCCTCCTTAGTGCGATCTTCAGGTAATTACCCCCCGGGTGAGCTTCAGGCTGAAGTATTCCGTGAAGTCAGCAACAACCTCGCGATTGTTGTGAAAGCTGTAAAAATTTCGAGTCGGTTCAGGTTTATCTGAGTCACAGTTTAATGTAACCAATTTTGCACCTAAATGGCTACGCTCGTCGCTTCCGATGTCTAAGCAGCCTTGCGCCGTAAAGCGCTGCCTAGCCCTGGCATAGAGGAAGAGGCCAGAAAATTTGCCTTAAAAATGCGTAGTCTGTAACAACTGCGCAGGTAATCAGAGACATCCCGACAACTTGTAACACTTGCACACTTCTAACTAACCCAACGAGCCGTCGACAGGAAGGGAGGTCACCTTCTGCACGCCAATTGGCTAAGTAGAAGATGGGCGCTGCCCTCCTCAGCGCGACCCGGTTCTCTGAACCAAAAAGAGTAAAAGTGCTGCATGTAGGATTCACGTTCTTTTTAGTCTTCAGTCAAAGAAACAGCGAGATGTCGAAGTCAACTACGCTGCCAGAAACAACGTCCGCGGGCTACGTTGAATCTCCAACGAAGCCTACACCCGCCTGATACCAACGTGGCTCATCCTTCACGAGCCGGCGCATACGTCCACCCCTTCCCAAATGAAAACTCACGACGATGAAATAAGCAAACTTCACGAAAATCTGTTTGTCCTACCCGCCTCCGTGCTGAGATTAGGCACTGAGGATTAGGAACAGATTACTTCATGTTCTGGTGACGATGGTGATACATGTTGCAAATCGCTGAAAAGGTCTCATCCCATTCATCCTGACCACAAAGCTGCAAATTCAAATATGCAGGTGACCCCAGGGTAAGAAAGCACAATATAAACTGGATATAGCAATCATAGACTAAATTTCATACGGATGGATTGAGCCGGCCATATTATCGCCACTGAGGAACAAATACAAGTCCTCGTGGCTGAAGATTTTGGCAGCAGACTGTGAGATGCCATTTACCACGCGGCTGCGCAAATCCTTAGACTCGCATTCAGAAAACAGTAGGACGCCCTCAAATACAAAAAAGGAGAAATCCTGCGTCTCATCTTTGAGAGTAATCAGTTTCATAGTACATGCATAAAGAACGACTCCCGTGAAAAAGACTGCTGTCTCTCGATGCCGAAGTCAAGTGCGACAGAGTTTGCGATGAATAAAGAAGAGCTACTTGGCTCCTAAGGTCAAAAAGCCCACGGATGTACTCAATATGGTAAACTTTAGAACGGCAGAGACCGGGTTTATCATGTGGTTCAAATACATGTGATGCCCGTCTCTCCGGCTTTCAATAAAAAAAAGAATTCATATTGACATAGCTGTGAAAAACTCGGCGCCTCGGTGGGATTCGAATCCATGACAGTAAGGGGAAGGCTTAAGTACAGCTAACGCTCTAACCACCTGAGCTACGAGGCCCCGCCGGACGACATCTATGAATTACGCGTGCCTGGTAGTCACCTGGTGGATTCTAGGTTAATTGCTTAGGAAATCCTGCTTGGGCAGTCAACTTACTGTATCGGATTTGGTGGATTTCAGACGTTGCGGTAGGTTTGGTGGGTAAGTTGACCCAAATGTGATTAAATTCGCGTCGTCCGGTGTGGCTTCGTAGCTCAGGTGGTTAGAGCGTTCGCTGTACTAAAGCCTTCCCCTTACTGTCGTGGATTCGAATCCCACCGAGACGTCTAGTTTTTCACAGTTGGGTCAACGTGAATTATTCAAAATCTGCCAAAAAATCTATGAAAAAAGGACTTTTCGAAGTCATTCAGATGAATCTTTGCCTCCGACGTTGTGTGTGGCTGACGGCAAGTTGTCGTGAATTAAAATAAGCCCAGAATTCACATGCCACTCAATTTTTCGGTATTACACCTTGAAGCCGGCAACATCTGGCGGAACGTGATTAGTGACTGATAGGAGCAAAGAGGCGAGTTCCAGGAAGTAGTCGCAAAATAGGAAACATGATAGCTGGTCTGTCGGACCGTGATAAACTCGAGAACTGCCAGCTGGCATAGGCATGTAGCGGCTTAGCAACTACATCCTATAAATACTGCAACACCCGTGCAAGTCACCACCCTTATCTGACTCTGGCCCTGATGATGGATTCAAGTGAGAATCCGAAATGTTAGGCTAATAAAGCTCCTGTTCCAGCGATCGTGTTTCCCTTTTTGTGTTATTAGTAACGCCTGATGATGATGATGATGATGATGATGATGATGATGATGATGATGATGATGATGATGATGATGATGATGATGATGATGATGATGATGATGATGATGATGATGATGATGATGATGATGATGATGATGATGATGATGATGATGATGATGATGATGATGATGTAGGCTGCTGGTGGGTTAGCTCCGCAACGGGAGGATGGCGCGCGTCGCCGACAATGTAACAGTCTCAGAAGCACTCGCTGCATACTCGCTGTCAGTTTCATCTTCTCTGTCATGTTGATGGACGCCTACCGTGATGAGCTCTCGGGACCATCGTTTCCTTACTGCAAATAAGAAAGTACCTTTTGAGGCTATTATGACGCGCTACTGTTCAAGGAGGGGAAATTTTTTGCTGATAGAACACTCCTGTTCTGCTCCAAGTTGCAGATCATACTCCTTGCTCTGAAATTAATGACTCTCGGTTATGTGCGATGCGAGCACCCTTCACTAAAGGGAGGCCAGTATGCGGTAAGCGAAGAGGCGACTTTAACCTCTTCAGTCACTACCTGGGCGTTCAGCTGCAGTCGTTCCAAGTCTGTCGTATCAATTGAAGATAGGGGTGTGAAAGGGACGGTAACCGAAGTTCCCCGGCTGGATCCTCTTGTTAAATATGACGGACAAGCTATCCCAGCCTTTAAACCCAACTCGAGGACGAGAATATTTATTTAACTTCTTTGAGGATAGTTAATTAAAAGCGGAGATTAGACATCCACGAACCTTGGACGAAACCTTGAACAAAAAGAGCCTTTATGTAATGTATTAATGAGAACATGTATATTCGGCTCTAAATTCTCACAGAATCTGCACAGTTTCACATTGGTGACGAACGATGACTTGCTGTAAAATTTCAGTGCAATCCTAGAACACATCCGATTGGGCGAAATGAGGGTGTGGAGCAAAATGTACTCGGGCAACCTTCGCGCGCATTCCTACTTTCTTGTTGAAGGTCATCATTACCAAATTTTACTAAAAACACAGCGAGTTAAAGTGTTTCATGTGTGGACAAATTTGCGGTTTTTTCCTAGCTGCAAAAAGTGAAGAGCTCGGCGAGGTAATGTCGGTGGTGCCCTCCGACACACTGTGGAAAACGTAACAGGCTGAGCTAAGTGTGGAAGAATGGTGGGCTAAAATTGCAAAGAGTAACTTCCACGACCAACGACTGACTGTATTGAAAATAAAAGTCCTATGGTATATCAGGCGATGTAAACTTGTGAATCATGTTTTGAGGCGTTTTCCTTAAAAATGCCTGACGAGCGGCTAACTTGGGTTAAATTCTCAGGTGCCCTCCAGGGTTGCGTTGGAGATGGCAGATACAGTTTGCCATCCTAGTCACCATATTTCTTGTTGGAAAAACTTGCAGTTGATAGCGCATTTGTTTTGGATAGTAGCGATGCCCTTTCTTCCGGTGGTGGTCCATCAGGAATCTCGAAAGCAAACAACTCAAGCGTAACTTTGATCAGCACGTGATAACTCGCTGAAGGCACATGCGGTTTTGTCAGAGCACAGGGCCCGTTTTTGTCACACCATGCCTGTGCGATCAATGGTCTCACCAATTGTCCTTGTGTGTCTCTAGCGTTTGAATTCACGACTAATTATGCAGAATTTTATGATATGGCTGCGGCAGCCGACTGACGCGTAGGAGGGGAGAGTGACGTCAAATTTTAGCAGCCCATGTCCCAGGAACTTCAGCACATTCCTGACTATAATAAATCTGACTCATCGAATCTATCGTGACGTGCTTAAACTCGTGCATTGGAAGAATGCCGGCTGACTGGGTAACTCGGTTCTCTTGATCATCACTGTGTCTGAAGGCGAAATTTCGAGTAAAGGAGAAGAGTGGTCGGGCACCGAAAGAGATTGTTTATTGTTCTGAACTTTCTGACTCCTGCAGGAGTTCATCGCCAGAAGCAGCGAAAATTATAGGGGTGCTAGTCAATCATCGATCGATGACGCCGGACTACAGGTGACTGCGCGGGACTCTGTAGACCAGTGCCAGATCGATAAAGTGATTAACCGAGTTCTCATCCGAGGCCCAGGCCTCAATCAATTCACGACCCGTCTCGTTTCTGGTGTGGGCGATTATCTTGGTGGCTGCAAAGTTAAACTCATGGCCCATTTCGTAGGTGTGTGGACAGCCACTTGCGATAATTCGTCGCCAGCTTATGTTCGTGTATGCGCGGACGAAATCATGGTCTCTTTCGATGTGACGCCGTTATTTACATTAATCTCACCAAACGTGGCGCAAAACGTTTTGCCTGAGAGACCTGAAAACCCGCACGACGAAACTTAGATTCCACTCAAAATTGAGCACCTCATGAGACTGTTTGAATTCTATCAACAAACTTACTACACATTTGCTGGAAAGACCTATGAGTAGATCAAGGAAACTCCAATGGGCTCACCGGTCTCCGGTTTAGTGGCAGAACTAGTCCTAAAGGAACTAGAGGAGGTTGCCGTCATCCATCATGAACCGGTCTTTCAGCACCGTTAAGTAGACGACACGTTTGTTATCGTAAAGAAGGACATGTTGCAAATTTCCTCAACCTGCTCAACCCAATCTCCCCTGACATAAAATTCACGACGGAAATAGAACAGGAACAGTAACTGCCCTTCCCGGATGTGTTCGTCGGTCGAAACCTTAACGGTGAACTTGAAAGGACGGTTTGTAGGAAGGCAACGAACATTACACACCTTCTCAGCTTTCTCAACAATCATCCAGTGGTTCACAAACGAAGCTGTGTAAAAACGCTCTTCAAACGGATCCAGACTCGTAACAGCAAATCGGCAGAAAGAGCACGTGGGGCCCGTTATCTGCGTGACTAGTTTATGTAGAATGACTATCCGGAGACATTTACAAGCCGCTGTCTACGCGGCCACCCTCCGAGGACCCTAACAGCAACACCACCAAGGATACGGTATTCTTTGTCATACATAGAGGACGTTTCAGAGGCGACCGAGCGCATTGCTGCGGAATTAGGTGTTGAAACTGCACACCCTCCGAAGCCACCATTCGCAACAGGGTCGTGAAAATTAAGGTCCGGTTAAATCCCGAGGAACGATCTGGTGTAGTTTATCACACCCAGTGCCAAAACTGTCCTTGCAATTACACAGGCCGGACTGGGCGCATGCTTGGATCGTGCATAAACGAACGTAATCTGGTTGTGCGAGGCGACAAATTATCGCAAGTGGCTGTCCACGCACCTACGAAATGGGCCATGAGTTTAACTTTGCAGCCACCAAGATAATCGCCCACGCCGGAAACGAGACGGGTCGAGGATTGATTTAAGCCCGGGCATCGGGTGAGAACTCAGTCAATCAATTTATTGATCTGGCGCCGGCGTAGAGTCCTGCTAGTCATCTGTAGTCCGGCGTCATCGATCGATGATCGACTAGCACCCCTATAATTTTCGCTGCTTCTATTATTTTTACTGCCTCCGACGATGGACTCCTGCATGAGTTCGAAAGCCCACAGCAATAAACTTCATTTTCCACTACTGTTTGTGTACGTGGGGTTACTGGCTGTAGGCCTGTGAGACTCAGTGTCTCCTTCTTACTGCAACCTCTACGGCATTTTCCCCCACGTGGGGTCCGAGCCGCCGCCACTTTCGCGTCCGTGGTTCGTTGTGCAGTAACCAGGTCGTGTGTCGTACGCGTGGACTGGCTTTTTAGTTCTGTTAGCCACCGCCGAGACCAAAGCTCGAATCCAGCAGTCCGGACTTTGCCTCGCCACCGCGCCCACGCAGGTTAGAAGGTGAGTGCGCGGTCGATGAGGCGTAAGTTCGTTCTCACCATAAGCTAACTCGCGCAAATAACCGTTCCTGCGCCCACCCTTCTGTGGGGCGCACAATGTACATCGTCGGGTGCGGTGGTCGGACTGTCAGCTATGCAGAATCAAATTCACTACGGCAATGGGAAGAACTTTGTGCCAGGTCTGACGCCCACCTGCAGGATACTCTAGTGTCTCGCGTACGGTACTGGAGTGAGCATGCATAATCGATTCCGAATGGGGACCCGACAATTCCTGGCATGAGTGGCTTGATAAGGCACTTGACTTCAGCCACGCACAGCGTACTCGATGCATGCCTACGAACACAAACTCCATGGGACGAAACTGGCGCACTAATGCCGGAGAGCTAGTCATCGTTATGGCGTTACGCGCACAATCGATGATCATGTGCGTGCGTGTGTAACATGCACCACGCATCGGCCTGGTCAGTCACTTGCGACTCAATCGCACCAAGACTGGCGGATCAGTACCTGGAGCGCCAACATACACCAGAAACATTCGCCTTAACTGCCCTCACTGAACCTGCACATTCGCCCACCGCATGCGCCTATTAGGCCACATGAGCATTCACGAACACATACGGTATCCACCTGCCGATTAAACCACACCATCGCATTTTCCTCACCTACATCACACAACATCATCACCCCATGCCAGCATCTAACAGTGACCTCCTACGCAAGTGGGACTGTGCGTCTCGGCTCCGTCTCAATGTGGCTTCTCTACTGCATGTGGGATTCGTGTGAAAGACTGTCACGGTGCGTCAAGCGCCGTAGCTTGGAAGGCTGCAGACTGACGTCTAAACTCAGTCCACGCAGTCTGCTTAGTTATGGGTGTGTTTACGTGGGATGGCGGACTAGGGGATCGAGAGCCAGGCCGAAATGGCTCCTTCCAACTTTACCTACTGTACTCTCACGCATGTGAGATATACGCCGCTCAACCCCCCGTTGTGTGAAATCCTGGTGCTTGTGTTTGGGAGACCAGGTCGTGCATGTGGCGCACGTAGACAAGATCACCTGATATGTCAGCTACCACGCCCATTCCCTGCACCTGCCAACTGACCGGCTCGGACAGTGATTGGGGCTTAGGAATGGAAAGGGCGAGTGAGGTCGACGGCTCAGCGCATTTTCCTCACTATAAACAATCTGACGCACTCGAAACTATCATTGTGCGCTAAAAGCCGCGGCTTGGAAGGTTGCCAACTGACGGGATAACTTGGACCTCGCAATCGGCCCAGGGTTGTGTATTTGTGTGTGGAATGGCCGACTGGTGGTCTAAAAGTCAAGCTCCAATTACCCCTTCCTAATGTGGCCTTTATTACACTCCCACACCGTAGGATCTGAGCCAGGTGTAACGGCACACCCAGATACGGCTTCGGCCTTGCCAGCCACCCTTTTGTTGCTGGTCCAGAATTAAGTCATTTGCTGTGTGGATCAGGGGGTGTGGAATGGAACGCAAGGTGCGCGCTCGACCGTACCATCCACCTGCGCCCCCCCCCCCCGCCGCCTCCGGTCTTCTTGACTCTGTTCTGACACCGGGTCGGGCTGGATGAGGAGAAAAGGGCACGGTAGATGCGGTGAAAGTCTACATTCACTATCAACTAATGCACGCACAAGTCACCGCTTCTGCTCCACCTTGCTGTGGAGCACACGGTGGAAATCGTTGGCAACGACGGTCGGATTGCCGTGCCCGGTTAACTTTTTTTGAATGTACTTTTTCTCATAGAGCGTGGTGTAGTGGCACAACTCCGGGTGCCTGTTGCAGCGCTGCACCTCTTGCGAGTGCTTGCACGTGCGCATCAGTGGCAGTCTTGTTCTCGGCCAATCACTTTCAAGGTTGACTTAGGCGTGCCCTCGCTCAACGCATTCCCCTGTAGCGGGCAGACATGAACGGTTGTTTTAATAGACAAGGGCTCTAAGTTCGAGAGCAAGGGTGTCTGGTGTCTGGACACTATCTGCTTGCTTTCTCTTGTCTTTCTTCAGTCGAGATGCGTGAATAAGACGACTCTCCCTCCCCGGTGGCAGCACCCAACTCCACCTTCCCTGGACAACTGTGAAACTAACGTTTTGTTGGACTACTTGATCCCCTTTTTCTGCCCCTCGTCCTGCGTTCCTTTTTTCCCCTCCTCAAATAAACCTTAATACTGCGGCGACGATTACCAAGGGAGGCAACCACATCATTCCCGTCTGCTTTGATTACACGTCACATAGTCTACCGTTTTACACGACGATTTACCTAGACAACAAACCCATTAAGGCTCTAGTCGACACAGGTGCCACCACTTCGTTAGTTCGGGCAGATGTATTAGACTCTAAGTGGCTTAACCACGCCAGGCAAAGCGGTTACTCACCACACCTCAAAACAGCAGACGGGTTACCCATGACCACGTTAGGGACGGCTCGACTGCCCATCTCCTTTCCAGCCAGCGTTAGGGAACAAGCTTTTGTCGTCACACACAAGATGTCGTGGGACATGATACTCGAGCTAGATTTCCTTTCTGCACATAACTGTTGTATTATGGTCAAAGATCGCATACTATCCTTAGGGCATAAGTCATTGCCTAATCACCCAACAGCCGCCGAGTTTGACAAAGAAGCCACCTGCGCGGCCATCGCAGCGTCGGTAGCCTTACTACCCGACAGTTCGACCATCGATTTCGACGATGTCCACCGTGTGCCCCACAGCTGCAGCAGCAGTGGGAGCAGGGACGGTGACTTACGCAGGGGTTTATAGTGCCAGTAGACTTGCGCTGCATCTACCTACACTCTCTCCTCCTCCCCCGCCTGGGCCCGGTGTCAAGACAGAGTCAAGAAGACCGGAGACGAGGGAGGCCGCAGGTGGATGGCTCGGACGGATCCTCACCTTGGCGTTCCACCACACCCCCTGGTCCACACAACAATAACCAGGATTTCAACCAACACAACAGAGATTTGGAGGCTGGCACGACCGAAGCCGCACCTAGGCGTGCCGCCAACGCCTGGCTCGGATCCCACACTGTGGTGGGAATGCCATAAAGGCCACATTAAAAAGGAGCCATTGCAGCCTGACTCTCAGACCGCCTCCCGTTAAGGAGGAGGTCCAAGGTACCCCGTCAGTTGGCAACCTTCCAAGCCACGGCTTTTAGCGCACCGTGATAGCTTCAAGCGCGTCAGATTGATTATAGTGAGGAAAATGCGCTGAGTCGTCGACCTCACTCTCCCTTCCCATTCCCACGCCCCAGCCACCGTCCGAGCCGGTCAGTAGACTGGAGTGGGGAATGGGCGCGGTGGCTGACATGGTCGACTGACCATGCCTGCGCGCGCCACAGCACGACCTGGCCCCCCATACACACACAAACACCAGGATTTCACACAACGGGGGTTGAACGGCGTGTCTCTCACTTGCGTGAGAGTGCCGTGGAAGGTGCTGCTTCAGCCCGTCCCCAGCCCACCAGTCCGCCACTCCACACAACACACACACACACAACGCGACGAACTGCGTGAACCGAGAGCGGGCGTCAATCAGCAACCTTCCTATCCACGACACTTGACGTGTCGGGATGGTCTCGGACACAAGTCACCCGTGCAGCCGAAACTGCATGGGGACCGAGTCGAGATGCACACTTCCCACTTGCGTGGAAGGCGGCAGTTGAGTGCATGAGGTGTGTGAGGGTTGATGTCTGGTGGGGTGGTGGTGCTAGGAGGTAGGGAGTGAGGGAATGTGTGGTGTGACCGGCGGTTGTCTACCGCAGGTCGTCGTGGATGCGCATGTGGCCGAATAGACCCATGCGATGCGTGAAGGTGCGAGGGCAGTGTGGGCAGTGGAGGCGAGTGCGGTGGGTATAGGTTGGTGCTCCAGGCACTGGTTCGCCAGTCTCTGTGCGATGGATTCGCAAGTGACCCACCAGGCCGATGCGTGAGGTGAAGGTGCGTGGACAATGTGGGCATGAGAGGTCGGCGGTGTCGGTGTCAGCTGTAGAGGAAGCAGTGGTGTTGGGCTTGGTGGTCGGCGCGTGTGACGGTGGAGCGAGGATGGGTCTGGGCGTGGTGGATGTGTTGGATGTCGTGCCTGTATCGGAATTGTGGTCAATTCCGCTCTCGTGGATGCGCATGTGGCCGAATAGACCCATGCGATGCGTGAAGGTGCGAGGGCAGTGTGGGCAGTGGAGGCGAGTGCGGTGAGTGTAGGTTGGTGCTCCAGGCACTGGTTCGCCAGTCTCTGTGCGATGGATTCGCAAGTGACCGACCAGGCCGATGCGAGAGGTGAAGGTGCGGTCGCAGTGAGGGCAGGTGTGGTCCTGATCCTCATCACTGGAATCGGGAGAGGTGCGGGTGGTGGCGGTTATTGTGTCGGGGTTGGTGATGTGTGAGACAGCAGTCTGAACGGCCGCCGCTGGGGCAGTGGAGAGGGAGGAGGACGACGAGGACGAGGAGGATGGAATTGGTGGTGCAGAAGGAGTGTCAGAGTTAGTTGGCGGAAGAGAGGACGAGGAAGAGGCGGGCGGGGGGACGATGGCTGGAGAAGTTCGAGAGGTGCAGTTGGTTCGGAGATGTCCAACAAGTCTGATGCGTGCCCGGAATGTCCGTTGACGCCTTACTACCCACAAGTATAAACACGGTCCTACCCCTAGACGATACGGTCGCCCTTACCGACAAGGAGGAATTGAAGTCACTCCTGACTACGTTTAGCGATGTTTTCGCATGGAAGATACCTCCTTAGGTCACACCACTGTCATCCGTCGCAGTATTTACACAGGCACGTCGAAACCGCTGTGGCAACCACCACGCCGTATTTCACCACACTCCCAGAAAGAGGTGAGCGACCTACTTCAAACGATGCTGACCACGGGGATAATCCGCCCCTCCAAGTTGCCGTGGGCATCGCCAGTCACACTAGTGCCAAAAAGGACGGCAAACTCATGTTTTGTATTGACTATCGACGACTTAACGCGGTCACCACCCGCGATTCTTTCCCACTTCCAAGAATCGATGTCACGCTCGAAGCGCTTGCCGGAGCCCAATGGGTCTCAACGTTGGACTTCAAGTCCGGTTATTGGTAAGTTGAAGTGGAACCTAAAGACAGCCCAAAAACGGCGTTTATACTACCACAAGGGCTCCTCGAATTCGAAACCATGCCGTTCGGGCTATGCAACGCAGTCGCAACCTTCCAACGACTGATGCAGTCCGTCCTGGCCCACTTATACCCTCACAGCCGTTTGATATACCTCGACGACGTGATCGTGTTTGGACGCACGGTCCGGCAACATAACGCTAACCACGCCGCAGTGCTCTCGGCTCTCCGCGACGCCGGCTTGCGTTTAAATCCCCAAAAGGGCAAGTTTCTGTGCCGGAAAGTCACATTTCTTGGTCACGAAGTCAGCCCGCAAGGCATGCAGGCGTCGCAGGAAAAAGTAGAGGCAGTCAGATCATGGCCTACGCTGAAGACTCCAACAGAAGTCAGAGGCTTCCTCGGCCGGACCTCCTACTACCGCCGCCTCATCCTCCACTTTGCGGAGCTAGCATGCCCCCTCCATCGGTTGACCGAAGAGGGTCGCTCATTCACATGGGTCAACGATTGTCAACAGGCCTTCGATGAGTTAAAAGCAAAACTCATTTCGGCACCGATATTGATGCTACCCGACACGATTCCTGAGGCTCCCCCCTTCATACTCGATAGCGACGCCAGTGGATTCGCGATGGGGGGCGTACTCTCGCAAGCCGACGAGACAGGGGCCGAGCGACCGATTTGCTTCGCGAGCAAAACCCTATCGAAGCCCGAGCGAAACTACTGCACCTACCGACGAGAATTGTTAGCGCTGATTACATTTATCAAACAGTTCAAACCATTCTTAGTGGGAAAGCATTTCATTGTCCGCACCGAGCACAAGGCTTTACAGTGGTTACAACATATGAAAGAAGCCGAAGGCCAGCTTGCGAGATGGCAGGAATTACTACAGGGATTCGACTTCACTTGTCAGTATCCACGAGGCGGCCAACACGCCAACGCGGACGCCCTTTCTCGCCGCCCAAGTGAGGCCGGCACAGCAGACACAGAAGTAACGGACGAACACATAGCGGCGGTGACAATCAGCGAATCCACTCGTTATCATTGGGCAGTTGCACAAAGTACCGACCCGGATACGGCAATAATTTACGACCACCAGTTGCATGGTCGACACAGACCAACAGAGGTCGAACTCCGCGGCACCTCGGAGATTGCCCCCCTCTTGTGCCAGCAATGGGCCAACCTGTTCGTTGAGAATGAACTACTTTTCTTTAAAGACGCAGGATCCACCATCCGCGGCTAGTTGTTCCGAGTAGCCTCGTCATTGCCGTCCTCACAGACTTACACCACGAGTTGGGACATGTAGGAGTGAATAAAACGGAAGCGGCTGCTAGGCCGCGCTTCTGGTGGCCACGCCTCAGAGAGCAAGTCGCCAACTTCTGTAACGCGTGCCCCACCTGTGCCTCCTTCAAGGGCACCATCTCACGACATCGTGCACCCCTACAGCCTATGATTACAGGCTTTCCATTTGAGCTGATGGGCGTAGACATAGTCGGCCAGTTGCCTTACACAACTTCCGGCCATCGGTACATCTTAGTGTTGGTAGATTATTTTACGAAGTGGGCTGAGGCCATCCACTTACTCCAACAAGATGCAGCCTCGATCACCAATGCGCTGTTAAAGGAATGAGTCTGTCGATACGGAGCACCCTTTTCACTTCACTCCGATTGCGGAGCCAACTTCGAAAGCCACCTTCTACGCGAAGTCTGTGACCTCCTCCTCATCCACAAGACTCGAACTACACCAACCCACCCAGAGGGCCATGGCCAGGTGGAGCGCACAAACCGAACCATAATTAATATCCTAAAGGCGTTCGCCGAGGACCACCACCCACACGATTGGGACGTGAAATTACCCTTCGTCCTGATGTTCTACAGAGCCGCCATTCATTCTTCAACGGGCCACGCCCCATTCTACATGTTGACCGGCCGCCAATCCCGACTACCGGCAGACCCGAACGTCCTCACACAGCAACCGACGGCCTATACAACTGACAATTACGTGACAGAGCTACAGGAGTTATTAAGACTCACGCATAACCTGGCCCGCACACAACTCCGCAACGCCTACGACAGACAAAAGAATTATTTCGACCGACGGGCACACGGGCTTCCCTACCACATCGGCGGTCTAATGCTCCGCTATTGGGCGGTCCCGCCTGTGGGCACACCGGCCAAATTCTTCCACTCTTGGGAAGGACCGTTCGTGGTTGCCGACGTCATATCGCCACTACTTACATTATCCGCGACGCCATCACCAACGCCGGCCCCAACTTTACTGTACACTTCCATAAGTTAAAACCTTACCACGGTGGTCTCCCCGTAGCGTCCCACGATACATTACCCATTCTCCCTCCTCATTTAGTCGCCGTGCCCACCAACGAAGTGGAAATCACTCCTGACCCACACCCCCCACCAGGTCCCGCGGACGGGGCACTGCCTAAAGGGGGGAGCAGTTGTAGCGGGCAGACATGAACGGTTGTTTTAATAGACAAAGGCTCTAAGTTCGAGAGCAAGGGTGTCTGGTGTCTGGACACCATCTGTTTGCTTTCTCTTGTCTTTTTTTCAGTCGTGATGCGTGAAGAAGAGGACTCTCCCTCCCCCTTGGCAGCACCCAACTCCACCTTCCCTGGACAACTGTGAAACTAACGTTTTGTTGGACTTATCGATCCCCTTTTTCTGCCCTCGTCATACGTTCCTTTTTTCCCCTCTTCAAATAAACCTTAGTGTATTACGCGACTTATCGTGTGCTTGAAGGTTGTTATTCGATAATGAACACTTGGAAAGACGACCCTAACGGTTGACAGACCGAACAGAGTGCTCCAGTCTCTGACGTTCCGTCTCAGGCAGCGCATAAGGACGCGAGTGAGCTCTTGCCCACCGAACACCCTTCGAGGTCGGTCGTTACACCCCCTCTTGCTTGGGACGAAGCTCTCACGGCGCCTGACATGTGTTCTCGTCCGTCTGACAACTAGTGTCAGCCAGTTGTCCAGTCTTTCAGTACAGACTGCAGTAACCCCTCAGCTGGTATTCAGAACCCCTTTCTGTTCGGGACCGGGCCTGATGGTCGTAGTGGCGGGGGCCTCCCTAACGGCTTTAGCTGTTGCAACAGTGGAATGCCGCGCTTGTTCAGCAGCATCACATAAGCAATGTCAACAGTGTTCACGCATGTGATGGCTTTTCGTCAACAAGAATACCACACAAAAGGGCTTTTAAGGATAATACAAGTGAGTGGTAAAAATGTAGGGCACTGAGAGCTTAGGAGCATTTAACGTCTAGAAATTCTAATCAGACTCCGCAGACCGCCATGTATCCGAACAACTACTTAGGTGCCTTCAATATAGTAAAGGCAAATTGCCGCAAAAATAACGAGGGCATTTGATGTGAAACATGGCCGCCCTCGTTTTTCTGCGGCAAAGTTATGAAACAGGGCATGAATTGCTGACTTGTATATTTTGCGAGGATTTTTAAGGATCCAGCAAACTGGTGTCCGGAGGCGTCGTTGCTGTGTGCACGAAATGTCTTTGTGAATCGCAGAATTGCCTGCGTCGAAACATCACACCACCCTGAATGCTTAAGGAGGTTTGTAGAATTGAATGGCAATTTTTACCATGGAATTATATTTTTCACCATTGTTTTAATTTTTTTAAACTTTGGGCTCTTGCGCATATAAGTGTATCCTTAAAACAGATGGATGACACAAGCGTTACCTGTGCAGGCAGTTCGAACATGGCATGGAGTTTAGAATTATACAAGTTAGGTACTCAAAGGAAAGCATTACAGAGTGATAACTTGAGAAAGAACTTTCTGCAGCAAGTCTTTTAACAGTAACGCTTCAAAATGCTGTCAGTTTTCCATTTTGCAAACCTAGCATACTTATATGCGCCTGCCGAGTTTTCGATCACAAGTAATTGAGGTGGTAAAGAAAAACGGAAAAATATATTAGCTTAAGGCCGACCAGCTGGCAGGCCACTTACCGTTTTTTCCTACTCGGCCAAATTTTGGAGGAATTTGTAGCGTTCCAAAAAAGTAAAGCAATAGTAGTGGTGGTAGTAGTAGTAGTAGTAGTAGTAGTAGTAGTAGTAGTAGTGGTAGTAGTAGTAGTAGTAGTAGTGGTAGTAGTAGTAATAGGAGTAGTGTTAGTAGTAGTAGTAGTAGTAGTAGTAGTAGTAGTGGTAGTAGTAATAGGAGTAGTGTTAGTAGTAGTAGTAGTGTTAGTAGTAGTGGTGGTAGTAGTAGTAGTAGTAGTAGTAGTAGTAGTAGTAGTAGTAGTAGTAGTAGTAGTAGTAGTAGTAGTAGTAGTAGTAGTAGTAGTAGTAGTAGTAATAGTAGACACGGTCCAGTCGACGGCGCTCGCCGTCCTCGGTCGCGCTTCCCGCCAACACCAGGACTGGTTCGACGACAACGACGCCGCCATCAGAAATCTGCTAGCTGAGAAGAACCGCCTACACAAAGCCTACGTAGATCACCCC